GCAGCTTATAGGCAAAAAAATGTTCTGGATTATCAAATATTTGGGAATGCTTGTGCCCAGGCCGCCCGCAAGCTCCAGTCCGGATAATTTTCACTTCTCTCAGAAGCTTCTCTCGAGCTGCACTGAAGCTGCACTGGGCATGGACTTGCTACAAGTCTCTCTCTTTGAAGAAAGGGAAAAAAGAAAGAGAGAGACTTGTAGCAAGTCCACACTGGGCATTGAAGCTGCACTGAAGCTGCACTGGAGCATCGCATGTTTCGGCAAAAAGACGGGAAAAAAGAATGATGCGGAGGGGCTTCAGTTTATTAGATTTTTCGAATTTCTCAATTTTGAGCGATCTGTTTACTTGGAAAAATAGCCAATTGGCATGTTGGCGCTGGAGTTCACTGCATGCTGCTCATGACCAGAAAGAGAAGCCGCGTATTTATTACCGTTAGAAGTGTTGCAAGAATTTAAGAATTTGTCTAGAATTTTTTGCGCTTGCGCCGCAAGCGTAGCATACAACACAGACGCTACTCCACTGATAGGAACTTTAAGTTATTTACTAAGAAAATACATATTTCATACGGCAGCCACTTTTTGAGATTACACTCGTTCCCTGTTCAACCATTTCGCTGGGCTCGGGCCTACGATTTTCCAACAAAAGACAACATCTTGGGTTGGCTTCTGCTTCTGACAAATTGATCATTTGTCAAATATCCACCGAAAGCCCGAATTTTCCGACGCGATTACCTTAGCCCCACATGCCCTCCATCATTTCCACAACTAGATACCAATAATTTTCGTTTTGCGTTTTACTAGCACGATCCCTACCTTCCGCATTCCTTGGAAAATTTTGTTTTAATATGACGCTTGCTGTCAGCAAAAGCTTTTCTTCCATATGTTTTTCAATCAAAATAATTAGTATTCAGTTCATTTAAATTGAATTTGTGCCAACCGCAAAGCCAAAGTTCAAATAAAGAAGTCGCTTCTTTCTCCGAAGTTGCAAAGTCTTGCTCCCACTTTGAATCCGCATTTGAATGTTACACTAAATCGGAAGAATGTCTTGGCAATATAGGCTATCCAAGATGTCCTACCGATGTGCTGAAGGTGCATGACTTTTTTCAAAAAGGCTATCTTCTGCTGCGAAATAAGGCCATCTCATAAATAATATACTCCATCTGGCATTTTTCTGATGGTGGATTTATATATTGATTTGGCTCCTTGCACATGAAATTATAAAGAACAGCTTTATCTCCTTGTCACAGTACACCTTCAGGAGTTGCAAGACTAGAGTTATGGTTTTGATGGGATATGAAAATGCCTTTTCGATAGAGGCAGCCTTGCCAAGCACGAAAGCTTGGTGGTCTTTGTTCATTAATGAGACTGCTTTTGCTGTTTTCCTGGATCTTTGTGCCCCAGAATGCAGCTTAAGTTTCTGACTATACTTTCGTTGCCAGCAACGACCTACAATTCGAGCAAAATAGCTCATTTCTTCGAGATATTTCTTCCATGTTAGCGCTAGTGTCATCAGTCCGTGAGAACATTTTGTAAAAACGCCACCAGAAAACGCCAAATGGAGATTTGATGAGACGGCCTGAGTTCGTAGCATCAAACCCAAGGAAGCATTCAGTGTTTGGTTCAAGAACATCCATGGATGTGCTAATCCTCCTTATGAGGCTAAAGCAATGGAAATGGAAACAAAGTCAACGCTAAATATTTAGAAACAGCACACGAGCAAGCAAACGGCAAAAGAGAGTCATCAAGGCAAGTGCATATAAAAAGTGGAGAGCAAAAGATACTCCAAAGTAAGAAGAGTATTTTTACATTGATGAAAAAAAGAGAATCTTATGAGACTTGCTCCCGAATTCTTTCGAAGCGCTGAGGGTCACAGGCCCCTGACAATTCAATTTATCGTAGCTTAAGGAGGAGAAGCATCGGAGACTTCAAAAAGCAAGTAGAAGTCCCTTCAAGATGTAACCACAAAAACCAGAATATTTTGCATGGTAACTCGAAAGATGCAAAAGTAGCTGCTGTTGCAAAAGAAACTGATTTATGTGTGCTGCTAGTTCATGCAACACAGAAGTGCAAACCCACAAATTAGTGGTTTATGTGCATAAATAACAAACAGATCGTCAAGATTTGAAGCATCGCTGAAACTTTTGGTTCCAAAATTTTTTTTTTTTTATCACAGATTAATGGAATTGTGGGCTGAGACAACTGCATATATATAAGCACAACATTGATAAGGTTACTGTGAAAAAAGCTAACGAGGAACCAGAAACAAGTCATCATTAAAAGTCTCTCCGAAGGAGTTATCGCAAAAGCAAAGACATTCGCGGAACAGCAGAATATAGTGGAACAACATATAAAAGCTATTTAGGGACAAAGATATTTATCAAATCTGAAAAAATCATCTGCAGCAGTTCCAGCAGATCCATAATCACTCAATCAGAAAAGAATTAAATTGTATCAACTTAACAAGGTTATTTTGGCTACACTGTTTAGGTGCAACTACTACACGACATGTCTCAAAAGCCTGATGTTGAAATTTGGACGACATACTCGACCGTTTAAAGTCTAAATGGTTCACAGGAAAGCAGATTCCTCATCTCCGAGAGCTTCCTTTACATCACAAGAATATGAAGGTGACGCAGGAGATGAATTTACCCATGAAGAAAATCATACACTTTCATACCCAGCGCTAAAGACCTATAGTGCGAAGACATCTTGGACAGCCTATAATAGTGCGAACATATTTTCCGACTTAGCAACAGTCAAATGCAGATGCAGAGAAATAATTGTCCGGTTCAGAGTGGGAGCAAGACTTTGCGACTTCGGAGTAAGAAGTGACTCACTCGTCAGATAGTGACTACTACCTGTTTCGAACTTTGGCTATTGCGGTGGGCACAAATTCAATTTAAATGAACTAAATACTAATATTTTAATTGAAAAACATATGGAAGAAAAGCTTATGCTGACAGCAAGCATCATATTAAAACAAAATTATGCTAAAGTATAATTCTATGACAATAAAATATTTGATGACGTCATGCAAAATTTGTTATGACGTCATAATGAAAATACTTGTGTCGGCAAATCTTGCTTAAATATATATATCATTTGAAAGCTTGCAATGAGACGAGTCAAAATATGTAAGTTGCGTTAAATAAATAACCCTTCAGTGAGGAGCTAACGATGATTTTTTACCGTTAAATGACGTCATCAATCACGTGACATCCAGGCATTTTCAAAAAAGGCACCTGGCAGATTATGAAAGCCTGAACTCCCTACTACCAGAATCCGTTGAGAAAGTAAACATTAGCTTGAATGTCAGATTGTCAAGCTATATGTCCTGTCTAGTACTGTCTGGGTGCATTCGTAGGCAGCACACTAAGGTATGATTCCCTAACTTAGACCCTGTTTACACTGTCCCGGGACAATTTTGTACCGTTACGGTTCGCAAGTGCTTACACTGTCGCGGTTCCAAATTGTTCCGTTTAGCCGTTCCGTTCACACTGTACCGGTACGACCTTAATTTAATGGTAGAACAATGTTTAGAAGAAGCTGTATTTAGTCAACCGAGGCTTTTATTTTGCCGCCGAAGTCAACAATCTAAATTTTATTGAGAACTAAAATGGAGCGGAAGGCCGATAAAAACTTTACTTAGACGGACGACAAGGTGGCTTTGATTTTCAGTGTTACTCTAGACTACAAAACTGCAAAGTCCAATGAAGGCTTGGACTGGGAAACAATACAAGCCTTTTCTGTGGTCGTCTTTTCTTCAGAATTTCCTTTTCTTCAGAATTTGATAACGTAGTTGCGCCATTATCAAAGCCTCGATTACCTGAAACAGCCATACAAAAGACCTCTTTGTGAATCCGTGACAATTTCGTCTCGGATAGGTGTTTACACTGTCCCGTTCAAAAACGGAACCGTGACGGTACATAATTCGCTCGCTTTCAAAGTTTTGTCACGGTTCCCAACTTGCACGGGACAGTGTAAACGGGGTCTTACAAAGATTTCTTTACTTTTAATGAATTGATTATTATTAACAAAACTGTCGACCCCCTTTGATAAAAAGTTTCTAAATAAAAGATTTCCGAGAGCCACATCGCCAGTAAGCCAACTGTAGGATGCCAATAAATACCCCTACGCCTCCCAAATATCGGGAATGCATATATTTTGCATTACATAGTAATACATTGGATATGCTTGCAAATACATGGCTTCAGACAATGCTATCTCATATTTTCCTTGCAAAAATGATTTATATCTAAAGTGACACATGAAATTTTTCTTGCTAAAATTCAAATAGCCGTTTTGTGGTTTTAGAAACCCCAGATCGTGGCAATATATTGAAGACCTGTTCAATTAGCTTTTACCTACAAATATCAAGAGAGAAAAATTTGGCGCCAAATTAGGTGGTACAAGTTCTTTAAGTCTCAGTTAAATTTATGCTCCTTAACTCGGATGATCCATGAAAGAAATATTAATACAAAATACAAACTTCATAGCAGACTGTAAAAAGGAGTCCAGTTTCAGTGCAGACTGTAAAAAATGGGTCCCGTTTCAGTGTTTTTCCTTAAGGTCCCAGATGCCTCTGTTACGCCACTAACTGTTGTTTAGATTATGTAAAACATTTTAAAGATCAAATTTTGTTTGCAAATATTTTTCATACTTTAGATAGTTGTCATTAAATCAACTTCTACATAGCCATTAGATTTATGCACCGAATTTAAACCAATTGTCCATTAAATGATTTTTGTTATAAATCTTTTTCTAATATGTTCAGACCTAAAAAATTATCGAATAAAAAACAAATGATTCGTTAACTTGTAACGTTCTGTATTTTTAATAATCGTCTCTTTTCTAATCAAGTAATGCTACTTTCCAAAAAAATTAGACCCAAATGTTCTAGAGAAACCCTGTTTTTCATTTCCCCCCTCCCCCTCCTCCCCACCCGTGCAGGAAAATGTAAACAATGAAAACTATTTGAGCCCACGCTATACAAAGCGGAACATGGGAAGTAGATTCTGACGCATCAAGCAGTTTCGCTTCAACTACGCATGGCGAACAGACAGAAATACGGCGGAAGGCGAGCATTGTAGAATATTTAAAAAAGCCTGCACATAGCCTCAACTCAAATCTATTTTTCAGACAGTAACGAACAAACCAGCTTTGCAGAATTTTTTTCGAGTCTCAACCCTTACCAACAAATAATGGCAAAAGCAAGCAACGATGAATTGGAATATTTTCCAGCAGTTAAAGATTTCTCAGTCGACTCTATTTCAAATGCACTGGAAGAGATACTCAAAATTAATTTTCGTGCATTGGAGCACTGTCAATGTTCTAAAGACTGCAGTCATGCAAAAGAACTTCAAGAACTAATTTCTAGAACAACGCAGGTACTTGAAAAGATACAGGAGAAGGAACGTTACTCGTCGACCATCCTCACGAGACAAAGCTCCTTTGACTTTTCTTCGCGTGCACATTATGGAAAAGGTAAGCTACAGATCCTGCTCTTCATGTTTGCCAAGTCCTGATTAACGGCATCTAATAATTTAAGAATAAAAATATTTTGATAACTAACCACGCAAATCACTTCTCGAGTTCACTGTGACTCTGATTTATTCTCCTCGTCATGTGACGGGTTTCCCCCTCTGTAGTGTTTGTTTTCGTGCAACCCTCGTCTGCAGGCCTACGCACGAAGTCTGTTTTCAGTTTCCTAAGTAAACTTATTCTTCGAATGGAAATTACGTTTCCTTTTTGTTAAGAGCCTGAAAATAGAATTGCTATCCTATGCCAACATCAAATGGACCAAACAGGCTTCCTTGCAAATTATGATGTTCCTTCCCGCCGGGTTAGCGTTCTTCCCGGGTTAGCGTTGTCAATTTGTTACCTTCACATTTGCCATAAATTAACCATTGAAATGGAATCTTCACATTGAATCAATCTGGAAAGAAAATTCATTCTAAATATTCCAAATGTATCCTAGTAACTAAACGAAGTAGCGACCGAACTAATTTTCATATTGCATGAAATAATTTTCATCATAAACATCTTTATTTAAAACTAAATATTTAAAACTTAGTATTTAGCTTCTCATAAATTTGAAAAGGTTCAGTGCTACATTTTTTCAAATTAAAAAGGTAATATGGGGACAAGACTTTTTAAATCGCAGTTTGTCAAATGGAAAATTACAAAAAATTTAAAGTAACTGAAAATTTTTACCAGTGGATTGCTTCTAAAATTTATTTTTAAAAAAATTTGAATTTTCAAAACACATTAGGTACTATCCAAAGCTAACAATAATAGTGGATAGTATAGACATGCACAAAAATGTCATTCACAGCCACTCCTGCTGTGATATTCATTCAGATTGGTTCAAAGAATCTGATGTGAAACTAATCTAGTCTGGTATAGTATGATTGAGACCTAAAACAAGGAGCATTAAAAAAGCATGCGTATTAAAATATAAAACAGCACAGCTCTGAAGGGATAAAAAATTCAATTTTGTTGATGTGTTTTATACTACCAAATAAATTATTTTTAGACTTTCTTCCTAGCATAACATGCAAAATTATTCTTACACAATCGCAAATGCCATTTTTACACAGATAATCTTTTATATGGATCATCAGCAATTCAAGATCAACACCCTTCTTCATCAAGATTATCTAGAAGCACTCTATCCAAGTATCCAAGTTTGGACAATCAATCGGTGTACAAAGTCAAAAAAGGCTACTTGCTTCTTATAGTCAATGTCTGGTTTGATGGAAGGCTAGCACCCAGAAATGGAGCAGCAGAAGAGGGTGGAAATGTGAAGAAGCTTTTTGAAACATTTGGATTCTATGTTTTCTGCTTATATAATGTGAAAAGGGATGAAATCCGAGAGTCTATTCAAGAATTAGCAAAGCCTGGTGTTCTAGGTATGTTATGGTTAAGGTTTAAATATATCTTGAAGTTAGACCCAGTGATAAAGAAATTCAATGTATTTTGTTTAAACCGAAAATATTCTAACAGAAAAATGTGAAATTTTGTTCGAAAGCATGTAACACTGAAATGCAGACTTCAGGATGCAAAAAAACATAGAATAAAAGGAAAGATGTTTGCTATCAGTATTGGCATTACATCAGGCTCATTAAAACTAACTTAGATTAATTGAAATTTTTGAGGGTTTTGTGAAAGAAATATTCCAGAATCATGGTGGGAGGTATTTAAGAAACAACTGATAAACTGTTTTTAGGGCATTATTGCAGAACAACTGCTGAATAATGGTTTTTTCAGGTGATTTACTTTTGTTTGTTCCATGAAAGTGATGGTCGATAGCAGACAGGGAAGGGCTAACAATATATTTAAAATACTTTTTAAAATTCTATGTTCTGAAAAAATAAGTGGCAAAGATGGGGTTTGCGAAAAAAAGGAACAGAGTAGTGGGGTTTAGCTGTACTCTTGTTTGTCCATTAACAATTATATTTGGGAGCACATTTGATGTGACAAATTTGTATCAAAATAAAGTCTGATTATTGCTGATTTCTATTATTTAGTCTAAAATTCGTTTTAAATGTTTGTATTTTTGATACATAGAAAGTTATGTTTTCATTAGAAAATGTATTATTGTAGACATGGTATTAAAAGAAGCCAGATGTTAAATCAAAATGTAAAAAAATTAGTGGTATATGTTCTTGTACAAATCTTATGAATCATACTATTGGGGTCATTTAAGAAGATAGTTTGAGTTTGATCAACAATATTCTGAAACAATATGAGTGCTTGATTGAGCACCTTACCCGGCAAGGCCGGCTAATTATCTATTATTACATTAATTATCTATTATTACATTAATTGTCTATTATTATATAATTATTACACTTTTTTATATTAACATGTAAATAAATAAAAAAAGTCAAATGCCAAAGTATGTTAAGAAAATTTAAAAAATTTTTTTTTATTATAGATGACTTTGATTGTTTTGCATTTGTCATGATGAGTCATGGCAGTAAAGAGGGAATCTTTGGAACAGATAACCTTCCAGAAGACTTTGAAGCCATTGCAAATGAGGTGAAAGGGGATAAATGCAAATCCTTGATCGGAAAGCCTAAGCTTTTCTTCTTTCAATCCTGTCGTGGAACAAAGATGGACAGGGGACAAGAATTATATGGTCGGGGTAAGAATGCAGTAATGGATGGAAAAAATAGAGGGAATCAAGAAGTCCGCATTCCTACTGACAGTGACATCCTCATTGTCTGTGCTACAACTCAGGGTCAATTAGCCCATAAAGATATAGTGACTACTGTGGATGGAAGAGTCATTTCAAAATCCTGGCTGTTTGAAGCTATGTTGCAAGTCTTTTATGCGTACGCTGAGCATGAAGATTTAATGTCAATGATGTCCAGAATTAACAGTCATGTTTCATTGATGGGCAATGAGGACAGAGGAGTGCAGGTTCCCTGCCAGCTCTCAACATTAACCAAAAAAGTGTATTTCCAAAAAAGTCCTAAATTTCTTTGAGTTACCATGAGGTGATTATTTTAAAATGAGATATATATTTTCATATATTTATGCTATTTGCAAGACAGCATTTCTTACTCCCTTAACTATGTAATATTTAACTATACAACAAGCTATGTGAATATGTCTTTAGAAAAAAATTTATCATGCCACAAAAATAAACAGCAGAAATAGTTTTTTACCATTGTCATTAGAAATTGATCATATTTTTGCAATGCCTTAAATAATATCAGTTTACAAGCTATGATAAATGATAAATTTGAATGTAACAAATAAATGATTATAAAATACATTTATGTTTGTATATTAGAGTAATAAGAATATTCATGTAATATAATAATTTATAGATATTTATGTTCGAAAGGTAATGCTCTGGTTATAATGCAATCAGTGTAGTTACATGTTGGTTTTTTCTATCATTTGAAACACATCTCTGAAACATTTCTATCATTAACAATTGGCAAAAAAAATTTCATTTCATTAAAGTGAATTATCAAAATGTGTATGAGATGTGAATGGAATTTTGACCTGAGAGACAATTGTGGTCTACCCCAAATTATCTTATTAGTTTAACTTTTCTGCTTTACTAGATCTCCAGCACAGAAGCTGGCACTTTTTTCATTTCTTTTGTTTAAACTGCTCATACAAGGTGTGCTAGATTTACAAAGATTGCTAAAGAAACTTGTAATGGTTCTAACAAGAAACAACAGAAATTAATATACCAAAAGATTGGAATAATATGAAGATGTACGGTAGTGTAAATCTGCATAATTTGTATTCATATTTGGATTAATCACTTGCATCCAAATGTGCATGAAATGATGAGGTACCTAAAATACAATTAATGACCTGTGGCAGAGAAATAAACAGAAAAATACCAAAAAACCAGGTTACTTTGTATGATTTGGGAATTTAACCACTTTTTAGAAATTCTGTATTTTGGTCGAGGTACTATTTTATTTTGGAAAAGGTACTATTTGCCTGGTCTGCTACATCTCTTTTTGAACATTTAGTGTACTTTGCTTCTGCTTATAAAATGGCAAGGTTAAAGTCAACCTATTTTTAAGTGAACAAAATTTGATAGAATAAAATAATGACTTTGTACAAGAAATGAATATTTGGTACAACGTTTCAAACTTAACTCTTCATCAGGTCAAAACGTTTTAGTTAAGCTGGAAATGTTGTACCAAATATTAATTTCTTGTACAAAGTCGTTATTTTATTTCATCAAATTTTGTTCATTTTCAATTTACAACACGCACAACTTCATTGATTATTTTTAAGTGACTTTGAGCAGTAAGAACACAAGGTTAACCAAACCAGTCTTACATTTTGAAAGGTTTATAATGCAGTTAGTTAAAAGAGTTGAAAGATTTAGTTATTAATATTTTCCTAGAAAAGATATGTGAAGGAAGGAAGCAATAAGAAGAGATTAAGTCTCAATTTGATTTGGAAATTGATCATTTTATATATTGTTGGTCTTGATGGAAGTAAACAAAGCTTAGGAAGCTTTTTCTGAGGGAACAGGTGTAGACAAACAGACTACAATATTTTGTTGGTGCAAATTTTTCTTCTATATCCAGATCCGCTGTTCTCACTTGGAAGATTTGAAGTGCCTTTAACTTAAATACCTGAGTTGTAATTCCGGTTGTTCACATTCTGTTGCTTCATATTGGTCCACTATTATTAAGAAGTTTTTTGTACAATCATTTTCAATCACTCTTGTTCACCAAAATCAACTCATAACCATTTTTTTACAATTTATTGAATGTATCTTGAATCAAGACGTGATAAAAAATAGCTAGAATTATTTTAGTCAAGAGGCAGGTATTTTGATAGTTCTTCTCTGATGAGAAGAAATTGAAGCAATATTGCACTTTGAATGAAACATAGCCCCACTGTAACTGAAATCATCCCACAGCAATCCTGTGAGCCTTCCCTTCTAAAAACAAAGGATGTCAAAATCATTGATTGCATCTGTGAAGTATGTATTTCGTAGAGACAAGATAAAATATTCTTTGTTTGAGGAGAATATTATTTGTATACTCAAGTGAAAACCTGAAAAGTTGATATTGGTTTATGGTACAATATGCTGTTAATGGTAAAGTTATGTTTTGCAACACCCATAAAACCACATGTTTACTAGCCAGAGTTTTTGTGGCAAATTATTTTGCAAAATGATCACCTGGTAACATTTTATTTTACAAGCAACCCTAGCATATTCATTAAATTATACAAATTTATAGTGTGAATTATAGTTAGATTATGGTCAGTGTTGTGCCACATATTTCGAAAATCCTGACTATCAACAATCCACAATTTTCCTGACTATCAGACAGCCGTTATTGCATTAAATAACAAGCATAAAGATGATATTGTCCCACACAAACCAACAACTTCTAATGGAAGTTTTGATGACCAAAGGAACCCTTGAGGCAGCCAATGAACCCCATTCACCAAATCAAATAGGTTTCCACACAGTCCTACAATAAGGGACACATTTTGCTTTGTTATACCAACAATGTGCCTGGTTTCAATTTCTTTGTATTCTTTGCTGCTATGTACAGGTGTTTCTTCCCTGAAAATATTAATTAAAAACTTTTTGAGTTAGTTCAATAAACAAGGATTAATAAACTAGGAGAAATATAGTGTATTTCTAGCCTGAAGGGTCTCCCAAGCCAAAACTTGCTTTTGTCATTTAATCTGGTGAAATTTAACTTGCTGGTCATCAACCTCTTGTTTATTTTTATTGGGTTTTTAAGTTTTTTGGAAAGCCACACCAAGGCTCTCTAAATGCATTTCTAATTTTTGAGCAAGCAAGCAACTCAAAGTGAACAAAAGCTGAACCTTGCAATGCAGCAAAGTTAGCTCACTTTGTTGCTGATCTTCTCCATTGCTGGAAAACACTTTTTTGCATTTTTGCTTAAGAGCAGATCAAAACAATAGGCTTGTCCCCTAATATTTGGGAAAGTGTCAGCCCTTGCTGCAAACTTGAAATAAAATGCTAATATAGACAGGAGCTCTGACCAGGTTGCAAAATGGGAGTAAAAATGCATAATAATTTCTAGTTAGAAGTAACTGGGAAGGCTCACTTGTTAGTTGATTTTGTATCTTTTTCTGACATGTTTTTAGAAGCCACCAGCTTTCTTATACTTGACAAAATCCCCATCGTAAGTGAGATGACCCATAACAAACAACCAAAACTCCATAGCTTGTTTGAACTTCCCTTCAGAAGTCCAACATCTCTTGCCCAGGCCAAATGCTCAACTGGATAATAGAGCTGGTCAACAAAATTTTGAATGACTTGGAGAACTCGACAGACTGGATCTTTCTCCTGATAGATACAATGACAGAATGACAATAAACAGAGTATAAAAAAATGAATTTGGTAATGTTTAAGACCTATGATGAATATGGCTAATAAAGTAACAGAAGGAATTTGATGGATGTTAAATGCCATAATAAAGATGCTGTAAAGCAAGGAATAACAACACAACTTTTGACAATGTAAATAAGGTACAAATATGCAAGTATGCAAATTTTGAAGCAAAAAGGACAATGGCACTTGAATTGGCTAAAGGTTATTTATTTGGTAACGGATGGAGGGATAGATTTCCTAGAATGAAATCTTTATAGAAGATTGTAAATTTTATCTCAATGCTGCAGCATAGCTACTGTTAGACTGTTTATGAAATATGGTACAGGATCCCTCTTTTTAAATCTCTGGCAAAATTTCAATGCAACTTACCAGTGAAGTGTTTGTATCATGCATATAAAGTAAAAGAAGGAATAGGAATAAAGTAAGTACCCAGAAGAAAATATATGTCATATATATAAAGTAACGAAAGGAATTTTATTACAAAAAGGCATCAAATGCTTTTCGTTCCTAAATAGAGTATATTATAGTGAATTGCAACCAAGCCACCGAAACAGCTACTCTTAAATATTCTAAAATATATGCTTCAAAGCAGGGGCAGTGCGCTGGGGTATTCAAGGTATTCACAAATACCAACTTTTTTTCAAACAACTTTTAATGCTTTTAATATGTTCCAAAATCAAAATCCAATAAAATTTTATTTTGCCCATACAATGCCATTACAAAGCGGGCGAAGTTTCTTAAAAAAAATCAATGACCTTAACAATTGATATTGTTTTGGCAGTGGGTAAAGAGACTTCTTAATCCCTTTTGTTTTCCGATGAGGCCAGTGGCCAGCAGTCACAAGGTATTCAACACTGGAGATAACTGTGAGGCAGGGCTCATTAATAATATTTTGCGCCTGCGAGCGCAAAGCCAAGTAAAAATGTGCCTCCAAGTAAAGTAGGGTGCAATTTATAGTCAGATACCGATAAATCGAGAACCTATGTTATGCTAAATTCTGTTACACCAACTTGCCTTTGTCAAAAGCAGATACCATATCAATATCATCATGAAGTACATGTAACTACATGTAAAACTGAACAGATGACATAATAAATGCTACTAACGTTATATTGTGTACATAAGAAAGGGAATGATCCAGTTTTTATCTATGGGTTGTTTTGGGTTGTCAAGTAGCCCTATCGCTGTTATCGATTCGATTTCATCAAATAGAGACATCTTCACGAATTCATCAAAAGCTTTTCAATATCTTTAACGCTTTACTTTAAATGGAGCAGATTTGTTTAGAACATCTTGTTTTAAGGTCTGTGAATTTAAGGATTTTGCTTTCGCTTCCTTGGCAAAGGTTGCAAGAATTTTGACATCATTAAACTGGCTTTTTCTCATTTCGAAGAAAGATTCTATTTTCAATTACTTTCGTTGAAATGTCTTATTATAAAAAGTATCTTATAAGGATACTCCGTTTTTTAGCTTTGAGTTCATCATGCTTGTAAGATTTGATTATTTTAATATAAAAAGGCTTTTACTCCAATAATTGAAGAAATTGAGGCTTGTTTGGCTGTCACAAATTGTCGAAAATTTTTGTTTTTGATGAATTATTTGGAGGTGCAGCATGAAATTTCAGAAATCGATAGCTACCAGATTCAAAAGCTTGAAGACTTTAACTTAAAGAAAGTGTCATTTCTTCAGCCTACTATGCACGAACGAGATTAACAAGTCATAACATAATACTCTAAAAAAATGATACAATAATTGCAAATGATCTCTTCCACCACTTGATTTTGAGAATCAAATTGCACCTTTAGAGTAAGGATCTTCTGTCTTTTTGGTAATAAAGACTTGCAACTACTACCTTTTATATTCTATTTGACCGTTCAATTTCAATACCAAGAAAGATGTTTGAAAAAGCACGACTCTAATACAACAAAGGTAAATAAAAATAAATTTAGAAATGTGCCTGCAGAAATTCCTGAGAATGAGCTTTTGTGCCTGCGAGCGCCACTCGCGCAGATTAATGAGCTCTGCTGTGAGGCTATACAAAGAATTTTGAAAGTGAAGGTACATGCAGAACTTGTCCCAATACCTTGAGCGTACATGTCCCCTTCTAGCTTGCGTTTTCGGAACAGAATACTGCTTGGAAATTTGCAAGTTTCAAAGTATGTTCAACATAGATAATCAGAATAAAATGCTGGCCTTATCTGGCTATTTTTTTCATTTTTAATGGCCTCATTCGGCCATTGCCTCAGTCCACAAACTGTCACAGCTTTGTGGCTACACTATTTAGAATTCAAACTGAATACCTTCCAATATGGTGCAGCTTCATTGAAAGGCTTTTGGCCATGCTTTGGTTTTGGATACAGGCCTCAGTTTTTACTGCCTGATAACCTTTCATACGTGTATATCAAGAGTGCAACGAAGCATTTGTTTTCAAGTGGAAGGTACATAATACAAACGAGATCTAATTTTCTTGCAAGTTGATCCTGGACAACTGAGATATTTAGCAAATAAACCCTTTGGAGTAAAACATTTTAAATATGATCTAAAGCATACCACAAACGTTTTGGGTTTCTTGCTATTTTTTGTTGGAATGTGGACAAGGTGAAGTAAATTATCAAAACTATTTAGACATCATTTTAGAAGCCAATTTTGAAAATCCTTTTTGCAAGGCTATATAAAGGGGTGCGGCATGTGGGGGATTTTATTTTTTGGGTGTGGCATTTTATCGAGTAGATTGTTAGTATCTTCAATACCGATCTTATATTGCTCCAAGCCGCCCCTGCTTCAAAGAAATTCTAGCTCAACTTCATCTTAAAATTTAAACTTTGGTATAACCAAAAAATACATCACAATTCAATTATGAATTTTTTCCTAAACTTCACTGCCCTGTAGTTCAAAACATAGTTGAGATAATTCTTAACATTTTTTTCATTGTTTAGATATCATATAATCATGTAAATGTGATCTATACTCTTGTAAATGTGATCTATACTCTTGGTTCTTAGGTAAAATTTTTTCAAAATGTGTCCCTTATTTTTGAAATATGCCAATTGATTAAAATTTTCAAAAGATCTACTAGGACACTGCTCAAAATATCTATTATTTGAAAAACTATTATATTTGGCATTATATCATTAAATTGTATTATATCAATAATTTGATTATTAGCACTATGTTATTAAATATTCTGTAACATAGGGATAGAACTTATGTATGCAGATATCCTAGGCCCAGAACACAACCAGTTCTTAAGATTTGTCATCTATAGTTTTATGAAAAAAGTAAGCTCGGAACCAAGAGTACAAACAGAACTCACTATATGCACAGCATCTGGACCACATTTGTAAGATATCAGCACAATATCTAGCAGTTGAATGGCTGTTATTTGTTTCTGTACCTGGGCAGCTGGTCAAAAATTTAACAAAATGGAAACCAAAGAAAACTTTTCCTCTTCAGATTTTGGCCACACTTTGTGATTCAAATTCTTTGTAGCTTAAAAGTAGATTTTTTAAAGTTGAAGATAAACCAGAAGATATATATATATTTAATTCATCTCAAACCAATTGGAGCAATGAGCATACATATACATAGCTTGAGATGCTGTTGCAGAGAGTATTGAAGGTGAAGTGATCTTATCTCAAGAGTGACAGCACCATAATTTGATGACCTGCCAAACAGTCATATGCCTTAAATAAGTCCATCAGAATGGTATTTATTGGCTTATAGTCCAATTTACATAGTCCTGTTTTTGAAGAGAGTGATATAGTCCTTTTGAAGAGCATGAAAATATCTGGCTAGGGTCAGGGACTGAAGATCCAAGGGTTTTGGGTTCGAGTTATTGAATTGATAATAACTAGCACTTAGAATTTGGAGAGCCACTGGCTCTCTCTAATTCCAGGTGAAGGAATCACAAGGTGTGGCTGCATTGAGAGGGAGTACAAAGACACTGTGTGATATACAATCACAGCTTTTCATATACAAGTAACATCTACAATGACCAGGGCCTTTTGAGAAGAAAAATGTTTCCTATAAGCATATTTAAGTACTTTGGGAATTTGTTTACCAGAAACAGAAATATTTGTTGATTTAAAGCTTTTTAAAAAATTTCTAATAGCTTTAACCTAAAAGGATTTTTTTCTTATAAATAGTTCCAATGCAAATACTGTTGTAAAAGATTTGGAAAAAAATACTTTAAACAATGCAATGGATGAAAATTGCAATCATGAGTCGCAATTTGCAAAATTACATCTACTGAGATTTCAAGAAAGTTTGTGCTTACCAAATCATTTCCACAAACAATTTTATAGTTGAGATAAATAATTATTTGCTGCAGTTCTTTTTTAATATTGGTCTAAAGCTGAAAAAAAATTTTATTAAGCAATTTAATATCTTCATGCTGGGATGTTCTTTAAACAATTTTATGATTTTTGCAATACAGTGGCTTGTTGTATTTTATTAAGCTGGGTATGCAGCATAACAGCCAGCATGGCACACAAGTCAGCAAAAGTAGGCCTACCACGAGATTAGTTTTTTTAAAAAAAAAACAAGTAATGACATCTTGCACAAAACAACAAAAGTGTCATCACTAACGAAAGAAAATAGTCGATATTACATACATGCTTTCCAATTCCATATGAGAGCGAATATTTTAACATGGAAAAGTCGTCGATTAACCGAAGCATAACTCTGAGGTTTGAAAGCTCAGCAGCTAGACGCCCAGTAGTGAAGTCATTATCTTTCCCCCGTAATCTTTGCAGCAATCCACTTGCAATGTATGCTGCATAGTTGAGTAACCTGATTACTTTGTCCCTTCCTCTATAGGTTTCAAGGAATGTAACCAACTGGGAAAAACGAGTGTTTACGTCCGCCATGATCGTGCACTGTCTGCAGCTACCACCTTAAAGGTTACGTGCGCTTTGAGGTCACAGGTCACCTTTTTCCAAAAGATTGTGCTCCAAAACTTTGCCCGAAAACATGGGCTCCGACCCAGGTTGGAACAAAGTATGGAGGAGAGGGAAAATTTAGCACCCATGACAAAAATTTGTAAAAAATCTCTATTGTTTTGCAAAAATCTCTATTGTTTTGCAAAAAAGTGGTTGGCCTTCATCGGCTGCCCTTCATCAGAGGCCCTGTAAATTGACAACCTTTTTGCCAGATTGACTGTTAATTGTAGAGAACATATGTTTTTTTATTTCAAATCAAATCCTTACGTTGAAATGAACAGACACCGCACAGCCAATGGGCTAGCAAGGGCTATAGCCCCCCCCCCCACTGGGAACTCTTCTTGTTCACATTCTTGGTGTCTTATCTTGTTTAGTGGGGGAGGTGTAGGGGTCTTCGGGTCTGCGGAATGGGAGTATTTTGGTACATGGAGTACAGATTTTTATTGTGTAAGTACGAAGAATTTGCGGATTTATGCATCTCGCTACCCCTACACACCCCTTTTAATGTTGTTTTTTCTAACTTGGTTAGCTTCGTGTTTAATTATACTCAAGTGATAACCCATTGTAAAAAACGAGAAGGGTTTGCCATTTAGGGGTGCTTCAAGAGGTGTTTCCCATTTAGGGGTGTTTCGTAATATTTAGCTTTGCCGGCATATAAAGAATGGCTCACCCAATTAATCGGCAAATAGGATTGGGGCCACCCCCCCTCCCCCTTGTAGTAGGATTAATACTTTCGCTTTCACACTATTGTTGTAAGTGCTTATAATCTTGTAATGATGTTTGTGTGTTGATAATATAGTGAAAATGACAAAGTCGAGTTTTCCTTAGTGTTAAACTAAATAAAAAATAAAGCTCTACCATACCCTGTGCACAATAGCCAGAGAGACAAAATTTGAAATCATTTTATCGAAGTACTTTCCTGAGAGTGCAATCGTATTCATGGTTCAAGCATCGATCAACGTTTTTGCGCCCCGAAGTCATTAATTTTCCTACAGTTTACCGTAAATAGAGTTTAAATTGATGACGTCACAAAAATATCATTTTAGAAATTTTGAAGTTGGATTCCATAGCTTGAAAGAGCATCAGGAAATACCTCTAGCTGTGCGAAATCAGTCAAATGTGTCACGAATTGGCTGAGATATGGCCATATGGGCATCAGCTCTTTTCTCACCAAACCTCTGTATTTTGGTCTCTGTTCATAGCTCGATAAACAGAACGAAAAAAACAGTGATTCGTTTGCAAGCTTCAAATCTTTTATTGGCAATATCTCGACCGATTTTAGATATATTTGAATAAATTTGCATATTTGGAAGTATTTCGTGGTGACCTTTTATGTTTATGTTAAAATTAAAAAATTCTTAAAAGTAGGTTTTTGGTGATGTCACACTTTTGAATTCTATTGAAGGACGTTGATAAATAAGAGGAATTTTCCTTAACTGAGACGTTACCTTATACGGGCTGGAAAAATATAAGTCACGATTTGAAATTTTTTTGCTTGCGCTTGGCAAGCGAGTCAACCATTGAAAAGTCGAGAAAAAGTTAACAAAACGAGAGCTTCAAGATTTTTAACATTTATTTTGAAGAGGCAGACAATACCTCTGCTAAAATTTAACCGTTTTAAGCTGCGATCACATCAGGATATCAAATACATCGGTGTACAGCTTAGAAGGGAAATAAATATTGGTCATCGTCCAATAAAAGTCAAATCTGACGGGTACTGTTCTAAGACAGCAGCCAGTGAATCTATCTATAATTTGCATAAACATAAAAGAGTTGGCAAGAATATACCTAGGGCAAGAAGGATAGGGTAGAGAAAAGAACTATCCTCCAAGTCATACGGGTTTGTTGCCTTAGGCCCAGACGTCTTCCTTTTCTTGGCTGGCTTCTCAGATAGTTCTTCTGGTTCTTCTTCTTTCTCTTCCAATTTCTCATCTTGGACATTCATTGTGGGTAGCTTTGGTATATCTAAATTAGATAAATTATTGATCAGTATCGTTTAAAAGAACAACAAAATATCTCTTTTGGACAATTAACATGTTCAAACGTCGGATTAGTGTCCGTCTTAAGAGGAATTGATCTGTGGCATAAGTATACAATTTTAAAGAAATTTAACCCAAAACTGAGCAATAATATGAATAGTTTGGGTTCATGGCTAATTTGCAACGATGTTGCACCTTACATTGCAGAAAAAAAACGAAAAAACTCTACAAAGTCATCATCAATGGTAAGTAATAATTCTTTATCAAACAAGGTGTCCTTAAAGGGAATGATCTGAGCTAAAAAGCTGATGTACCAAAAACACTTGACGATTTATTTCGGTTAAGGATACTCCAATAATCTGTGGTGATATTTTATCAATAAGAAGCTTGGATTAAGTCGAAACATCATAACTTTATTAGATAATGAACAGATCTAATTTCGTCATAAGAGGAAACGATTGGAGATCTCCACTTTTAACTCATCTCACTTCTAATTTACGTTTCATTAACGTTCTATAGTTCTACTTTTGACGGCGAATATGTGCTCAGTTAGCGAACCAATGGGCTAGGCCAATGGCCCTAATCCCGGAATAAATAACACGAATAAAAAAATTCTTGTTGGATGAGCAAGCACACGATAAAAGACAGCGTATGCTACTATAAAGACACTATAATCTAACTTTTGAAATGCTTCTTGAGTGGCTAAAAAATCCCTTAAAATTTATAGTTCTTTTTGGACTTCTTGTCATAAAACAAAACAGTTTTCAAGGTTACTAAAACCAAGATAACATATTGTAAAAAACCTCAAACTAAAACTATTTTACCCTCAATTGTTTGATATAATGTCATTGTTGGTGTTCGGGATCGAAAAGAAACGTTGAGAAGATAAGCCTTTCAAAAAAACATTTTTTTAACATTGCTCATAAAGATTCTTTTTAACCACAGTTTAGAAAAAAAGTTGCTTGACTCAAATTTTACATATACCGAAGTTACTTAGACATGTTTCAGTTTTAGGAAAGATGATTACAAAATAGTCACTTATAAAACAATATGTGTAAATGGAAACTAACTAAGAAAAAATAAAAGTATCACACATCATTTTGAAACAGGAATCAACAAATGCTTTGACCCACAACTGAAACATTACTAAATTGATTAAGTATAAAGTCAGCCTGTTGCACATTACATACATTCAGAAGATTGCAGAATTCTGAAGAGCATAAAAAATAAACCATTTATCCGTACTTATAGACAATCGGGCCTGGCCGTTTGAGGAGTGCCATAGCTCTTGCTCCTCTCTAGGCTCTCCTCAAATGCTAGAGGGGAGCTTTAGACTGCTCTCTTAAATTGCTCTAAAAAGCAAATTGCTCGCCTTGAAATTAATTTTTACTGTGTTTCTATTCATACCAATCTGCAAATACACTAGGTGAGCAAAATTAATGCACCCCCCCTCCCACCAAAAACGGCCGCACCCCGCGAAATTTTTATAGCAAACCGAATAGCTAAAGCAAATTAAATAAAAGTTTCAAGATGACCGTTTGGGTGGGGAATCATGGGAAATTTATCAAGAAAGAGTAATGATAATGAAAATTGTAAATATATCGTTTGTTTCTTTTTATTTTTCAGCCATATGGAACACTGCAAAAACATGAAAACTGAGCTATGGCGATAGGAGTACCTGTAATATTTTTGCAACAAAAAAGGTTTTTCTTTGCGCAAACCTGTAAGATTTCAGTAAGGCGAACTTGGAAATACTTACTTTTTGCTCGGTTGCCCAAAACAGTTAATTTTTCTGGGCGTTATTTAAGTATTTTTCAAAAGTTTTGGTCACACGTTTTTCGACATGCAAAACGCCTAATTTCGGATACCATTTCGTAACATGTTGCAACAGAATACAATCGATAGATCATGTCAGTAGCCTTTAACTCCATCTATTCCAGCTAATTGCGATGTTTTTTACGGAACAAATATTACAGCAATACGTCCAAAACAGCATTTCATCTCCTCGTTGAATGAAAATACCAAAATTTCTGCGATAAACAGTCGTAAAGATTGACCCACCAGTGTCCAAAAAACCCTTATTAAAAAACAGCTGTAAGTGTCATTTTTCGCTAAATTCAAGGCCAATAATGATCTTCTGGGATCTCAAACACCTAAATGTGATCTTGCCAAAGTTTACTAGAAATCCTTGCCAAAGTTTACCTGATCTTGCCAAAGTTCACTTACATACAAGAAATCTGGGATACACTTGCATAAATTCAAAACCCAGCTATTCATTTACAGCACTTTTCTTTGCTCTTCTTGAACCAAGATGTCTTTGAACCATGGTGGAAAGTTTTTTAACCTGTTTACTTGCCACGTGATCAAAACTTGTGAATGCTTTTATACCAAAACAAACCAAATAAAGCAATTAATATAAATAAGCTTTTGGCTAGACGGTTACAAATACTTTTATAAGGAGTCTCTTTAATAGGCTAAATGAAGCAAACATAACTCAAACAAGACAAAGTGAAGAAGATACGCCAGAAGATCTACCAGTTACACAGACAAACATGTCTAAATAAAAATACTTGCCATCAATAGTTCCTTTAAAAACAGCAAGTGCATTTATCTTTGGGTTGTCATAGTAGGTCTAAAATAAAAGTCACAAGCATTATACTTTGGCAGTTTGATAAATGGGAATGTGGAATGACTAAAAGATTTAGAATCATTGCTACAAATAATTGGAGAAGTTGACTACTTCCAAATTCTCAAAGCTACCACTAAAAAATCTTCTCATCTCCCTTAAACAATGCTTTTCACTTCATTAGAGGCATTTATGCATCCAATGTCAATCATATACTTACTGGCAACAAAATAATATCAAAATTGAGCAACATTCTAAGGGGGAATCCACTTTGTAAAACTGTGGAGATTTTGTGTACCAACAATTTAGTCTGTCACTGAACAAAATCCCAAGCAAAACTTCACAAGAAAAGAACACAGTTCTGTTGTAATTATGCATTAAAACTGAAAAATTGCTTTTCATCAAGCCATTTACTCAAAATTTAGCTGGAAACAACAAATCTTGAGCTTGGACACCTTATAGTCAAGCATTTTCAATGTAGCCTCCATTTAGAAGATGATAAGTCCTGTATTGTATCAAATAGCACTGTGACTACTTCATGCATTTTCTGATAAAAATCAAAACTTGTGTATCCATCTAATTTGATGCATTCTTCAGCAACAAATGCCTGTCTCTCAAGGAATCATACCCACTCTAACAGCATACATTTTTCCTTAAAATCAAACAGAAGAATGATCAAACAGACCAATCTCATTCCAGGGTTCCCTGAAGCTAGGGGTTCATCATTGAATGAAATCACCTTTCTTTCCTTGACAAAATTTATATACATTAACTACAAAAAGTTTCGTCATGACAAAATTTCAAAATGAGACAAAATTTTGTCATGACTATTACATGAGGTCAATAATCAAATTCATGTATCCTCATCCTCATCATCTTCCTCATCCTCATCCTCATCCTCATCAACATCATCATCATCATCATCATCATCATCATCATCATCATCATCATCATCATCATCATCATCATCATCATCATCATCATCATCATCATCATCATCATCATCATCATCGTTATTTTGGGTCCAAAAGGGTGAGGGCCCCTATGTTCCCTGCTCAATTCACCTTTGCCCAAACCCCTCTCCTTCCCAATCTTACCACCCAGGCTATGCTTCTTCAACGGTTTCAAAGAATTCCACCTCTGTCTTTTTATACCTATACAACCTATACATTTTAGAGATTGTGATTATTTCCCAATTTTTTACAAATTATGTGGCAGTTTACAAAAAACACTAATTATTTTCAAAGTTTATAAAAAGCACTTTAATGCCCTTTGTTGAAAAAATTTAACAAAGGCCACAGATCAATTCTTTTACAAATATATTTCACTGACATTTTCTTGCAAAAATTAAAAGAGGAAAATCCATAGGACATTCTTTTCATGGTAGGAGGCTTTGTTGCAAAATAAACTTTGATTTTAACAAATTATTTTAAACATTTGAGTGCACCTACCTTGACAAACTCTACATGTAACTGACCAGGAAATGGAGCCTTTTGCTTACCAACTTTTAATGTACCCTTCTTTATACTGAACGGGATGTACTCATCATGTGCAATGCCATACCCAACTTTGTCATATATGTCAAGGTCTTTTACCACTGGAAACTGGTTAATTTTTATGTCAAAAACCTAAAAAGATTACATTGTATTATAGATTTCACTGAATAGCCTATTTTTGATGTTGCTGCAATTTAAAAACAACACAAGCTAGGATTGAAGAATAGAAAATAATTACAGAATATCTTAAATAATAACTAAGTTGTAATAGAAGTTTCCATTCATTAAAGGGTAGAGGATTTTGAATTAAAATGTCACTATACTCTTTTTAAGTTTAAACAAAATAATAAATTACATTTTTCAATTCAGGATAGTCTCTTTTTAGCAGCTCCACAAGATATATAAAGCTTATCACACTTTATTCATCATCTGCTTAAAGACATTCATGGTGAATTCCATGCAAAATCATCAAGGTCATGACACCCTTCATCTCAGAACAAGGCTTGCTTTGTTTACAAACAAACTGAATCATATGTTTCAAAGTAGGAATTGTAAAATTTCATCATTTTTTATTATGTTATGACATTCTTCTTCTGGAACCAAAGACTTTGAGTTTGTACAGCCTTAATTTTAAATACGCAGAGAAGGTCAATCTCAAAACCAGATTTTGCACACTTTCTTAATAAAACTGTTTACATGTTCCAAAAATGTTTAAGCTTAGCAAACTGCGGTTATGAGGGTGAATTTATTTCTAAAGAAAGTTAAGCATCACTTGATCTTGCCAATATCATTTTTAACCAGCCTGTTTGAAACATGTATATCTTCTGTTTAAATATTATCCTAAAATTTTATAAGGGGCTTATTATTGCAATATGACTGATACCAAAGTTTGATTACAAAGTGTTTTTTTTCTGTTATCAAGGTAACCAAAGAGGTTGGAAAAACTATTCTAGCAAAGCATATTCAAACTCAATGGTCTAAAGGCTTTTAAAAACCCCCTCACAGAATGTAATAATCAAGGAGAGTATAAATAATGTAGTTCAGCATATTGTACATTGAATCAAACTTTGAATGTCTGAGCAAATTTTGTATTTATCATGACACTATGAAGAGTTAGGCTCAAAACATTCCTAAGGAAATTCAGAGATATAAATAATGCTGAATTTGCCTGATAAAGAGTTATGTTTGAAACATAGTTATAATATGTTTTCCATATGACGAAGTCGATTCTTCAGTCAATTCAAGCAAACTTTTATATCTAATTTTATAGTGATTTTGTAGGCTGACAACTCTAGGTGGCTGACAAAAAATATGTACGTAACAAACAAAGTTGAGTGCTGTAATTTATAAAATAGAGTAGGCTGCTGCATGCACGATGAACCATAAACAGTTTTTTGAAAAACAATGATAATCGGTAAAAAGACTCCAGAAAAGCAACTAGTGTCTTGTGGTGTTAGTTTTATCTTGTACATAAAAATGCAAACTCCCAGTCGCATAATCCTTCTCTCTGCACGGTTAAGATTGCAATAAACACAAAGCCATTTCGAAACCGTGCATCGACATGTCCTACCTTGAGCTTGGAGCCTCTGAAGTAGACTTCGCTAAACTTTAAAACCAGAACGAAATCACCCTCTTGTTTGATAGGAATATTGTATCCAAAATCTGCAACATGGTATCTTTCAGTCTGATAAAGGATCTGATCGGCTGCAGCCACTCTTCCTATTTGAACATTCTTTCCATAATCGGAGGAAATTCCGACAGACAACTTATCAGCTTGATAATGGACTCCATTTAAATCTGTATGTGATGAGCCACCAGAGTTTACAGCATAAATTACTTCACCAATGCTATGAACACATTTTGTGAAATCCCCAATAGTTATTATTAAGATTACAAATAATTTTGACAAATCGAACACTAATTTATGCGCCATATTGACTTCTTTTATTCTTTCCACCATTGCACACGAGTACCCTAGTGAACAAGCTAGCCTCTCAACGGCAATCAGAGATGAGGCAGGGAAGAACTCTGTTGAATGAGCAATGAAACACCTGTGCCTTGTCGTTTTTCAGAAAAAAAAACAGGCCCGTCGGAACCGGGGGGGCTGGGGGGGGTGATCTTTAAAAAAAGAGTCCAGAGTTTTTTTTATTTGTTGATTTTCTTTGGAAGAGATAATAAAATAAAATAAAAAGTTTTCAATAAAATAAAAAAAACGTGAAATTTGGGGTGAGGGTGAGACAATTTGGGATTTGAATATCATAATTGTATTGTTCCTCCAAACATATTGTTCATCAAGTAATGCAGGGTCCTTGCATGGCTTTTCAGAGTTAAATGGTATAAATTTGGTAATCTTCTATTTTAAGTAATGTATAACCCGCTAATAGACAATTACAGAACAACAATCTAAATAGAACGTAACTTTATGAGGAATTGTGATGCTAAGATGCTATGCTGCCCAGGAGTTCTCCCCTATTAACTATGGTCTAACATAACGATTTCTGACTTATTCAGCGTACGACTTTTGACTTGAAAAAGGGAAAATTATCCAATGAGAATTGAAAATTACAGTAAATCCCCGCATATAAGAACCGACTTTTTGAGGTTCAGGCTGAAGTAGGTTCTTATTGGAAAGGTACTTGGATTAATTTCAGGGTATGAAGGTTCATATTCGAAGGATCCTTATTTAAAATTTTAGGATTCATTATCATCACTCTATTTTTTGCCCTTGGGATAAGAACCTATTATATTTTATCACACTGAAACAGGTTCTTAATTACAAGGTGCATAATTTAGGAAAAACAGCCTCTAGGTTCTTATTTTTGTAGGTTCTTATATGCGGGGATTTACTGTACTCCGACTTAGTGAAAGTCCTAGTTATCCGGGAACGACTTAACAGAGTTCAACAGTATTTACTAAGAAGCGGCTTCCAATTTGTGATTCTTCCAATTTCACTGCTGCTCAGAATTCTCAGAAGAATTGAATGTTTAAAATTCAAATTGATGAGTTTCTATTCCACATTCCTACATCCTGTCCCGTTTCTACGAACAGCATGTGGCCATAAATGCTTTTCTTTTAGAGGGGCAAAACTATGGAATAGCCTGGACGCAAAATGTTATCTCGAAAACTCCAGAACATAAAGGGATCGTTTTTAGTCCTGGCGCTAGTTCCAGTATTTTAAATGCTTTTACTTTGTCATTCTAATCTGTATATTTGTATATCTGTATTTTAAAATTTTAGCGTTTATCGTTTTCTTTGTACAGGGCAGCTTTGAAAGCAATTTATGTATGTAGTTGATAGCTTTACCCTGTGTAAATAATTAAAAGTGATAATGAAATGAAATTTTGAAAGTTACAAAAAATGACTTCACGCCTCTTTAACAGCAGCAACCACCACCACGTGACCATGCCAACAACCATTGAAATGCAAACAGCAGTTGCTAGGAAATAAGGCCCTAAACCTAAAATGGCTACCCAAAACAAGGAAGAAGATGCAGGGCAGCAAAATTTTGAACCGGCTTTTGACCGCCAAGGTATCCCGCTTTGCCTTTCATGGAGCATTCAACAGGTTGAAAACTGGATGGAGAGCCTAGGATTCCCACAGTACAAGGTATTGGAACTGCTTGTTAAGTCATTCCGTGTAAAATCACCGAGAAAAAAAGAAAATGTCACCTTCCATCGCAGATTTTGCTAATTTTCACATATTGTGTACTAACTAATAGGAATAGAACATTCTGAAAATTTCAGATCATTATCTTCGGTAATTTTTGAGATATCCGTAAATGAATTTTCAAGAATTTTGAGGTAAAACTACAGAGGAAGAGTACAAAAAATTTTCTTTATTATCTGAGAAGTAGATTACCAGAACATATCCTATTTAACTTTTACAACTAAATTTAGCTATCAGCAATCCGAAAATGGTGTCAAATCGCATGTCTGACAGACATCTAAGATTCTATTTATAGAAACAACAGCAGGGGTTGAAAATCTGAAAGAACTGACTTTGGTGTCAAATTTCATTTTGTAATTTCATGGTGTTTGACAGGTAGCACCATAATGAGATCTGGCAATTGGCTTAAAGACATATTGAAGTACCAGAATATAGAATTTTGACTTGGTGTCTCTCCTTACTTCAGAACTATGGGCATTTAAAGTGAACAGAAAATATTCTCATATTTTTTGTGCAGAAGTTTATTTTTTGATGTAACTTGTCTGTTTATGGACATATAACTAACATCATTTGCAGCTTTATCAATACATTATTTGTTACTCACCACCTTTGTGTAATTGATAATGAGATGACCACACCCACACAACGGTGCGACAAGATGACCACACCCAATAAAGGGTGTGGCAAAGACAAGCAACATGTAAAGTTGCAGCATGTATGAAAATTTATACAAGTGTGCAGACAAAGATTTATCCTTTTCAAGCTACATTTTTTCTTTCAGGTATTGATGAAGGTAAAAACTTGTAAAAATGGGTATAGATTTCCATCCCAAGGCAATTTCCTCTTGCATACACAAACAAACAAAAATAATGAGCCAGTTTTTAATCTTACTGGTAATCTTGGTACTTTTTAATCTAACATTAGAAAAACATTGATGATTATTTATATTTATCAGAGATGAGATTATTGAGTCGAGTAAGCATGGGGTTGAAGTACCTGCAAATCTATTTAAGTGAAGATGTTGCTTTAAAATGCTACACAGGACCTTGGGGCTTTCTTACACAATGTGATATTTCTTATTTTGTCTAATCCAGGAATGTATTAAAACAAATTATATAAATGGAAGAAAGTTGGTTATGGTGGACACGTCTACGTTACCCAAGATTGGGATAACTGATTTTGAGCATATGAAGGTAAATATGGCTATAAGCAAATTCTTATTGCTAAACTTGCAGATTTTCAGGTGAATAATTAGACAAGTCAAAATAATCAAACATTAAACATTATCAACATACCTTGTGGTAACAGCATAAAGGGTTACTCTCCATTTGACATTGCTGCAATGCTCAATAATTTCACCACCCAGTAAAAAATTGGTGCCTCTTTGTTCATTTTTCATTTCCAAGAATGGGTTTTTCTGCAAGTGTCTTGATATATTTACAGTTTATAGCAAAGAACATACGTGAACTACTTGATGTAGAAGAACCATATTGGAATCGTAGTATCAGCCTGCCACCAAGAGAACCAAAGACACTATTTCTTGAAAGGAAATCAGCTACTGGCAAGGAAATAAATGCATTGACACTAGAGGAACATCTTAGAGAACTAAAGCAATTCAATCTACATGGTGTTCCAGAGAAACATTTGTTGTGATATCAAGAATATAAGTTTCCACATAAGATAGATTCAGTAGCTGGTAATTAATACTTTGCAAACTATAGCCCTGTTAAGACACACAGAGTACCTGAATATTGATTAAATTACATTGTTAATGTACTAAGTTCTTGAATCATTTTGTAATACTTAATATATATATATATTTATACTGTCACTAGTAAATACCATATCAGGCATTTTGTTATATTTTCATATAATGATACACAAGTGTAACTTGTGGTTTATGGATGACTCCCTTTTTGTAGATAACCATCATCGTAATGCCAATAACTATTTAAGTTTTTTTCAATATTTTGACACTCTGATGTAAGCCACTTATCCAGGACTACCAACAAGATTCTCCCGCAATAGAGTCCATTGCCAACCCATTAAGTGGTTCTTATTTGCCTCCTATCCAAATTTAAGTTTTCAAGAATATTTTAAAAACTTTAACACAAAGGTAACTTCCAGAAATTATTTAAGACAACAAGGTAGAAATAAAAGACAACAACTTCCAAAAGCCTTATCTGGAAAAATTTAATTTTCAGCAACAAAGGATGGATTATGCTAAGAAACAGTAAGATAGGTTAAATAAATTTGCAACAGAATACAGTTCAAGGTTTAAGATGCATGTTATTCAGGTTTAAGAAAACAAAATGTAAAACTAATGGACTGTTATTTAAAAATATTAATGGATGTGGACCTGCCTTTTTTAATGATACAATTCTCATTATAAAAATCTACTGTAATTTTTCACACAATTTATTACATATATCTTAATACATGACCGTTTTTCTTCACCCCAACAATGAGCCACACATTCAACTTTCTAAATGTCTAGATACCATTATACATGAGATTAAAACCAGCAAACTGCAATCAAGCAAATAATTTTATTTTGGTTTACATTACATTCTTATGGCTAAAAGTATAATAAGCAACCTAAATTCACTAATTTTTTTTCCAAGACTAGCCAATGAATACCAGCAAAAGCAAAATTTCATGAACTGGAAGCAATGAAAATAATGGGCCATCCTTCTGGTACTACAAATCATGTCTCAAAGATAGCTACATCTTACAGATGAAAATAGTTGTTTTACTTGTCAAGAGAAATGCCACCAAAGGGGGAACTCCCATACTTGACCTTATAGCATGTGATGTAGGATAGAGTATAGTTTTTCCTTAAAAATTATTGGACAGGGTATGATGGTACTAAAATTCTTGGACATGGCATCAAAATTAAGAAAATCTAAAGAAGAAATACTTGAGAAAAGCTTACTCTGATTTTAGAGTTTTCTTAGGATGAGCATGTTCCAATTTTATTTGTTACCAATGACAAATATCACAAGACTGGTTATTTTTTGGCATTATTGTGCCATATTCTTGGCATACTTGTTATAGGACAGTGTTTCCTTTTGGAAATTTATTTATGTGACAGGGTTGGTCCAAAAAGGCTTCTTGACATCCCTGTCAATTTCCTAATCAAGTGCCCCCAAGTCATATGCCTAACTTGATTATCTGTTTTCTCCAAAAACTCTAAAATCACAAACAATATTATTCATTCATTTTCCACAAGATTAAATGTTCCATTTAAACAAAAGATTATATGTCTCTATAAAGAATGCACTATCGCAGACTTAGGCTGACTTCTATCCTTCTAAAAGCTTAGTAAAAAAAGCATATATAGAGAATCAAAGAACAGTTGAACACATAATTATCTCTGTTTCTAACTTAAACTTACTGTCAAGTAATATTCGAAATCATAGTTTACTGGAAGGTACTTGATCTGACGGCTGATTCAAAACATCTTTCCACCAAGAAATGCGTTTCCTCTTGTCTGGATCTTCCATGAAGTTTTTGTAAAGATTTTCTAGGGGCTAATAAATGAAAGCAAAATATGAATTGGTGATTAAAAGGGAAGAAAAGATTACGAGCCAAAAAGAGGATTAAGAGATACTTTCCATTCGAAATCCCATTTAAATAAAGGGGTGTCACAAAATGAAAAGCAAACACATAAGCAACCAGCTTAAATAGCTGCACCAATGCCACACTTGGTACATTTTTAAACTATTAGCAAATTATTTAAGTCAATCATACTAAGCAGAAAAATGATTCATAAAGAACTTCCATTTGTGATTGCTACTGACTTGTTCCCAATATATAACTCATTCTATAAAATGTTTAGATGACAGTATATAAACTCAAAGAAAACAGTTCCGTAAGACGTTTTGCTTTTGCTTCATCAGTAATAACTTTACAAATCAGAGGAGCCTACTTATCAACCTAAATTACAATAGAAACAATAGAAATCTAAGGGGGACCTGCCAAATACAATACATATTGTTAAATGTTAAATGTTAAATTGTTAAATGTGTCAAAATGCAAATTGTTATGGGGAACTGGGAGAGAAGTGAATAGAAAGGTAGAAAAAATAATGTGATGGAGATGTTAGTGTTGACTATCTCACAATACATATTGTTAAAATACAATACATATCGTTAAATGTTAAATTGTTAAATGTGTAAAAATGCAAATTGTTATGGGGAACTGGGAGAGAAATGAATAGAAAGGCAGAAAAAAGAATGCGATAGAGATATTGGTGTTGACTATCTTACAATACATATTGTTAAAATACAATACATATCGTTAAATGTTAAATTGTTAAATGTGTAAAAATGCAAATTGTTATGGGGAACTGGGAGAGAAGTGAATAGAAAGGTAGAAAAAAGAATGTGATGGAGATATTGGTGTTGACTATCTTACAATACCTATTGTTAAAATACAATACATATCGTTAAATGTTAAATTGTTAAATGTGTAAAAATGCAAATTGTTATGGGGAACTGGGAGAGAAGTGAATAAAAAGGTAGAAAAAATAATAAAATAATAAGCACAGAAAATGAAAAGATAAGCTTAAAACACAAGAGCTGACAGCATAAAAAACAGGAAGGAACAAAATTAAATATGTACAATGATTACTGTAAATCAGTAATGATTACTGATGAAGACTTCGATCGAAACATGTTTAAACATTTTACATTATGAGCTTTTGAATACATATATATATATATATATATAGAAATTTGTCTTTTGATACTTCCAAAGCACAGCGCTCAATACGTTAGCACGTAGAGCGTGATATATCAACATCTCCTGAAGAGTGAGTTACTCACGAAACAGGCTTGTAGAGATAAACCATGTAGTTTTACTTTCTTCAATCTATGAATCTATATTATATATATAATATATATATATATTAATATATAATATATATATATATATATATATTAGGTTGTTAAAACTATGTTATCTTCCTCTGATGCTATAAACACAACACCTGTCACTGTGCACTTAATAAAAAACATCAGCTACTATAATATTGCTCCAAAATTGAAATATATAGACACAGGCCACCAACATTGTCATGAAGTCTTGCAATATACTCTTCAGAAATAGTCTATCGAAATGCGCCATTGGCATAACAACAACAGGTGAATATCTTAAGTCACAAAGTTTTCTGTAAATAACTTCATAATGCAGGGTAAGACCTGCTTCATTTTTTTTGGGGGGGGGGGAACACCTGTTATCAAAGTAATCTAGAAAAACATTTTCCATTTATTCAACTATTCACTGTTTGTTTTATTGCATTCCACTTTCTTTTATTTTTTTGATTTGTTTTGTCCCATTTTATAAAACCAGATACCACAAAAACTTGGGCAAAATCGACTTCTGTACATACAGGCCGCATCCATAATAGTCATACAAAATTGGACAAGATTTCTGTGCCCTTTGGCCTTCGTCTACATGGATACGTTTTAAAAAGATTTCATTTCATCTTAATGAAAATTAAAAAAAATCGTGTCCACACAGAAACAATGTATTTTCAAACTCTTGGTGTTTGAAAATAATCCACTCTAAAAGGCGATTTCGATTTATGTCGCAAGCTTAACTACTTGCTTGAACTACTTTGTGTATGAAGTATGAAAGTGGGTTGGTTGTATCACAGCTCTAAAAGAAGTATACGTCGACAATGTAGGGGCAAAAAACTGACAACCAAAAGGGTAAGTTCTATTAAAACACCTCAAGATCATACACATGGGTATTTTGTTTAATCAGAAACGGAAGAAATTCACTTTGTCGATTAAAATAGCAAGGCTCTAATTCAGTTACGCTTAAATTACTCCTGGAAAAGACTCTGCAAATATAACACCCTCCCTCCCCCCTAACACCAGCTAGCAAGACGAAAAAAGCGTGGGGTTAAGACGTGGGTTTTTACCAAAAGCATTTACAGACCTATATATGAACTAGCCTGTGCTGCAGACCAGGTTCTTCTTCAGAATGGGAAGTGCGCCGGCGACACTGGCTACCGTATTTGACCTAATAAACGCCCGGTATTTATTAAAATTATTGGCTTTTTGGAGAGGGCGACTATTAGAGAGGGTCCTTTACTGAAAAAATGTTCTTTGTAAAATAAAATCATTTTTCTCAAATCAATCCATGCTAAATCTGAAAAGTACAAAATCTAATCAATTGATAAAAATTCATCCTCCTCTTCGTCTAAATCAATTTCAGTTAGTAGATTCTCCTCCATATCAGAATCTGCTATTCCAAATAGATTCTCTTTTTTTTTGCAATCATAAGGCGTCTCTGTTTTAAAATTTTCGTAACCTGCATGGCGCTGCTTTTAGACATAAACACTTATAAAATGTTTATAAAACGACATAAACACAAAATGTTGCCTTCTTTGAAATATTTCTAAGAAAAGCCCTAGGCATTAATTAAAGGGTAGGAGTTTATAAGAGAGGGATTTATAAGATCAAATATGGTATATATGATCTGGGTGCACAAATAAAGTATCTTTATTTTGCCATGAGCATGGGGCCCTGTTCCAAAATTGCACTTGAAAACACTTAACAAAGAATGCGAGGGATACCTTTTTAAGCAATGTTCAGCCATGTTCAGCGATGTTAAGTCAAATTTGACTGAAGTAAATTAACTCAACACTCATATAATTCCTTAAAAATGAAAGGACAAAGGCAGCCAACGTTTAAGCTTGGTACTTCTAAATGAGGGTATAAAACACATCCCACACGTATACTGGCAGCCATAAAGAACGTATACTGGCAGTCATAAACGCACAGGTGTTTCTGGCAAAGTCACAAGAGCATTGAAAAACTGTCTTTGATCTTTTCTACCTCCAACCTTATTACTTTTTCGAAATGAGATTACGGGAACAATACCTATTATTTTTTTGATAAGATATAGTTGTAATAGCAGAAAAAGATAACAACTAAAAATATATTGATTACATTGATTACATCCCCCTATTCTTGCCACAGAGCATGGCTTTGTAATGTAAAGATAAATACTTTTACATGGGAGCACTGTTAATTGCTCTTACAGGATAGTACAAGAGTCTGTGTGCTAACAGACAACAATGGTAACATAGCAGGTATTATGTCATTTGGACAAGAGTATTACATATAAAGAATTACCTTGCCATTACTTAAACCAATGGGAGCTTGCAGAACCCAGTCTGGAGGTGCAAATGTATCAACAAGTGTGACTGCATCAGGCCGCAGCTGCAATACAAAAGTGAATGGACATCTAGTTAAAAATGAATAGGAAAATGCATAAAACTGGACATTAGTACTAAATTATTGAAAGACGGGTATGCATGTCTGTGTATCTTAATTACTGATTTTGCTACCCTGGGTACCAGAGCCTCAGTTAAAGAAATGATCGAATAGTGGTCGGACGAAGAAGAAGAGGAGAGGAAAGAGGCTCTGGAATAAGCGTAACACAAGCTCTTTCATCCCCTCCCCTTCACTACCCACTCTTTACCGACCCACTGATTTTACATGATTTTACAAACTTAAAAAATAAATGCAAAAAGGCAACCTGAGAATACTGGTAAACTCCATAGTGAGCAATGCATTTCTGTTGGCATATAAGAATGGATTGTGATTCTAGATGGAAGTAACAATGTATGTCCAAATGTACACAATTTTGACCAGTTTTGATTTGGCAGAAGCACTATATTGGCAGCAGGTGTAAAATCCTCGTTATAAGAGCTTATTTTCTATATGAATAGAACCAGTCAAACCTTAAATAAAAAATGTAACCATAGCAATAGAGTGGATCTTATCATAAACAAAAAATTGCTGCTTACCTTGCTACACAATTGGAGAATTTCCTCTCGCAGTTTCATTGTTTCATTTCCATTCTTAAAGAAACCACCTATTGAATGGAACGGTTAAATTCAAGAAACACAATCGCAAATTTATCAGAAATGACCTTAGTTATATGGTATTTTGAGTCTGAAATTTAATGCTATAGCATGGTAACGAGGGGGTTACGGTGAAAGTCTTGCAGAAGCAACTAAAATGCCACAACCAAATGCAAGTCGAAAAGTCCTATTTCATAAAAATCCATCCCAAAAATAACTTGTATTCTTAAAAGTAGGAGATAAAATAACAACTGACTTTTGCCAGGATCGAAAATAAATAAACCAATAGGTACCATGTATGTATTTTTAGGTATCCAAAGTCGCTCCTGTTTGTTCATTGGTCATTCCTGTTTTATAGTTATTAGTGATTGGGCAATATGAAGATATATTTTACAAAGTTAATGAAAACCTTATAAAGTCGTTCCCAAATTCATCCTTTGTGTCGTATTCTTGCCAATGTTTATAGATAGAGATTGGTCATTGAGGAGGAGTGCTTTAACCATTTAATCTGAAGTGGAACAAACTGCGTTACCTTGAAACAGTGTTGCTAGATGTTTTTCTAAACTCCAAAGTCCATAAAGCATGTATATGTTTCTGATCACTTTACTAACGCTTTGTGGAACCTCGGTCTGGTAAACCTTTTTGTAAAACCTTTCAATTGCCACGTGCTACAAATTTAAGTGAGATAAAGCTGAGACAACATAATACGTATAGGTAAATTCCCAATTGAATGGGAATTTTAATGTGAATTAGACCACTATTAGTTTTAACTCAGACAGCAGTTATTTAATTTGCAGAAAACTATTCGCTATGCTTATGCTAGTCAATGAAGAAAAGGGGTCGCAAAACTGTGTTACAAACAATTCTGACAAGGTATTGACAAGGAATGTACTGAAAACATGCCTTCAATTTTGCATATACGGTTCATGGCATTCGAAGGAAATGTAAATGTTTATGGGACCGTGTTATATTACTATCTGGTTGGCAACTTAATGATGCAAGATTCAAACTCTTACTAACGTTTTGTTCTGCTCAATTTTTAACTTACCAGAAAGAACACAATTTTTTATTCAAAAGGATACACAAGGACACAATTGAATTTGGCTTCATTTGAGTTTAAAACATGGGTGTTTACAAATTAAAATTGCAGAATAAATAAAGTATTTCTTACTTCAATGAAAGCCATTGCCAGAGTTCGACAGTAATAAACCTGACTGTCATTCTTTGCTGTAAACTTGTCCTGTAAAAAAAACTTCCAACATCAAATCATTGCAAAAGTGATTTCACAATTCTTCTCTTAACGAAAGGATTTAACTCAATACAATGTTACTCGCAAACAAGGCGGCCAATAAAACTGGGACAAAGCTAGTCATTGATTTACGGTGATCTCAACGATTGTGATATTTCTATACAAAACAGGGTCCAAAATATAAACCATAGTCCAACGAGGGGGGGAGGGGGGAGAAACAAATTGTGAAAAATGGTTTGCCCTAGAAAAATATTGAAAAAAACATCTTTGTCTAGCTTTGTAGATCTTATTCTATCCTTTATCTAGCTTGGTAATACCACAGAAAAAACCATTTTGATAGAAGCTGATTTTGATAGAAGTTGATTTCATAACATAACTGACTGGGAATTTCGAAAACAGGGAATTTTGAATAAATGGGGTGGGCGGGAATGCTAATAAATAGGGGACCTGGAATAGACAGGGTGGTTAGGGAATAACTCAAATGCCAATAAACGGGGGTTACAGAGTAAACAAGGTGATTGAAAGTTTTTGTAAGTTCTAGCATGTAGCAAACATTTAACATGCATTTTCACAACAACACACAAATTCTTACGACGAGTGGAATGCTGCAATGACGATGACTGGGTTGTCGTGCTAACAGAATTAAATATGCAAGTTTCTTAAAACACAGGGCTGGGAAATAATGAAAGGGAGGTTTAGAATATAGATGTCCTTGGCTGTTATTCTTTGAAAAAATACTTAGAAGAGAGGGACCTTCTTATTGCCTCTTATTTTCTCCAAAAGAATAAAACACTTGTGTAAGGATACAAATATATAAGGATATACTACTTGAGGAAAAAGACGCACAAAGAGGTCGTTTTTGAACTTGTCTAGTGTAGTGAAATAAGGTTAGGAAGGGGGGGGGGGATACCGAAAAAATGTTATGCTTGAAGTGTAATATGGGCAGTGTGTACCGAAACTAATATGCAGCCTCTACATTCACTCTAAATATAACTTGTAGAGATTTGAGAAAAACATTTACCTTTTGCATGGCCAACTGTTCGTTGTACTTCCGATGACTTTCCGCAAGTAAGTAACAAACAAGCCAGTCATAAGCAGCCAAAACACCTGAAAATACAGTTCCATTTTATCAACAAGGTTGACTTTTCATTATACCTATAAATCTGTTATGAACAATGTTAATCCAAGACCAACGGAATTTCATACAAAAAATAAGTGACTATATCATAGCCATTCAGGGTACCTTTTTTGCAAGAGCAGTTTTTTTGCACAAGAATTAGCTTTGTGCAAGCAACCCTATGTAGCCCTGATTATAATATAAAAGATTTGTAACAAAAATTAAAAGAGTGCAGCTTGATTCCTTTACACTTCAGGGCAACATACGATCTTTCTGATCTTATCATTTACTATATACATTCTCACCTATTTTAAATGAAAATATCTGGAGGGGGTGTAGCTGGTATAACATAAAACCCAATTCGGTTATACAATGTTACATTTAGTAACACAGTGTTACATTCTGTTACGCACAGCCTCAATTCCTACAAAGAACAATGTTCATTTGGTATCAAATCTCCATCAGTCCGAGGGAAGTCATCAAAGAAAAGGGGGCATATCATTTTGTTATAACAATGATGGCGGATTTGAGCCAAAGCGTATTGCTAAAAGGCGCATTGCTGTTGAGTCATCCTTTATCTCCTGACAGGTTTGAAAATTCGCCTATCAAGGAGACAGAAAAATATGCTTTGCTTTGCAACGGATTTATAATGGTGGATTTAAAATGTAAAAACTGTCGACTTCATCAATTGAGTAGATTAAGCTAGCAATCTCTAAAGTAAACTCCTTATTGTCTAAAATGTGGGGTGCTTACCTTCTGGTGTAGTGACATCGGGATGGTTTGTCGCAGAAAGGATTTCAGCATACCGATTGAGGAAAAGGGTAGAGCCAAGTGGTGATGCAATTTGCTTTCCTATATAAAAACAAAGATACAGTCGAAAAAAGCTGGAGAGCGTATAAATCGAGACACAGATAGTTCTTGTTGATTGTTAAGCAAAAGCTTATAAGGTATGCAAGACACTTTAATTATCAAAGTGTAAAATGAGCATCGTATATTCCCTGTTTAATTCAAAATAGGGCAGGATTTTATTGGAGGGTGGAGAAAGTTAACTCCCAAAACTCGGAAAATTAGGCAAAAGTTATGGCTCCTGCAATCAGGCATGATTTAACACTCTAATGTTAAATACGAATTTAAAAATTGTTCCATGAAACACAAATAAATTTAAAGGAAATCTAGAGGAAACATACCACGTTTCAGTTGATAGAGCAATGATAACAGATGGTTACTTGTCTGGCCAAGAAGCATGTTGTTATCTCCTTCATAAGTGCAGTTTGGATCGTTGTCATCTCGCAGACTTCCAAACCTGTTGACTATCAGGAAGATCATCAAAAGCATTTCAAACTGGATGATTCTAAATCTCCTTAAACGGAACAGTAAGTTAGGAAATTTGCCAACTTTGCAGGGGGCAGCCCAATTTTAAGTGATTATGGGATAGCTGGCATTTTCATAAAGTTCTCTGTTCCAGTCAGATTCACTTTAAATTGGGGACAAGTTTTAAAATCATGATATTGGCAATGTCATAAATCTCTGGCTGCCTGTTTTTAATAAAAGACTAAAAATGCAACTATGTATAATATAGAGCTACAACATTGAGAATAAGTCTTTATGTATAAATTTTGGGCAATCCTTGAGATGGAATCCGTTTAACTAAATAGTTCAGAGAAAAACAAGGGCCACTTGTTACGTTACTGGCACCAGGTTTAGAAGTATATGTCTGGTTGCTGTACAATTTAAGGACCAATAAGGCTTGTTATAAAACATTAGTAAAATTTTCCTGTCAATCTCTTGAATTATGGCAATACTAATCATGCTGAATTGAAGGTATAATTGACACTTCTATTGCTTCAGTGTTAAAATTTGGTGAGAAGAAATGAATGGTTTTTTATTATATGAAAAAGAGGCGTAGTCTTTATGACTCAACTCAAATGGGCAAGCACTCAAACTTAAACAGAGCAAAAAACTTGATTTTCAAAGTTTATTGAGAAAAAAACTGACCAAAGATTATTGAGAAATAAAGAATTTAAATTCGGCAACAATTTTATTTAGTTGCCCACATGGTATCGACTCGAAGGACTACAAACATATAAATTGTGTAAAAAATGTTATCATGCTGAGTGATAAATATATTGAAAAAAAGTAAAATGAAGGACACCAAATGCAACATTATTGTAATAATCGTGAAACCTGTTGGCTCAAGTAGGTTAGAAACTAGGAATGAAAAATAAAACTACATATCCAACAGAATGTCTGAACAATTGTAATCTGAAATAAGAGTGAATTTTATACCTGATAAATAGCCATGACCACCACAGGCTTCTCTGCATTCTTGGATGCCATCCCTTGCTAGCCATGATGTTAGAGGCTTGCTTGCACACGACAATGCATGGATCTCTTTACCAGTATTGTCCTGCAAAGAGCAAAGAGCAAAATCCCAAGAAAATTCAACAAGTATGTCAAATTCCTTCAATTCTTGGATATAACAAAGTTTCAGTGCTGACAAAGTACAATTGTCTTCTCCCAAGAATGCTGTTTCATCCACTAAAGAGTAAAAAATTTCACCCTACCATGAAAGAAATGATTGTTCAGAGAAAATTGTTGACAGTTTCATGCATTTATGATTTACCTTGAAAATGGTGTAGGGCTTGTACCACATAAATTTTGACAAAATCGTGACCACAGAAAATTACTGTGTAGGATAAACACCCGAAGTTATATCTTCAAAAGATGATTCTCAACAGTACAATATTCTAAACATAAAACAAAATAAAACTATACAGAAGGTGCATTTAAGTACGTATTTTACAAGAAAAAAGTTATAACTTAAGAGTATTTTCGTACCATATGCTCACCCTTTTCACCAAACATCAGCTTCAATTGAAACTCATGTGAATCTACATACGAAGTTTTGAAGTAGTGATCCGTCACAAAAACAGCAGCTAAGTATGGCAACAAACGCCATTGCTAGAAAAAATATTTGAGCATCAAATCAAATATCAAATGAATACACTGAAAAATACTGTCAGTGGTCTTTCGCATCTGCCACAACTTGAAGCAGCCCTGTTGTATACACCAAGTACATACAAATAAAGCGTACACAGCATGTTGTATAGCTGTGTATGCTTTAGTGTAAAGCAGAATGGCTCTTAGTTTTGAACTTTATGAGGTGCTGGCTTTAATTGCGTTACTGCGCTAGATCAGGCCAGATGCACTTTTTATGGAGAGACGGCATATTGAGGGACAACTTTGGCATAAAGTGGGCATAAAGTGGGAAGAACGAGTCCATTATTACCAGTGTCTTAGAAGAATTGTGCAGAGATTTTCTTGCAGGTTGCTGTTGTGGTTTTAGAAAATACACTTTTATTTAAAGGAGTTTATCACAATGCTTCAGTGAGCACCTTTTCTATGACTGAACTTACAATTTCAAAAAGTTTGATATGGAAAACTTGTAGAAAACAGTCTTACTTTCATTCTTATATGTCTGTTGAGGCAAAAAAACACAACAGTTGCCCAGGGGAAATGCCTTAGGCAGATGACATAGTCCTTATCAGTGATACAATGGAGGGAAGTTAAGCACATGAAAAAAGGAACATTCATCTTCAGACCTTTATTTAAGGGAAAAACCTGAGTCTGAGAGTGAATGTTGTCAAGACAAAGGTGGTGATCAGTGGGTGCAGTGTTGGACAGCCCCAGAAAAAGAAAAAGTCTCCTGCTAAGTTTATGGAAAGGAAGTTGGGAGCAACTAAATTTTTGTTTTACTTGTAAGGACAGGGTTCACAAAAGACGTAGTGGGATTATAGGAAGGCCAAAAGATAACAACCATTTTATGCGCAAAAGGTGGGCAAAAAACGAACACAGGTTGCGACTTTAACATTGACAGTGTATATATGGATGGTGAACCAATCAAAGTTGTTCAGTAGTTTGGCTACCTTGTTGACATCTTTCAGAACAATATTTATGCTAGTGTAACAGTTAGAGTTAGAAATGGATGGAGTAAATTTAGGAAATTTCTACCACTACTAGCAAGCAGGTTGATGGTCGCAATAGAGTTTATACTTAACGATCGTCTGTTTAGGTGAAACAATACATTTTTGTAACAAACTGTTTTAAAGCATTTAGGAAACGGAGGATACCTGCATTTGGTAATCAAGGACAGGTATCTCAGCATCAGGAGTTGGTCCAAATTGCTTACGAGCAGCTGAATATCTATAAACAAATTATTATTATTGTTATTATTATAAAATTATTTACAGTAGACGAAGCAAATTTTTTAGCTAATATAACAGCTAATTAAAGCCTACTATTTATAGTAAATTTATAAATCTAAAATTAATTACAATGAATGGATAAAATAATATAGGAAATGTACAAAATTAAAGGGATGACTCATTAGATAAAAATTACAGTTATTCGATGACTATTTCAAGAATTCAATCTGCGCAATGTAAGGTTTGCATAGTCTGCAGTTGCATTTTGTATCTTTCCGAGGTTTAATCTTTTTCTGAAATATTGCGAGGCTAGAAGATGTTTTAATGTCATTTGTAAGCTCTTGCCAGAGCTTGGATCCCATATAGGTTGCACTTTCTATACCATAACAATTTGATTTTAGTTTTGATAGCGATATTCGGGATATGTTTCTAAGATTATAGCACGCATTACTTTCACTAAAGATTTCTTTCATGAAACTTGGGTTGAGATTATGTAAAGTTTTATATATTTCTGTAAGAAGTAACTGCAGATTATTATCATGGATAGACATTGAGTTGTCTTTTTCAAGAAGAGTTTGAAAGTTTGATTCATAGTCATCATAGGCAAGAAGCAAAGACTTTTCATGAATTCTATTTATTCTATTGTTAACCTGTCGATCACAAAACATCCAAATTAAAGGACAGTAGCTAAATTGTGATAAAATGAAGACGTGCATGGTCTGTTTCACTTTTCTATCATCCATGTAGTTGGAGATTCGGGATAAGGCATGTAGCTTTTGGCTGGCCTTTTTGCATATCGATTGTACGTGTCCTTTGAACGAAAAATTATTATCAATACTTATACCAAGAAGTTTTTGTTCTTTACTTGGTTTAATTATCGTATTATCTATTTTCAGAGATTTGTCATTGCTGCCTTTACCAAAATTTATAAGATGGCATTTGTCCCCATTCAGTTTCATATAATTATTTTGAAACCATTCTCTCAGAATAACTACGTCTTGTTCTAGTGTTTTAATAGCCTGCTTAATGTCTTGGTCGATGAAATAAAGCGTTGGGTCATCAGCATAATTGCGTATTTGGCTATTTGATATAAACATAAACATGTCATTTATGTATATATTAAACAAGAGAGGTCCCAAAACTGATCCTTGTGGCACACCTACACTCGTGGTTTTCCATTAAGAGCCGTTTATTTTGACTCTTTCTTTCCTCTGGCTAAGGTACGATAATGTGAAGTTCAAGGCGCTTCTACTAAAACCATAAGCATTGAGTTTAGCAATTATTAGGTCATGATTCAGACAGTCAAATGCTTTTGACAGATCCATCAATAGTGCACAGCTTTTTTGCGATTTTCTATGAATCTGAGTAATGTATGTTGGGTGCTATAATTCCTTCTGAAACCACTTAGCAGTGGCGATAGAAAACCATGCGTGAACGGAGTAATTTGTGATTCCATGATTCTCTCATATATTTTTTATGCTGACGGTAAGGTAGCGATTGGTCTATAATTTTTCTCACTGAATTTATCATCTTTTTTATGCAACGATGATATGTCTCCTAATTTGAGTTCTTTTGGAAATTTCATATTAGCTAGGTCTTCATTAAATGTTTTTTGTAAAATTTCAGAGAAAATGTCTGAATATTCTTTAAATATCCTAGCAGGTATATTTGATATTGGTGAGGCCTTTCTGGTATTAAGTTTGTTTATCTGATCCCAAATTTCCCCACTGTTAACTTCCCTAAATATAAAGGGCTGTGGGTCAGGGTACATTTCTTTTATTTTTATGATACTTGGGTGGTTTTTATATTTCTCAATGGCTTTATCAATTGGGTCATTTATACCATTTGTAACTGATATGTGAGTTATATCTTGTTGAATTCCTAGATCTTGTGTTATGTTTATAAAATAGTTGTTGAATAATTCTGCAATCTTGCGGTCATTACCAATCAATTCTCCACTTTCTTCCAATGTAATGGAGGGTGTTGTTTTTATCTTTTCTGCAAAGACTGGTTTGATCACTCTCCAGAATTTGCGATTATCTGTAAGATTACTCAAGTCTAGGTTTCTAAAATAACTGCTTTTAGCATTACGTAATAACTTTCCACATTTGTTCCTTTGCCGTTCATATGCTTTATGATTTATAATTACAAAAAGGTCAATCTTTCGTCTATATCAGCTGATGACTTTTATGGAATTCGTAAGCTGAATTTTTTAAACAAAAGCTGAATTACAAGTTAAGTGGTAAGGGAAATTATTTAAAGGGTTTTGTGAATTTGAAAATGGAGCTAAATTTGACATTTATGATTCAACTTTCAAATATTGAATGCTTTGCAAGGCTTTTTCAGCTTGGAAGAATAGATCTTAAACTTTAAGAACACTGTAAACTGTATACACTGTACACTATAAACAAATAGAATACAGGAGCTGGAAATTTTATCTGATGTACTCTTAGAGCCAAAGCCCATTAAAAGTCAAAGGTTTAAAAACCTGTCTGTATCACATTTCTTGCTGTGTTTAGAATTATGGCCAGTTCTTATCAAGAGTCTTTCATAACTCTTTGGAAATGTTGCATCTCAACTCTCATTACAAAATCTGCATGTGCGCTTAGTAACAACTTGGTAAGTTAAACAACAGAACAATAAGTCTAAAAAGTAGAAAGTTTTGTATCTAAAGCAGCAGAACAAACCTTATAGCTATTGTGATAGCAACTTTGAGATTCACGATTCCCATTCCAGTGATACCAACTCTACCCGCAGAAAGAACACCCAAAGCAGCACTGTGCCTTTTCTGTGGGTCTTTATATTTAGAAACATATTGACCTTCTGGAGTAACATCAGCAGTTCTGTTCATTAAATGTGTTCTTGGAATGCGAACATGGTCAAATAAAGCAAAGCTAGGAAAGATAAAATGTTAAGTTAAGAATTTCATTTAGAGCTTACCTCTACCAAAAAATCAGAAAATGTGTATTTTTGTCACACAAACTTATGAAACATAGAAATATCTATAAAAGAAAGCAAATATCAGTAAAGATGGGATAGCAATGCCATGCTTTGAAAAACTTCATAAACAGCATTCCACACTACAATAAATAAATTTGGGTGGAATCTCAAAAAAGTGGGGTGGAAAATCAATCATGTAGAAGTAAAGATTATAAAATCCAGTAGAAAATTGATAAAGTCATGTTATCAACAAAATAGGGTAGAAAATCAATGATCCCAAATTTGAATAAATTATCTAGAAATAGGGGACTTATTCCTATCAATAGTTGCATGTTCAGTTTCGTATTTCGGTAATTCCCTAGTACTGTAAAGGATGGGTGACAAAATAACCTAATCATACCCATTGGCAAAATAATTTAAGCCAAGCTTCTTTCCCATATCACCCACAGTAACTCCAGGTAGTGAATGTAAAGTCTCTGGATCTCGCACTGGCACAACAAAAGTATGCAGTCCATGGCAGACATTATCTGGTGTATAGAGCTGGGCGTAGACAAGGGCGTGTGTTGCTCCATCACCTAACAGCCCAGACCAGCATTTTGCAGCATCAAAATGTGGTGTATTGATGACGAATTCCTTGAAAAAAAATACTATAGTAGCACAAAAACCACAAACCCTTTGACATATACCTTTCTTTCAAAGTTATTTGTGCACGCTAGAAAATCATTTTAGAGCAACCTAGGCCTTTCTGGCAGCAAACCTGATTTATATTTCACATACTGTAATTCACCATGTATAAAATGAACCTCAAATTTTGTTTGCCTTTGCCTGAGGGTGTGTCTTAGCAGTACATTTTAGCATTGACTATCCCATCATTTCTTTTTTAAGGCAAAGTGTTATTTTATAGAGGGTTTGTTCCCTGTATCACTTCATTTGGAGGTATGTGGGAAACAAAACTATAATGAGAAATGTATCATTGTGAATACAACATTGAATTGGAAAAAAACAAAGAACACTGCCAGTGACAACTCAGTGTAATTTAAAAGTTTAGTTGAATTAAAGGCATTATGTCCCCCAATTGTTTTCATGGCCAAGATATTTATGCATCATTGGATTAATGCACAAATAACTATCAGGATGAAGAACAACCGCAGTGTACTCTCCCTGAGGGAGTTGCTGTGAATTTTGTTTTGATGTCAAATGTCTAAATCCATTTTGATTATATAAATATTAAGGCATTTTTGTCATATAACCAACAATAACTAATGCCAGATGCTAAAAGGCAGATGAAATCCCTCTTCAAGGCAAGAATTTCAAGTAAGAATTAGCCAATCACAGGGGGGACAGACAGCCTTTAACTGGAAAATAATTTCATCACAGGTTTTACATTAGCAAAAGCTTTAACAAGGAATTAATCTTAGAACTTTAATAAGGAATTAAGGGCATTTCTTATACAAGAATGCGCCTTATACACAGCAAAATACAGTATCTGGCAAAACATTGCCCATGTTGAATTTAAAAAAAACATGCTTGTTTACATGTTGATGCTTCAAAACCCTCAATCTAAAAGTACCTCTGTTTTGGGGTCATATGTAGCAGTGGTTTTCATGGCTTTTGTGTTACTTCCATGACCAATTTCTGTTAATGCAAAACAGCCATATACCTGCATTGAGAAAGTAAGACAGGTCCTCAAAGTTGAAATATATAATTAAAACTCGATCACATCAATGGAAAGTGTGAAACATAGAGAAAGGCATAACAGGTCATTGAGTAGAGAGTTTAGACAATGAGAATGTTCACTCATTGGCGTTTGTCATTGCTTATTGGTATGTGTTATTGGAAGTGTCCTGTGTTTCATGGAAAAAAGAAATGAGTTATTGGAAGTGTCCTGCTGTTCTTCTTTCCTGAAAGTAATGAGTTACATTATTGCTAAAGCTTCCCAAAGTCCCCAGATTGTCTTTTAATGTCTGAACAAACAGTCTATTCAGTTTGTTAGGAAAAATCGTGTACATAACATTTAGATTTGCAACAGGGCTTTATTTGAAAGATTTGCATATCCATAAGGATTTGCATATCTTTCTTTAAAGCATATCCATAAAGATTTGCATATCTTTCTCTATTATATCAATAAGGGTGCAAAAGAGTGTAAATTCCAGCGAGGAGATCAGTTCTATGAACACTAAAAGATGGCAAAGCAGTAAAAAGTCTTTCAAATGACTTTTTACTGCTTTGCTTCATAAAAAGTAAAAATGAGAGGAAAGTAGAATTGCAGTGTGCTTAGTTTGGGTTGAGGGATCTGATATAATTTTGAGTATGTTATCCTCAAGAAAGGCAAAATTATTCTGTAAAGCATTTGTTATCTGAACAACTTGTTTTGAGGGGGGGGAGGTTTTCTTACCTGCATCAATTGTTCGGCACTAGGGCAAGAAATAGTCATTAAATATTCGTGGCCTTTTACAAAAGTTGGTCACAAATACATCTTTTTCAATAAATTGGTGGTATGACAGGAATTTTGGCTTTGTTTAGTAAAATGTTTATTTGTGACCAGTTATTTTGCTGCCTCTTCTAAGATTGGCAAATGAATTTCCTATCTTTAGCCCATCACAGTCTAGGCTGGAGTTTATTCTTCTAATTCAACAAACAGGGGAGGAGGGTGTAATACATTGGAAAGACAAAGATCAAATAAAGATTTATAGCATTAGGACAAAAAACGTTGTTTATGTTATACACATACCTAGATATCAAAATGTAGCCAAAAAGTCTAACATGGAGAGGGGGGTGTTAGGTGTTACAAAGCATCTAAGAGTATAAAGAATCCACGTCACCTCAAGTCTTGATGCCTTCTTTGATAGCTCAAGCATGTCAGGATTTGTGCATGTTGCTTTTATTGTTCCTGCAAACATCTACAATGAAATAAATCAATCTAAATTACCCCAGAAATGAGGGGATAAATCATAATTGAACATAGATGATTTTTTGGACTCACTAAATGAAACAAAAAAGCTAATACCTGAGCTTGGTAAAACAATCTTGAGAACAACTAATGTCTGATTAAGCATAGCAATTAATGTCTAATAAATTTAAGAGAAATACCACCATCTGTCAGATTGGCAGAGGAACAGATGGATCCCAGTCAATACTTGAATGTCTCAAAGACAACCTGATGCCATGTTGGAAAGTTTGCCATGCATATAGAATAGCTTCAAATAGTAAAAAATCTGTGTGTCCAAAGGTCTGTGTCCATATTTGAAAATGTTTTGCAATCTGAGGTGCATCAAGAGAACCGAATTTTAATATGCTTTGTTTGTGAATTTGGTCAAGTTATCAGCAATTTGATTGGGGTAAGAATGCTTGCCAAGAAGTGGTGAATCTAGCATAGTGAACTTGTTATTCCTAGCGGGTGCAAGAAACTTTTGTTCCCAGTAGAATTTTTTATAGAGGTAAATTGGCAGGATTAATGGAAAGTTTCCAGGCAAAGTAGTCTGTTGCTGCAGCATACCTTGTGAGAGCCCTTTACCATCACTGAGTCCATTAACCTGGGATCTTCAAACTATCACAAGATTTAATCAAAGCAATCAGCATGAAAGATAGTGCAGTTTTTCAGTTGTTAAGTTACATGAATGGCCAGAGAAGATTGTTGAAAGTGTTGAGCAAAACTTCAACCCAGCAGAAGAAGCATGGAAGTCAACAAGAAGACAAAATTGCAGGATAATGAACAGCATGGAAATTAGGGGTGACACCATCTTTGACAGTGTCAGGTCAGTGGCAGTCTGATATGTTTTATGTTTCAGTTGATGAAGTGACTAATGAAATCTTTCTGTTGCTTTTCCAAGTTGCTTTCCTTGCCTTCTGCTAGATTGCTTTTCCCTCACGATCTCAAGGTCCTTGGATGTTTCACCAAGACATACAAGCTACAATCCCGGAAAAAATTATTGACACAAAATGCAATTTCGGTAATTCTCTACTTTAAATTGCCCCCAGCAAACTTGACTCCCCCTCCCCTCCTGAATCAATGTTGGATAAGTTGTTCTTTTTTGTGCTTCAAAAACATGCAGTTAACATTGAATTGAGGGGGAGGTATTTTTCAAAGGAACGCGAAAACAACAACTTTTCTTTAAAAGTCTCAACTTTTTTTCCGGGATAGTTGATTGCTACAGATGTGCTTGTACGCTATTTAGCTATTTTGAGACATTCTCAAAGATCAATCCTGTCTGCCGATATGAGGATAGAGACAATGCCAGCAGTGATGATGCTATTGGTGATGACTAGTCTATTCAATTTGTGGATAAAGGTGATGTGCACATAGGCGCTGGAAAAGTTGCAAAAGCTGACAAAGGTGCAGCTCAGCCAGAGAAAGAGCATCAGAGAAGAATAAGGCAACATTCCTTTATCAATGCATTCCCAATCCTAATAAAGTTGGTAGATGCATATCCAATGCTATAGCAGGTCAGTTTCATCATGTGACTGTCCCTGTTAGCTCAACAACAGCAGAAACTTCATTTTCAGCATCAGATCAAGCATGGTTCAAAAGAGGTTAGTATTGATTGCAACAATGATAGAAAATAAAATTTTGCTGCTGCTAGATACATCTGGAACGTATCATTGACTTGACTTGTATGTGAAAACTTTAAGTGAACTCTCTATTGTATATGTATTGCAAAAACTATTGTATAATAGAACTTTCCTTTACAGAAGCAGTCATCAATATTTGCAAGACTGAGTGTGAAGCAAATGATGATAAGAAATTAATGCTAGAGCTAGGGTCTGAAAACAATAGTTATTAAGAATAGATAGTTCTTGTTACTCGTTCTTGGAAAATATTGGATATTTTGAATATACTGAAGTAGAAAATAAACAATTCTAAAATTCAAACATTGCAGGCAGGTGTTTAAACCAAGATTATAATCATAATAACTTTCTTACTGAGCCATTTAAACCAAGTCTTGCGCTCAAACCCCAGCCATATTTGGCCATTCCAAAGCACATTGGGGCATATGTTGCAAGTAAAGGGTGCTCTATGAACAACTCGGCGTCTACAAAGTTGTACTCCAATAATCTTTTTAATCTAAGGTGTTCAAGGTGTTGAATTTCTTCCATAGACATTTGGCCGGTTAATTCTTTCTCCGAACATTGGAACAAAGGATCTTTTTGGAGAGTTCTCCATATCTGATCGAGCAGATCCTTGCAAAACATGTCTTCCAAAAACGTATGCATTTCGTGTATGTTAAATGTTGATCGCTTTTCAATATTTGAATTTTGGTATCCTTTCGTCTCCATTTTGAACGAGCTTTCTTTTGTTCCTCTTCAACTGTGATCGTCTACCCCCACCTCCCAGATTTGGACTTTGATTCTAATGTTGCTGTTGCATAACACACATTTGTGAAAACCTCCCACTCAGTATTTCAAAACGAGACATATAATCAGCCGGGAAACAGGTTCCCATTGTTGACATCGACCTTATAGAGAATTATTCTCAAGGTAGTCAAAGGCTGGTGCACTCGCAGGCCCACTAAAGAAAACTCCAGAAAAAAACATAAAATTAATTCAAATTCAAAATTCAGATCCATTTTAATTCGACATCAGTAACTTACTAACAAGTATAAGATTGCATCCCGTCCAACTTGCTTCAAAAATTTTACAGCGTAACAAACGTATTCCAGGATTTGATCAAGCGTTCTCAATTATTTGCTTCAAATCAACCAAAACCTGAATCATAGAACTTGAATTTCATGTTGAAATTAATCTGTACAGAAAATTTGATGCAGCTTGGTTGGTCAGGCTGTGAATTACGACGTTTTCAAAAATTTACTGTCAAATGAGTCGCAATTTAAAAGTTTTAAAGGGTGTGGACTTGCATTAATATTAATGCTATACAAAAATCATCATTACTAAAAATGTAACTTTCATACCATTTATAATAAATGTCTTGAAATATGCAACGATACATTAAAAGCTTTAAATTATTCTCATTAACCAGGTATGAATTTTACTGATAACTAAAATCTGCAAGCAAAGTCTGGTTTTGGCTTGTTCCAAGCAAAGTCTTTCAATAGAAAGACTTTACTCCAAGTTATGGTAAAAACGTTAAAACAAAGGGGAAATCTCAAGGTTTGAATGAATTGGATTTCTAGTATTAAAAGTCTCTGTTACTAGACTAATCTGCCTGTTAAGCAACCATTTTCTCATCAGAAAAATATGTTCATAATTTCAGTTACAGTCAGGTCTTGACAATGAAAGACTTTGAGATATTTAAATTTGGTTGGCAGCAAAGTAACCACTTGTATCCTTAGTTCTGAGACACGGACCGTTATCTTGATAAAAAAAGGAACGGCTTATTGATATATCAATAGTTTTCTCTGGCACTTTGGGTAAGAGTTTCTCGATATATGACGATATATGAGAATGGCGATATATGCTACGCTTGCAAAATACTTGCAGAAAAAGATTTACGCAAGTTCTAACGCAACTCAAGCCAATAATGAAGTCCCTCCCTTGAAGATTACTTGGTAAAATTTGCTTCTTCGGTTATTCTCCAGACGCTGAGAATCTTCACTAGTCCGAGAGGAAAATATCTGGCTTTCTCTTTGGACAGATTTTGGTGTGGAAAAATTAAGGCTACTTTTCAGGGCCAATTTTCACATATTAGGGGAATAGTCCGCCCCTTCCCGCTTCTCCGCTAACGGACTGACCAGACTTCCTTAGCTCCTTCTTGCGATTTGATCTCAAAAATTAAAACCATAATTACTGTACACAACTATATTATGCATATTTTAGAAGTTTTCTCTGGGAAAACAAGCCTGCTATCAGCAGATTTAAGAGGATCGTTAGCAACCCAAACAATTCAATTTTAATCTATTTCTAAATACTTTGAATTAATTCCTTTAAGGTTACGGGAGGCGGATTAAACTTCACATCATTCGATGCACAAGAATGTGGTGATTCTAACCATAGCAAAAGTTATTGCATAGCAAATTGTAAAATGATACTCTCCAGGCAAATTTATTGCTTAAATGAGCGTACCACCTTCAAAAGCTATTAGTGTAGTGGAAGTAGATATAAAAACGGTCTAACCCAGATAAAAATAATATAAAGCTGTAATTTGGCACAGATGTTCTATACCAAGTTGGAAATGGCCAGAAAAAAGCCCCATCAATTGGACATTGGGGATTCCTTATTTGGGCAAATGCCATAATGGCGCACTGATCAGTATTGGTTCAAAATTTTAATGTTGCTCAGTGCGCCATATGGGATTTGCCCAAATAAGGAATTCCCAATGTCCAATTGATGAGGCTCTTTTTCTGGTTATTCCCAGTATCGTATGGAACCTATGTGCCAACTTACAGCTTTTTATTATTCTTGTCCGGGTAAAATCGTAATCCCACCACACTATATTTTGTTCCTTTGAGGTATCAAAATCTGACTTATATCAGCAGAAAGCGCAGATCCTAAGCTACCAAAATGTGTCCCAGACTTTTCAATTCCTTCTTCCCTCGAAATTGGCAAACAATTTTTCTACAATCTCATAGCTGTATTTGGCTATAAAAGACGGACCAAAGCAAATACAAAAATTTTGAGACCCACCTTGCTTAGCCGATATCTGTCCTGACCGTGTGCAAATTTTTGAGCCATTTGATTGGTTCCTTGGGTACCAAATAGCTTTTTCGTACCTGTTTGTAGGGGAGTTTTGTTTCCGGAGAAAACGGGATTTTACTGATCGCACTTGCAAGGTACACTCGTAAACCACAGTGTAATACGGGTCAAGTCACTTGAAGCTTTAAAACCAATAAGCCTGTTTAAAGAAACACGGCCGTACATTGGATACATGATGTACCATGCGATATTGTAAATGAGATATGCGACCACAACCGCAAAGCAACGATAATCGGCTTAACAGGTCAAGAGATTTTCAGGCCTCAACTAAAAGTTCTGATAAAGAAATTATGGAAATCTTTGTTTACATGGGATTTTTTCAGTTTTCAAATTGTCTGTTAGTTTCAAATTTGGTATCATAGTGGGCCTTGAAAGTTCGGCTACTTGAATTTGATATAATCGAAAAATGGATGTATCATCCAGAAAATGTTTACCGTAACCTTAAGTTCCTTTGAGTTCCTTTAAAATATAAGATAACTAAATATCGTCCTTTCATGTGATCACATAAAACCTTGGAAAACAGTTTGAATCGTAAAATATATCTTACAGATAAAGTTTAACTGTTACTGCAGCGCATAATTTCTAATTAAAGTTCAAACATGAACAACCTAAAATTCAGATTCAATCATTGAAAATGCCTCCTTGTGATGAGGAGTGGAAGCGAGACTGTCTTCACAGAATACACCATTTTATTTCATCGTTTTACAAAGCAAATCAATGTGTTTAGAGTTTGCTTTTTGTAGGTGAATCCTCCGGACGATTCAGGACATCCCGCCACCATGAAATTCTTTCACTTTTCTTCGGATCTTTTGTAAAATTTTCGTATAAATTTTTCAGTGGCTGAAAAGAAAAGTATAGCACTACTTGGAAAGATAGCAAAAAATAGCCTGTTAATTTGCATAAACATTTCAATGGTTGAAAGTAAAAATTTAACTGGTGATTAAATCGATGATAATTCCTATTGAATCCATTTCCTAGTAACGCTAACAAAATACCAAGCATTTTATGCCTCGCATATTAAAAAAAAAATATCTATACATTATAAATTTATTTTACAAAACGGCAAAGGCAAATGAAGCAGTCCTTTCGGGTATTAATTTGCAGTAATAATTCCCCCGGTTCCCGAGAGATGCTGGCTTGATAGCAGCTTCGTACTGGGAAATTCAATGTAGCATTAAAGCTTTGAAGTATTTAAGCGAAAGTGTCTTGAAAGTAGCTAGCTTACCATGCCATTACTGTGTCCTAGCGCTGACTGAAGAACCCAGTCAGGAGGCGCGAAACTGTCAACCAGCGTAACAACATCAGGTTTGAGCTACAACCAAGCAGAAGTAAAAAATTTCAATCGCTTATCCTCATTTATTACATGAATTTTCAAACAAGGAAAACTGATTGCGAGAGCGCCAACGTCTTCATATTGCCCACGGAGAAAAGACGTCTTTGGGAACAAGTTTATTTTTTAAATGATATCTTTCAGAGACCTTCGTACATCAGATCTCTTTAGATACATTCTTTTAGCCACCTTCTCCATAATGCTCGCATGATTAACTTTTAAGTATTTCATTGAAAAACGTTTATATGACTGAAAGTAAACTTTACACATCATAATGACATCTTTAAAATTGAAAGTCGATTACTGGTCTTGCACCATACCTCTGAACAAAGCTGAAGAACAGTATCACGAACAGTCCTAGCGTATTCTCCATTTTTAAAGTAGCCACCTAAAACAGTTACAGAAAAAAGATAGCAAATGCAAGGAGAGGACCAAAGCTTGAAAAACATAATCAGATGTGTCAGTTTTAAATGTTGAAAAGTTGAAAAACATAATCAGTTTCATCACAAACATAATCAGATGTGCGCTGACGTGTATTACCAGTAAGTAAACAACAACAAGATTAATCAAGGAGAGGAGACTTTTATCAAATCTCTGGAATTAACAGTTTTACAAAAAAACCATTACTAAGAAGTTATTCTTCGTGCGTAAAACTGGGAGCTTTAAAGTGGCACCTAGAAGTTAAGCATGTAACTCGGAACAAACTTGGAACCATGTTATACACATAAAAGCTTGCTAGCTCTGTTTATACGACGTCAGCCACTATAAAACAAACTTGCACACAAAAACCTTCAATATTATCTCTCCCAAAAACAAATCATCTAAAGAGCAAAATTTTCTAAAGAGTTTTCATCAAAGAGAACAGCAGGTTCAGTCTAACCATTCTCTCAATTCATAGTTTCTTTCCGTACGAAAGCAATGATTAGAAAAATCATCCATGATGCCAATCGTGTAAACGAAAAAAATGATTTTCTTTTGCGTTCTCATTGGGATCTTTGTGAGAAATTCTGTCAGTAGATAAAGTAAAATGGTATCAGTTGTAGCGTCCGTAAAGAGAGGCAGTAGCAGACAGAGGCTCGTGGAGTAAGTCTAAAGGTACTTACTACTCATAACGGTATGTAAACAAACGATCAACGACGGAAAATACCTTGGAAGAGAGTGGAGAGATGATTTTCTAGACTCCATAATCCGTACAGACGGAACATACGCTCAGACACATCACGAATATTTGCTGATATGTTGCTTTGGAACACTTTTTGGTAGAAACTATCTATCACCACTTTCTAAAGAAAACATAAACATCAATTACAAAATAACTCACTAAATATTGCTCTGGAAATGCACAGAATAAAAAATGAGTGATTTTATCAAAAATATCTGCAGGTGATGAGTCAACTAGTTTCGGGCGCAAAACAAACAATCATGGATTGACTCCCAGCATGACCAGTCAAAGAAATTTCAACTGTCGCCTGAAATGTAAATCTACAATTTTTCCAAATAATATAAATCAACTATAAAGCCATGAAAACTGGTGCCATATCTTAAGCAACATAGCCTACCAATTAGAGAATTTGTTATTAAATCCTGACATTCGAGGAGCACCTGTTCGAAAAGAGGAAGCACAAAATAACCATACCTCAATGAAGGCCAAAGCCAAAGTTCTACTGTAGTAAACTTGGCTGTCGTTTCGAGATGTGAACTCATCCTTAAGAATAAAAAAGAAAAGAAAATCGGTACTAATTTCAAATACTCAGTTCCAAAGAAATGTATGATGAGATCAGAGATAATACTAAAGAACTTAAAGAGAAAGCAAATGAAGCAAAGAATGGAGAACTCTCATTCTTTCTGAACTTGGAGGGAGTCATTCATCTCATTTGAACACGGCCTTTTTAATCATTTTGAACATTGCTAGGGCAAGCAAAATCGTGCTAAACATACTTTGTTTAAAACCAACGTGCGACATGCTTGATTGCAATTAAGATTGGCTTAAGTTAATTTCAAAGTTTAGAGAGAAACTGTTTATGTTTTCACTATGACTCAAGGCTAAAAAAATAGGCTGAAAAGCAATTCAGACTTTTCTTCTTTCCAATGGGCTAGTCTCAGTTCATATATATATATAGATATATATATATATAATCATAAGGCAAATGCTGACAGGAGGAAAATTCTTTCTACAAGGGTGCTGCCCAATTGTATCGAACCACTCTTGGTCGGAATCGAACTCCAGTTTCCTGCTTCAAAAACCCACGCTCATTCCACTGAGCCAAACGGCCCAATGAAATGAGCGATGAATCTATAGATATATATATATAGAAATTTGTCTTTTGATACTTCCGTAGCACAGTGCTCAATACGTTAGCACGTAGAGCGTGATATATCATAGATTGAAGAAAGTAAAACTACATGGTTTATCTCTACAAGCCTGTTTCGTGAGTAACTCACTCTTCAGGAGAAATATATATATATATATATGATAAATTCATCTGCTTTCCAACAATCCATCTATTCATGCCCTAACATTTATGGGACGAAAAAGAATGCTAGGTTCACATTGAACGGTCATCGTTATTCCAAAGAGCTTTCGATTTTTGTGCAGGTTTAGGCTTTGAAAGGTGAGAACAAAACATTTAAAATTGACTGACCTTTCCACTTTGCAACTGGTCACGAAGCTTTCTATCACTTTCAACCAGCAAATAACAAACAAGCCAGTCATAGGCCTGCAATATTCCTTGAATAAAATTCAAAACATATATACTTTGAAAGTTAACAACAACCAAAAATATTTAGTTCATTTGTCAAAGCCTAAAAATGTTTGTGAATTTTACTTTTTTTTATTCAATTTCTTTAGAATATTACCGAAAAGCTTACTAATTTTCTAAACAGACAAATCAGCATGTTTAAATAATCATTATACCCGTTCATTCATGCTTTATCTCTCAACTTTTTGGGGATATTTTATTCCAAAACAGTATGCATTCAAGTCAGGACAGTATATTATCAATCTGCGTGTATATTTTCTTTGGTGATAGGCCAGTGGATGAAGATCAGGACAGAGTAAACGTGATGCAATTCTACTGCCTTCAAGCACTGCGTACGTGAAACTTGGATCAAAACGCTGCCCAGGAGCTTTGATTTGAAAGGCTGTCTTATGGCAAATAAAAGCTCTCGAGTAATCTTACCTTGGGGTGTTGTTATGTCCGACGTGTAGCCTGTTTTGAGTATGTGGTCAAGTCGTTGGATGAAATTTACCGACCCAAGCGGAGATGAAATGTCCAGTCCTGAAATACAGAATTGTTAGATTTTTCTCAAAGAATCTTAAAATGCCAAGAATATGATTAGGTTAAAGTGCCTGTGACATGATTTTTTTTATTCTCTTAATCGAAGCGTTGCATTGCTCTTAAAGTAGATCTGAACTTTTTTTGAAATAAAAGCGTTTTCATATTGAAATTAAGCAAAATAGTGCGGCCTAACCAAGTCGCTTTAGCATCATTCGCCGTTCTCTTGTGACGTCATGGGAGGAACTCGTCATTGTAACAATGTAAGCGCTACCTTCAAAAATCTCATCCTCGCTGCCACTACTTTCTCTCGAAATATCTCTCATCTTGGACCTGTTAGATTTCCCTCATTGACTACGATACAAAAACTCGAAGGAGGAGGCGATCGGGTCCCTCCCGTGACGTCACTGTCTACTCATTCTGAAAACCAAGATGGCGAATTTTGCGTAGAAGATCGCCAATAACTCCTTCCTTTCTCACGAAACGTAAAAACTAACCTCAGAAATGAAAATAACAGGCATTTTTACATAAGAATAGATATATAAACTCAAAAGTACGAAAATCGTGTCACAGGCACTTTAAGGAGGATGGGAATTAAAAAAAGGAATGGGAACAACGTCGACAAAAGTCCCCTTTTCTAAAGGATAAACAGCGACTTAACCTGCCTTTGAATATAAAACAAGTGATACAAAGAATAGAAGGGCAAACTAGCCCTGCTTTCAAATAGGTCATGCTGGGGAAACGAACACGTAGACCTTTTCTGCTGGTTCCGCTTGTCCTATTGTTCAAAGTCAAAGTGCTTGGACACTGAACTCAATCTTTATTGGACATGCTTAATGTTATTTCATGTGGATGGTTTGTTCATTAAGATAATTGCACTTGTTCGTACCCTCTCCCACAACGATTGCGTCAAACTTCACTGACGATGCAACGGATAATATTTACATGTCATTATTCAACAATACCATAAGCTTTGAATGGGTTGAAAAAATTGCCCAATGACACGAGTTGAAATTGCATATGTTCTCTCTGCAACAACTGTACGAAAAGGTTACGCTTTTTGAAATTTTGATTAGCAACATTCACGTGGATATTGCTAAGGAAGGCAAAAATATGTGGTGGAAACTTGAGTTGCAACTTAGAACCGTCCGGTAATGTAAACAAAAGAGTGTACAGCCCTTGGCACAAAGCACCATATGAATAACCAGTAAACTTTATGAATATATGAATATTTATGAATATATGTTTTCATGTAATAAAAGACTGAGCATACCATTTTTCATGTCTTTTAATTTGCTTATCAAGTAATTGCTTGTTTGACCAAGAAGCATGTTGTTATCCCCTTCATATGTACAATTTGGATCGTTTGAATCACGTAGATACCCAAAGCGGCTTACTGCAATGAATTGAAAAGCAATGTAAACAAATAGTGTTTTATTTCAGTAAATGAAGCATTCGTTAAGTAACACGCCCTTCTAGCCCGCCTTTGCCATTCTTAAGCTGGCTTTGGAAAACATCAAACACGTGACTGAATTCACCATTCACAAGCTGGTTTCTCCTTTCAGTTCTAAATGCTGGTTATCAGCATGCCTCACATTAACTAAAATGACAATTTCACGTTTCTGGGTTCAGTTAACAAAATAAAAAAACTTTTTACTCGAAAGTTCGCATAAAGGTAAGGGATGTCATTGGCACAAGAAAAAGGGGAAGAGAATTAAACCAACTATAGACATAACTTCTAAGCTCAATTATTCAACAGTTTGTATAGAACTAGCCCGTAACGTGAAAATATAGCCATGCGTGTAAATGACATTCCCATCATCAAATTACAGCGTATGTACCCTTCTATAGAGCCTGGCAGACTTTTTGCCAATCATCAAGACTCTTTATCAAAACAGGCGCCACGTTATCGGAAAAGGAAAGTTTGGTATCATGAAGGAGCTTGACTTGAAGGAGTAGTATCGTTGAAGTTTTCGATGCTATGAAGAAAATTCCCTCATTACTTAGTTAATATTAATTAATTTCATTTCATATATTTAGGATTCTAAAGTTGGTCAAATTCACACTAAATGTTATAACGTGGTTATAAAATATGTGTTATAATCTGTGACAATAGTAGTTTTATAATTTGTGACAACAATAGTATTATAATGTGGTTATAAGAAGTTACAAATAGAAATTATCATGTCACTGATTTTTAGAATTTCTTCACAATAAAACTCGAGGGTTGTGATTTTTCCTTAACTGCAATCATTATCTTAAAATGGCAAATAGGCAGAAGCGCCTTGGCTCAAATTCTAAAGAACTCTCTATGAATAAATACATTTAAACATGACTTTGCATTTAATGCACCCGGTGCATAATTCTTATGGCCTAAACAAATCAAGAAGTAAAATAAGATTCAATTCAAATTGAAGCTTGAAAAAAGCTTTAAAATGAGTTATTACTGGTCTAGAAAGGGCACCAGTAAATAAATTTAAATGCAATTTACTTTTTAGGGTCTTTGGAAACTGATTTCTCAGCCCCCGTTTAAGATACTACGCTGAAATTTTAAGAGCAAATTTCCATTGCTAATGCAAGCAATTGTACAGATATATTTAGAGATTAGGGGTAGTCAGAACATGTGAGTTGGTTGGTTTGGTTTTGAATTACCCTCTACTTGTTTTATAACATGTGACAACAAATTATTTGCATTATTATTATGGAATAAACGAATGTGAAAGTAGTAGACTAGGTTCAAATTGCGCAAAGTATTCAAAGAGGAAGGTACAGATAGGAAAAGCAAAAACGGATGGGCTATATGCTTGCAATGGGGTAAGTAAATTTTCCGTTTCAATAAAATGTACCTGCTAAGTATCCATGGCCTCCACAAGCTTCACGACACTCTTGAATCGCTCGCTGAGCCATCCATGAACCAAGCGGCTTGCCGGAACACGATAGAGCATGAATTTCGCGACCCAAATGATGCTATAGGACAAAACGTAAGAGAGGTTTCTGAGATAACACAGCAGAACAATATATCGCAACTACGTAATGTAAGTATATTCAATCTGGATATAATTAGTATATACGGATATTCAATCTGCATATAGTGAATATAAAGTGAAATAGAGAGAACACTTCCTTTCACCGCTCCCTCTAATTTCCTATTCCTTGCCGGGGTGATATATGGGAGTCTCCCAAACTATGGGCCTACTCTGGACTTAAACACCAGACTTTTGTACAGCAACCGCAGCTCAGTTAGCAACCTGGCCTTTTGGCAGCACTACTCAAGGATACAATATTTTATGCACTGTGTCTTTTAAATTACAATGTATTTAATGGTCGTATTTGATGATATAAGATAGGGGCCATAATCGCATTCTGCATCGAAAAACGAGTTGTTTAACCACTAGGAGAGACTTACTGGAAGAGAAGGGGATTATCCAAATCACTATCGTTTGGGCATTGGGGCACTACTGTTGTCGTGACTATTGAATGGTACCATGACCAAATGAAGCTTCTTCGATTTTCTTTACAATTTAGATCTTGCTAAACTCCCATAGTAACTCCTATATCCAAAATATCTTTCAATTCTTCTTAAAATTAAACAAATAACCCTTTTTAAATGTTGAGGCAGAGGTAACTTGCATCAATTGACTATATTCTAGTGAGGCGGAACTTTGGAATGAAATTGTGAACTATATAAAATAGCAATTCTATTTTATCTGCAGATTTTAGATACAGTACCCTAAAAATAGTCGATTATGACTAACAGGGTTGCTTTGCACATAGAATTTGTTAAATATGATATAAATACAAATGTGAAATATAGAAAATTTGGTATAGAAAATTGACCTAGCTGACATGTTAGCGGTAACTCATTTAGCCAGGTTGCAAAACAGCTGAAAATGAACTTGGAAAAAACAAACATAGACTGTAGTTGTGACAATATGGGACAAGTTTAAAGTGACACATATTGCAAGAATAGATATATAGTTGAAACCTACCAGCCTTTCTCCTTTTTCTCCAAACATGAGACTTGTTTCCATTTTAAAACAATCAATGAATAAGGATTGGTAGTAATTGTCAAGCGCAAATATGGTGGCAACAAAGGGGATGAGTCTCCATTGCTTTAAAAAGGAAAAAAGACAAAATGAAAATAGGCTACCTACATCACATTTCTACTTTAGTTCATTCAAAGTCCAAGAGCTTAAAAGTAATCATAAAAAAGAAATTAAAAAATCATTACAAAGTAATTATTCTAAAACTTTGAAATTATTACAAAGTCTTAATTCTCTAAATACATCAATCCAACAGGCATTCAGTAAAAAATCACTATTTAACATTTCAACAATTTAGAAGGAGTGTGATCCGCATAAAACGTCAAATTAATCATTTTATCAAAGGAAATACAAAGCAAACATAATGTTTTGCATGTCAAATTTGGCTCCTTTAATCAAAGCTTAGTTGTTAAAACAGACTCAAATCTACCTGCATTTGGTATTCTAAAACTGGGATTTCTTCATTTTTGTTTGGACCAAATTGTTTACGAGCTGCAGAATATCTATGCAAAAAAAATGACACAGGTGGCTTGAAAAAGCAAAGGCATTTTTAAAGGCTTGAAACTTGCACCCAAAATTCCCTTGAAATGACAAGAAAAAACACAGAAATATACATCTCAGCAATTCATTTAAACTGTATTATCAGCAAAGCAATCAGCCAAAACAGATGTTCTATATAGAATTCAAAGTAGTTTTCTCTAAAAAAAGTGTCTCAATAAAACTCAAAAGCAGCTAGCCATCCATCCAAGGAGACTCCATAATCCATAGAAAAGCCTTTTCAGGCATGCCTTTTAGGACACCCTTATCTATTTACACTTCCAACAGATAAGTACTTGAAAAAAGAAAAAGTAGGAATAACCAACTAACTTTGTAATAACACAGAGAACCAAAAAAAAATACAAATTAAACCACAGCAAAAAAACCGGTTGGGTAAACTTGTCGCCAGCATGGGTGTAACTTGATTGTTGTGCATAATTTCGGGTGCCATTGATAAAACAAAATATGAATTCCAAGCCGATATATAACCCTGGTGAGAGAAATAGCTGAAATTTTCTTACAGTTAATAATGCTGAATGACATAATAGTCATACCTTATTGCTATTGTGAGAGCACATTTCAGATTGGATACCCCAACACCAAGTATACTAACTCTTCCCCTTGGCAAAGTACCAAGAGTTGCACTGAATCGCTTCTTATCATCTTTGACACTGGTTACATATTTTCCATCTGGAGTTACATCTGCATTCTTATTTAGAAGATAAGTTCGAGGAATTCTGGCATTGTTGAATCGCATAAATCTGGTAAAAGCCAATTGAATAAGTGCATTTTATACAGGGTGCATAAGATCATTTAATCAACAATACCTTGGGTTTTCAAAACATATTGAAGTTAAAAGTTTTTAAAAAAACAAAAAAAAAGACAGAAAAATATTGTTGAACTTTATAAGCTAAAATACTTCCTGTCTTCATATTAACAAATTTCAGTTTACTGTTGTCATTACAAACTAATGTAACAACATGCATACAAATGAGTTAACAAATTCCATTAATAATTATATGACATCAATTATCTTGGATTAACATCCATAAAAGTGCTTTCATTACTCATTATTTGAGATCTGTATTTAAAATTCAACAAAAACATAGGAAATTCAACAAATTCTTCAATATAAACAAAGACATTTTTGGACATTTTGATAAAATACCCACCCATTATCTAATCCATTAAGGCCAAGCTTCTTTCCCATATCACCAACAGTAATGCCAGGTAAGGTTTCCCATGTTTCTAGGTCTCTAATTTGAACAACAAAGCTGTGCAAGCCATGACAAATTCCATCTGGGGTGTAGAGCTTTGCAAATGTGACAGCATGAGATGCTGTGTGTGCCAAATGGCCTGACCAACACTTTACTGCTTCAAAATCAGGTGTATGTAGAATAAATTCCTACAAAAAATGTTCATATCCAATTGCTTCATCTGTTTGGATATATTTCAAGTCTAGATTACAAAAAGTCCAAGAACAGCAATGACTTTAACACTGTAACACACAAGACAAAACAAGGCACAAAGGGGACTCACACCTTCCAACTAAAATTGAATCTAGTCTTGGTAAAATTGCACTGATTGTTGCATCAATTTAAACTTTGAGCCCAAGCATTAAGAACTTTTAAATTCCTGAGTAAGTCATACTTGAGTTAGAGGGTCATATGTAGCTGTTGTTCGCATCCCCTTGGTGTTGGAGCCATGGCTGATTTCTGTCAAGGCATAACAGCCAAAAACCTGCAGAAAGAACAAAGCAACTAGTACAGCTTCAAGTAAAAATACTTCAATCAGTTTAAGGCTCCCTCCTGAAACTTTCCTCTTGAGCACATTACAATAACATACCAAAAATAAAGTATTTGCAAGCAATTTTCTCTAGATAAAGGAATTACCTTTATATATATAAAAACAATCATAATGCTTTTCTATTTATGAATTGGTGGCTACCTCTTGTTGGTGAAGAAACCAGTGTTTGAAGGATAAAGAAAATGATGTTGGTTCTGACATCCCAACAGATTAAAAAATTAGAATATTTTAGCATGTACTATGAATCGCTGCTTTTAGGAAAGATGCTGTAGAAATTTTAGGTTGATGAAATTATAAAAAAAACATTATGGCTATGCTAAACTTATGCAATTTAGAGGGTTAGGTCTGACCTCTAAAACTAAAATCAAAGTATTCTAACAAGTATTTGACTTATTAAAAGAAAAAGGACCTTTGTTCAATAATTTCTACATCAAAACTAATTATTCATGAAAAATGAAAATACCATATTCCGCAATGTTTAAGAAACACCTTTTTTGAACTTTGCTATGTTTGATGATACGCCTCATAAATATTATTTACTGGGCTCTGGTCTGGTCCAGAGTAAACGAACCACACTTTTATCAGATAAACTCTCCTTACTGGGGAGGGGGGTGGGGGTATGTCCAGTGGTGGCAACAGGGGTTGGTATGGGGGGTAATCACCCCCCCCACTTTTTTCGAAACATGGTCTACATATTTCGTCTAAAAACGGGTTAAAAAGCACTAGGTAGGGGTAGATCATATTTCATAAGGAAATTTGACCTGGTACAATGCACTGGAACGAGGCGATTAGGGCGTGGTCTCACTGGCCACGCCCATTACCCTCCCACTCGGCACTAGCTGGTGCTGCCACTGGGTATGTCACTGCACAAAATTCAAGGAGGAACTTCATGGATTTTAAAACCTCTATTTGATAATTTTAAACATAATGCTACACAAAATGGGTATGAACAAATTTTTCACCACAGAATAAATTTCTTAGTATTTCTTGAGTATGATATATTTCATTTTTCACTGAAAATAAATGCTTTCAAAGTATCAAGAAAAGGGGGTGTGTCTTATACACACCCAGACACAGAAGCAACTATTTTCTTAGAATTTAAAGAGGTAATTATTGGTGCATGTTATACAAGAATGCATCTTAAACTTGTCAAAATACCACATTACACAAAAAAACAAACCTCCATTCTATCTGCTTTGTCTGCTATTTCTAGGAGCTCATGGTTTGACGTTGTTGCTTTAATTGTATTTCCAAACATCTAAATGAATCAAACAATGCTACTAAATTTCAAATTTTGACTATATTACAAATAAACCTGTGGAGTGATGAAAACTTTTTTATTCAAAAAACTCAGAATTTGATGTGATGATTAAACCTTCCAAACTTCAGCATTTAACATTAAAACTTCCAAACTTTCTGAAGTATAAATTATATTTCAGGTCTTCTCCAAGTCTAACATGCTTTTTAAGCAAAGCTACAGAGTATATTTTCGAATAGCTAGTTCTTCTTAAAGTTTATTTTCTAATCCAGGTGTGGGACATGTCTCATTTAAATAACGAAGTCAGATAAATGCATTGTCACATGCCCATCTACAACCAATAGACTGCCGCTTAAATCTGCAGGAAAATATCAAGCAGACTTTCCTTAAGCAGGTTTAACAATTTTTAAAAGTGAAACATGAAAATAGCTTGTAAATGAAAGTAATTCCAAACACCCATTCTCCAATGGACCTAGGGTGACAAGGAAAACATTAAAAATTATATTCTGTTACACAATAGATTTGATTTAATTTCATTTGTTGCAGATTTAATTCAGAAGTCAAATCTCTAATGAGTCTTTTCTCTCTATAATTATGCTTACAAACTCTTGATATGGTCCTAACTTTGCACATTAATCAAATATGCGCTAGTAAAAGAAAACTAGCTATCACACGGGAATGAAACCTTAAAAAGCAATATTACTGTCATTGACAGAATTAGATCAATAGATTACTCTATAATTCACTTTTGCAGGTAACAGATCACTTTTGCTCTCTTTTCTTCCTTACATTCCTTTCCTATATGTACTAGGCTCGCCAAAAATATCTTAGCAGATTGTAAAATCCATTTTGTTGGTTCAACAAAATATTTACTGGTGTTTGAAGGTTAACACATATTAAATTAAATAATCGTTACAGATATCCTAAATTATATTTTTTTAGAAAATTCGACAATTACTAGTTTCTTTTGAATCCTTGATAACATCTGCATCCCCATGGTTTAACCTTGCAAATAACTAAAAATTGTTTGAAGATTTTCTTACAGTCAAATGAATAAGATAACTTGTTAGGCAATCTCGGTTGAACATTCCAATCGAACTTTGCAGGGCTGCACCAACAAGTGGGTACTCCAAGAATGTTTCTAAATCAACAAACTGGTATCCACAAATTCTCTTGGCTCTCATATGTGCTAATCGCCTACACTCATCAAGATCCATTTGTTCAGTTATTTCAGCTTCTGTAGTCTGGAATAATGGGTCTTTTTCCAAGGTGTCCCATATTTTTCTACGCATTTCCAAACATTTCTCATCATCAAAATGGCGCTGCAGCTCTTTGACAGTGCACGATGCTTGGCGTCTATAAAAATCTAGTGGTGAATGGTTTGTGCTGGACATTTTGCAGATGATGATAGCAGAAAAATCTCAAGGTATCCTAATATTGTAAATTTACATGTCCTCTGACCCTGCACACAAATAAAGACATTTGTCGTGTCTGTCGGTCGCCTCGTTTCCGTAATTTTGGGGAGTGGTGGCTCACGTGCAATGAGGGTATTGTAACGACACAGGGTTCCCTTACGGACAGTATCACGTGACAATTGCACCATTGCGCTGTGATTGCATCAGCGTCTGTAAATATGTTTTTTGTATTACGTAATTATCATTTTAAGGTTTGCTTAGGTTATATAAAGGGTTGTTTCATAAGTTAGGAGTAGTCTTGTCGAAAGTTTTGTCGTACTGCTTGGAGCTCTGCCGCTAGTTTTGTCGTGCCTGTTGAAGCCGCGTCGTTATTTGTCGAACTTGCTGTTAGCCGTTAGTCGTATCATTGCCATAAAAAGAAGAATTTTGATCTTATCTGCCGTTGCCGTATTTTTGAGAATTTCTGCCTACAAAGAACTCACGTTTGTAAAACCCCCACTTTAAGAGGTTTTACAGTATACCTCATTGCTCACGTGCAATTCTCTATCCAAGGTCCCAAAATTTGTTTTAGATCTGTACCATGGGTCCTGTTTTTCGGGTACCAGCAAAGTATACTGAACCCCCACAAGGTAAAATACTAGCTCAGAGCCTGAATTCCTACTTGTGTTTTCCTGTAATGGGTATTCCATTTTTCTTCAATGTAGATTTATATGTGTACGAAATGTACAAGTTTAATATCATAGAAGGAGAACTGGCACCATCAGTGGCGATGCAAAAGGTTCGTATGGGGGGGGGTGGGAGAGTGGTTATTAGTCTCCTCAAATTTTTTCAAACAATGGTTCACATAATTTTTCTTACAATTGATAAAAATGCAGGGTATTTGTAAAGCATTTTTCTCTTGTGGGCAAAATTGCCAAAAGGGCCCCCGATTTTTGCGGCATTAGTCTGCCACAAGGACAAATATATATTGTTTACTAAGCAAAATAAAAAAAATAAACGACTGCTTCATTAAAAAAATTTCCACCTTGGAGACATTCTGAAAAATTGGAAACAGCAAGAGCATCTCGCATCCTCGGAGAATGTACTGGCACCTCTGAGTTAACATGAAGTACCATTACATTCATTCATTCCCGTTACTCATTACCAATTGAATAGTATTTTAAACTATTTTTAGAACACTGGGATATTCCTTCCAAATGTTTTCGCCTACGACTGTGGTAATAGATTAAAGGCATTGAGTCATGGTAAATAGGCCTTCTCTATAGGGGGTCATTTGGTTTCGGCGTGATCGCTGCTATTTCATGTGATATTTGCATCCGCTGTTGACAACTTGCTATTGATGGAAATTGTTTTGTCAATCAGTACGAGGTGAGTTTATGTGACCAGTTCCAGGTCAACCAATAGCATCGCAGTCATGAAAATCATGACTCAGCGGATTTTGCACTTAGGGTATACCCAATCCATTATATCATGACTCAATGCCTTTAAAAATTAATTTTTGTATAAATGGATGCAAATTTTAGGCTGTATTTGAGTCAAAAAAGTCTTGATTGTTCAATCACGGTATATCATATCCCTGATAGTTTTTTCTTTGGCTCCCCACAAACAGCATCGAGTAATCACACAACAATGCAGATTTCTCGTTTCACTAAAAACTAACTCCAGTGCTAAATCTGAGCAATGACATTTGACAACAGATTGTAAAGACATCTCTACCCAATTAAACTTTATGGTACCGCTACAAAACTTCATTTTTCTTGTGTTAGCCTTCTTTCTATACTTTTGTATTTGTGTTCTTTTTTACCCAGCATCCGAGAGTGGTTTTTTTAGGACACTGACAAGCTACAAGCATTGTTCTCCTCTAGTCCTCCCTTAATGTAACACGCTACGCATTGTAATTTCTACGCACGGAATTGCAGTGAGCTGGCTAATCCACGCAATCTGGGTGAAAGTTTGGCCATGTCAAGGACTCGAACACTAAACCTTTGAAACTGTAGTTTGCGACCATAAGCAACCACTGAGAGATTCTCTATTAGTGATTACCCCGAAAAACTTTTAAAACCTACGTTGCCATGACAGGAAATAATCTTATAAGCAACGAAATCATTCAATACCCATAAAAATAAAGTTTTGACTCATCACATGACAGTTATAAAATCGAGTCTATTTGTATCGTGTCAGTTATTCAGTCAATCTGGACTGAATAGCAAAGACAGTCCTTTAAACAATCAGCTATGGGCTTTACTTCCAGCTTTCTTTTTAACTATTGCATCTCTCCATTTGTAACTAGACCTCGGTAATAGTCAAACGAGGCAGGTGAAGTATATGGTACAAAATTGAAGCTTTATCCTTCTTTACTACAGAAACAAACCAAATGGTTCACTGGGTTCCAGACCATCAAGCGTCAAAACAAGTGGGGCGTCGAGGAATTAAGCGTTCCGGGAGAGTGCGGTTACTCTGCTCTTGAAGGACAACTCCTAGCACTTATTGATTTATCCTGTGTATCGTTATCTGCATCCATTGCAGGATTAATTAAGAAATTCAAGGTCGCTGTTTTGCATTTCTTTGTCACAGTTTCCTAAGGGTAGTTGCCTGACATAAAACTTTTTGCTTTATAGTTTTCCGTTTTTTATGTACTGTTTTTTAAATGACCTACAACGCAACCTTCTTTGCCGTCTGCACGAATTATGTTAGAAGTTAAAAGCCAACCACTGGCTGCAATGTTTTTAACTTCTAATTCATATAACTGACATGGCATTCATGTAATAAACGCTGTTATTCCATTTAACTACTCTCCTTTGTACCTGGAGAGAATTCTTAGATGTTCAAAGCAAGTTAATCTCAAAATGATTGATTAACTTTGCAACAACAGCAACCAGGATTGGATGAAGATGCACCATTGCCCATACTTGGCATCGGCCTCTTCTGCTGAGCAGTTAATTGGTCAACTGGTTGCGGTAATAGTACTAACTTTTTCTTCACTGCTGGTTCCACCGGGCCAACTGTCCCACCAGTCAGCACGTTGAAAAACCCATTAAAAATGTATTAGATAGGGGTAGGCTATATCCTTAAAGACCCACTGTCAACCAACAAGAAGTCTCTATATTTTACAGGGTCTTCTCTTGCTTATTAACATTGCACCTGCTCAATTTCTCGATTGGCTAACGAGTCACAGAATCTTGAAATGATTTATAAATATTAAATAATTAATATTTTTACTTTTACAAAGAAATCATTGAAACCAATGAAGTTCATTCTGCTGACGTCTGTGTCCAAGTCCATTATACTTCGAAGAATTGAAAAAAGACACAAAATTATGTGTTACGATTTTGTTCAATATTTTTCTAATGTTACGTGCACATGGTAAATGATATAATTTAAAATGAAGACTTTTTTACAAGTCTGTTAGTCTACTTTTATCTACAATATTACCATGTTCAGAGAGGAACTACTAACACTAAAACATTAACACAACCAGTCGTGCTGTTACTGATTCAATAGTGAAGTCAAATTTCTTATCTGTCAAGCTAATAGACCAATTGCTAATGATGATGAATTTGAGCAACTTCTAAACTAAATACCCTAAATGAAATCTGGATATCAATTCTGGAGATTGCGTATCAGCTCGATAATCTCATTCTATATGTTTTAGCACCTTAATTTAAATCGTTCAGAAAATCTGCCCCTTCTTTCACCCATTGGAAACAATATCAGAATCATATCTTTACTTTAGAATAGGCCTAAAATATGGAATTGGCAGTTTGATTTTACATCGGTTAATATAGCTGTCTTAACTTGTCCCTTTACGGTATACAAAGACTGTCTTTTCAAGGGGCGTAATCAGTTGTTTAGTCAGTTTCAGCCTAATTAGAGAGGAATTTGGCTTATATCATATGACAGTTAGGGTCGGAACTAAAGGGTAGAACCACTATATTTGTGTTTTTGATATTTGTAAGTTACCCCCTGAAAATCGTTATTATGTGACTCTTGTGAAATGGTGTTGAAAAATGTCAAAAAGTCCCAGGATTATCACAACTGAGTACGTTTAATTAAATGCTCTCACAACTGATGTTATAAATGGAATAATTTATTTTACATATCATTTTTATATACAGAAAGTCAGTTACTTTCATGGCTCACTACTTCCATCACAGTCAATGGTTATTTTTATAAATATTGTATCATCTTTAATATACCCTCTCGTTTCAACATCTTCTTGCTTGGCAAACTTTGCTCCTCCAAAGCTAGCATTTTTCTCCAATCGTGGTCTTCCTAAGAATGGTTCGTTATCCTGGCAAGGGTTTGGCTTGATGCTAAACTTCAGGTGTTTTCTTTTTGATGCATCCTCTGTTTGATCCAGTAGATAAAATGTCACGCGGAAATCAAATGGCCATTTGAGTAGAGCATCGTATGCACCTATGTATCAATAGAATTTTGTAGATATTATGTAAACGATAAAGTCCAGGTGCAACACAAGTTACAGGATTGCATGTATCTGATATGCAAGCGATGTCAGGCATAGGAGTAACCAATAATCTATTTGTTCACATACTTCCTTAATAGCAAGTGTGCATATAGGGTGGGTTGACTACACGTTTGGTTCTTGGCAATTTTTTGCAATTATCACTTTTCTAATACAAAACAGAATTTAGCATATACGTACCTATAAAATGTGTGAAAGTTGATGGGACAGTATTTAGAAGGATGTCTCTTTTCACATAAAGAAGATAACTGTATGTGTGACCTATAAGAAAGTGTGACCTACCTCGAAGAACACTAACAAAAACTGACATGTGTGTTCCTTTGCCCTTTCCATCTCCATTCAAGCAAACAGATGCTGCCAGTCGATAACCGTGCTTGCTTGTAGTGAAACTCGGGCTGAACAGGGTCGTCAGAGAACCTGCTTTCGCTTCTTTCAGCTTTCTGGAATAGTCCTCGATTCTCCAAATAAGCTGGTTACGGGAAATGCGTTCTACATCAGCTAGTCTTTCTTGGTGGTTTTGAAGGAGATTTAAATGATCTTGCAACTGGACGTCGTGAGATTCCAGTCTCTTACCCTGTTCCATCACGAGGTCGTAGATTAGACGCACGTGCTCAATGATCCCAGTTTTGTAATGCTTTGGCAACTTCTCACGACTGGACTGCACAATAAGAACAGATCTCATATTATCGAGAGATTGTGAGCAGGAATTAGAAAAACAAAGTTAGATACACGTATATCTCAAATCAAAAAGGGATATAGAAAAATAGATATTATGGAAAACCATAAATCGCCAATCAAAATGGTCACATGTTCGAGGCAGATTGAGACAAGATACACAAGGATTAAAAGTCAAAATCTCCCTTTCCTGTTCAGAGTACAAACATGCTTTTAAACACTTCTACATTTAAAAAACAGTGAAAAAATATACTCTACAAAATGTAGATGCTTACTCGATGTGTACAGCCAATGTCCTCATACTGACACATGATCTTTGTTCTTGGGCATTCTTGCTCAATGTGGGCATCCAACTATATAAATAGTAAAGTAGTCTTACTGAAAGTTTCCAAAGACCATGTAACACAGAGCAGGTTTTGAAATTTGCTTTAACCGATTAAGAGCAAATGAACAGATCCATCAAAATAAACAATCAGGATACGTTTTACAAGTAAAGAATACGTTTTGGAAACATTTAGTTGGTTTTGTTAGAAAGGGTGCATCTTAATTCGGTGTAAATTCTCACTCTCCTATTAATCTCAGATAATAACAAAACGCTGATTGCCTACGTACCAAAGTGTGAAACCTAGATCATTTCGAAAAGACGAATTACTGTATCTATACTTAAAAAGTGAAATTGCTGATAGTTTTGAAAAGGAAGCAAGACAAAGCAAAGAGAAAATATTGAAAGCTAAGGACAAGAAATATGGGATAAAGGCAGGAATTTATCGAGTTACTTACACTCTCTCGAGGAATAGTCAACTTTTTGTCGCATTTGTTTGGACAAGGCAGTGGCACTTTTTTGCATTCCTCAAGATGTTGCTGCAATTTACAAAATATGAAAATAACATATATCGTATAAACATATAACTAAATACAAAGTCACGTGTCTAGATTATGAATCACGTGTCTCATGTTGGGGGTGCAAAACCGGGATGTAAAAATGGGGTATCATTTTCGAAGTAGTTACTCTAGTCAGTTTTCGCTCCAATGAAGGCACCCACACGTTTCCCTTAAGAAAGAATTCAATGTTATACAAAGAAAATATCTTAAAACCTTGTTTACTGTTCATGGCTCAGCAGATGGATGTAGAGTTATTTCTGCACAGAAATGATCACAAAAGAAGCTTTCCGTCCACAAAATACAAACAGAAACAAGACCTGCTTATATGCTTCTAGCTATATCGTACAATACAGTAGCGTAGAACACAAGACACTAGAGTACAATACAATACTGTTGCAAGTGGCGTAACGCAGTTTAGGGCACCTTAGTTCGATAACTAAGGGCCCCCGACCAAAAGGGGGTCCTAAATTGCTTTTATATCTATGTTTTTAAATTTTAAAGTTTTAAAGATCTTGAATGGAAGTTTTTATAACTCAGCTTCTTCTTGTTAACGAGTAAAATTATCATTCTTTCATCTTCGTAATTGTGTTTGACATGCTCTTCGCCCTTGGATGGGGCTTTTTGCAGTCTGTAAATAGGGCCCCCGTGTCAGTTTTTTCCTTAGGGCCACAGATGGCTCCGTTTCGCCACTGACTTTTGAGTACAATAAAATACCTTAGATTACAATACAATACTGTTGAGTGCAATACGGTACCTTAGTTTACATTTTAATACAGTAGTGTACAATACATTGCAGATTTAGTCGACACTCACTCGTTTTTCTTCTCGAAGATGCCTTTCATCACAATATGCGCAAGGAATGATTCTTTTTGGGCAGTCTTTATCCAAATGCTTCTGCAAGAATCTTCTCTGGAACTTGGCTCCACAATCGTTGGCACAAAGAATGTCAGCATAGTCACATTTGTCATTGTGAACCTAAGACAAAACAAGTAAAACATACAAATTGGTTTAATTTTGAGACTTTCAAAAGATTTCTACCGTTACTGTCAGTTTGCTCTATTCCTGGTTTTAGGGGTATTCCCGTACAATTTTAACTGCCCTGAACAAATAGATGAAATACAGAAGAAATAATTGATATTTCTACCCGCTCATCAGTGATGAAAGTCGTTTTTAATTCACCGAATTCATAAATTCAAAAATTATCCTTACAAGACTGGGTTTACATAGAGTCGTCGTAAGCGTGGGCAAAGGGGCTGCGATGCCCACCATGATAACAGCCTTTCGGAAAATGTTTTTGTGTGGATGAAATATTAATCGTGCTGGTGTTATTTCGGAAAAGGTTTTATTTAAAGAAGGTCAAAGAACGGATTACAATTCTATTTTGGCAAACATGTTTTGTCATATAACCAAACAAAAACTGCAAGCATTACATAACGTTTGTTCATTTCTTAAGCCTTAGATTCAGCGCCCAAACTCGATACGATCGTTTGTCGGAATTAAATTTTAGCATGGATGCTCCCCTTTCTATTAGATTAAAGCCACCCAACCTCGAGTATTGCAACATATGCAAAGTTATGCTGAAGTTACTGCATCGAAGTCTTTATAAACATAAAACCAAAGTTTTAATAACCAAGATAAATCTACCCTTACCTGTACTTCTCTGAAGGATCCTTGCCAAGTGCACCCCCACTCATGGTTATTGCAAATTACATCCAATGCCATGATTTCCTCATTGAAAGCCTGGTCCACTGGAGGCTATCAAAAACAATCAGAGTATGAGTATTAACACAACAAAGGCACGGTTGCTTTCTGTTCTTGTCAAACCGGCTTTCATGCATAACCAGTTGAACTTTCTAGCCAAATCATGAAACGGGTCAGCTACAAGACTTATGAAAGATCAATTTGTTGCTAGGTCAATTTTCCAGCATAATTACACTAGATGACTATTTGATTCGACTATGCTAAATCAACGTATCTTCTGGCAAGGTCTCTAGGCTAGGTACTCGAACCGGAACCTGTTCTGCAGGTAATGGCTATTGATTTTGTTTCCAGAGATTTTCAACAGTTGAAAAACTCGGGAGCCTGCAACAAAAGAAACGAAACTCAATATCTATATTATGTGATAAAACGCAAGGCCATTGTAGGCCGCAAACACAACCGTACCTTTCCCTTATCGAACTGTGATTGATCTACTGGGCAGCGTGGTTCCACTCTGGAAGACAAATGAAAATTGGCAAGTTAAAACATAAACATATGAACATGATTATATTGGCATGATCATATTGGAATGAATATAATACATGGTATGATTATATTGGAAGCAGGTTTTTAAATCGAGTATGTGTGATTGCTTTCAAGAACATTTAATTTCTTGAACAACGAGAAACAAGCCTGAGAAACAACGTGCAAGATGGTTCCCCACGAGTACCATTAATGGTAGAAATAAAACCAGATTTGAGCATCCTGATGACCTCGTGGGAGCCGTTAATGTTATGATGGTGTTATTGGTTGTCAGTCATATAGGGGGATGATGTCTGATGAAGATTGGTGATAGCTGTTGGTAACTTAAAATGATGATGATGGTAATGATGATGATACTGGTCAATATGATTATTATAATGGCTAGTTATTATCGCAATTGCTACCCTTTCATTTAGCATAAGTAGTCTTAAGTATTTGCTATAGGCAAGCCATTTGAAAAATACCAGTAAGCAAGTCATATGTAAAAGGGAAATAAGGAAATTGTTGTTATTAACATCATCAATTTTACCTGGCAACCTCTTGATGACAGCTGTAGCACAGTCTATGACCACATCCTAGTTTCACTGGGTATCGCAAGACGTCCCTACAAACAGGACAGGAGTGTTGCTTCTCCAGTGGAAATGCAAGCGTTACTTTGGATCTTTCGCGCCACCCTGCAGGACTTTCCATGCTGCTGCGGCTGAGAGCCCTCGATCCATTCACCTAGACCGGTCAAGCGTATTTTATTAAACATCATCATAATAATCACTACCATGATGTATAGAATGTAAACTGCTGTTAACAATTTACAGGCAGAGCAGTGCAAGGCAACTCCGTAGAGCTTCTAAAAGTATTAGCAACTATGCGTGGCTAGTTAAGCATGTTTGACTTCGTTGCTAAAACAAAAGCTCAAGCTAATCTCAATAACAAGCAACAATTAAATTTGAACCCTGTCGTTTAAATGATCAGGATTTTACATCGTCTGGTAATTCCAATAAGCTACAAGGCCCACTGCGATGAATACTGTTCAATTCTTTCAGAGCGGTCTTGTTTAATAAAACAACATGTTTATTGGATATGTACTTTACCGTAATCAGATAATTCTAGTGCAGCAGTAGTGATGGTGCTAAGGGTTTCCCTTTCCTTGAAAACTCGATAAGACTCAACGATGTCCCTTTTTCTTGAAATACTGAATTATCTGCGTTGACTGTATTTATCATTTTTACTTGCTGCCGAAAAATTGCTAAATTGCAAAATATGGATTTAAAATGAAATGCTATGAAGTGCAAGTTAATGATATATGATTGATCATATTGAATCGCAAAATTTTTCTTTATGAGTATTTAGTGAATGGTCGTAGGACTGCTAGGTCAAGGCAACAAGATAAGTATAATTAATGCTAAATGTCAATTAGAACTGTAAAAGAACTCTTTTGTAGAACTACTGTTTAAATATGCTTCGAAGCAGTGGCAGGTGTGTTAAAAGTCGGCATCAACACAACAGTTCTAGCAAGTCGCGAAATTGTGAACGAGATAAGTTATAAAGCGTTTCTCGCATTGAAAGACGAATATGGTTGTTGCTAATGTAACGAACACGCGAATTGCGCAAAATACAACACATCGGAGCCTGCATGAAATGTGATAACGATGCAATTCTCCACCAAGTGAGGAATGAGAAGACTAAACAGAAAAAGGCAAAAAAGTTGTAGATGATTTGTATATGAAAGGTAGAAAGTGGTACTTGTTGGGAGCTCCAAAGACAGATAGCATACACTGAAATACTCAAGGCAACGCTTCACCATCTCTCTAACAAATTACAGGCTATGGAAAAAAGAGGAGTTTCTGTAAAATTTTCTTTAATATACCGAAAAAAGGTCACGTGTTCCAGTTGATAGGCTATTTCTCAATATTCATGTGATTTTCTGTATCTCCTTAAATCAATGCAAAAAGTGGCATGTGGTATGTCGTACAGGACTAGCAGAAATCTCATCGTGTTTGGAGTGTAACCAAGGTTAATTGGGGGTAAAAACAATAAATCAAAAAAAATCTACAAAGAGCAGAATAAGAACGTGGAGGGAATGGTGTATTTCTTCTCAAAGACCGCTTAAAATGAAATGCATACGCTGAATAAATCTTGAAAATAACAAAATATTCAGTTGTGCGAAAGTAATGTGGAAAATTGTTTGATGTCAAGCTTTATCTTTCATCTTGACAATCAATAGAAATCTACGCCAAAATAGTTCAAAACTATTTGAAAACAGGAAGGTAGACGTGAGTAAATGTAAATGACTCTGCGTGTGGGTTAAAATTGATAAAGACACATTAAATTCATTATATTCTTGCCAAATTTCCTGATTTGAAGGTTTTGAGGTTGTCAAAACCACACAATGGTCTTACATTAATCCAGCCTACGTCAGGCTAGAGATATGGCCTGCCGAGTGAATATATAACACTGTTTTCAAGACCAGATGACGATATTGCTTTCCAAAAATGCCAATGATGCGACAGAAAGTTATTCCTACACTGTTTAACGTAGTATGTCTTTGGTAGAAAACGTATTAGAAAGGCTTTTACGAAACTTTCAATACTTATAATTCACACGCAGAAGCAACAAAAATATAAGGTAAATGAAAGAACAACCAAATGTCAAACAATGTAAAAGGAAGAGATTCTTCTTAACAAATGATGATAAATTATCAAACTAGGTGTTGGTAGTCAAACTAGGCGTGTTAGTAGAGAATACAACTAAACTGAAGTGAACAGTAGAGCAGAGTCTTCTTCGCAATCTACGTTCATATTTTTATTCCCATCTAAGCAAATGCTCTTACATCAAGAGCTCTAGTATCGTTACTATACTTTTAATATTTTAGGGATGCTTCAAATCAAATTTCTTCGTCATCTCATGTTACTTTTCTATAACTAGAAAACGTTTCCTAAAGTTTATTGCTCCCAGTTTATTGTTGTATTTTTTTATAGCCTTAGTTTTATTAAATATTGTAAATTAGGTTAGGTTGGTAATTTTCTTTTGTTATTAGTATCGTAACATATTTATTAGCGCTTATTTTAATCTTTTAAACATGTCAGGTTGAAAATATATATGTATGAACCTTTAACCTGTATAAATATTATAAAATGAAATGTATAAATATTATTAAATGAAAAAATGAAAAAAATAAAATGAAAAAATGAATCAATTTTGAGAAATTCTCCCAATTCCCATCGTTTTGTAGAATGTTTCAGTGTCAAGATGTTCCATTCTCTTTGGTTTGAGAGCTAAACATTCGTACATGTAAGGACAAAATCATTAATCGGAGTCACATCTTCAAGTAGAGGACTTTCCTTGTTGAGGCAAGCCTACTTCATCACCTTTAAGCAAACCCACTACAACTAGTTATGTTTGCTGGATGGCACACCAAAAATCATTATCAAGCGCTATCAACGAGCGAGTGAATATAACTTCGATCCGATCATTGAAGAAGAGGCAAAAAAGCCTTGAAAATAGCTACCTCCGTTGACTTTGATGAATTTCTCCTGCGCATATTGCCTTCTTCTGGTGAATGACTTCTTCCTTCATGCGGCGACTTTTCGTCATTGCACGAAGACTCGACAATTTCAAGAGCAGATTCTCCAATGAAGGAGAGAATAGAATTACGTTTCTTTCTGTCGTTGAATGAATCGCATGCTTTTAGCAATGAATTAAAAGCAGACACCCACTTGTCTGCATTTGCATTTTCGCTCCTGAGTTTTCCAATATCCACAGAATAGGACCGACCTCTTGCCATAGTCTTCTGCAGATGTGTGACTTTTGTCCTTCTAAACTTTGAAACTCTAGCAACGAAGCACTCCCAATCTTGATATAATGATGCGTGTTTTAGTGGTGTGACAAAATTGGCACCATTTGTGGGGAAATCACACTTGGTTTTCACAAATCTTATAATTTGACATCACTAAACATCGTAGATAGATGTGGATAGGTGAAACATAAGGTGGCTGATACCGGTGAAAGATCGACCGAATTTAATCATTTCTGTAATCAGAATAGTTACAAAATTTCTTGTTCAAAACCAGCATTTCATACTTCTCTGCTCTTGCTGCAGATATATTTTTCTACCAATACAACCGTTCCTTTCATCACTTTTATTTTCTTCTACACCAATTGATAGACCAGGACAAAAATTCCCTTGAAAAGTCATTAACGCCCCTAAACAACTTCATTTTGAAAAAGAACAACTTGCGAGAATGGAAATGTTTGTTGCGAGAAGCAATAAACATAATGTAAAGTGAAGGTATCAAAACAAAATGCAATTTTACACGGATTATTTGAATTGCATTGAAAAAAGTAAACATTTTGAAACACACTAGATGGTGCAATTCTCCTATCAGGCAGCATTTACCGGAAACCCCATATTGCGCAAAAAACTATAATGATGACATGTTTCGGATTATTTGTAAGCATGATCGTCTTTCCATCTATCTACATAAACATGACAAAACCATTATTGTGTAGACAGAAGGAGTTGGTTTTGACCTTAGGACTCCATTGATAAAATTTTCAATACGCAAGCAATGATTGGGAAACCTCGACAGTCATGTGCTCACGTTTCTGATTGGCCTATTTCGATCCACAACTGGGTATTTATATTTCCTAGCGTAGAGTTTTCGGTCTATGTTCTACCTTTTATACTGTGAAGAGTGTAAGACCAAAAGCTTTAGTATATTTCAAAATGTTTGTTTTTTCAAAGAAGTTTTTTTTTATTTTGTCCCACAAAAAGATTGTTTGAATTAATAAATAGCAAAGTCCATGTAAAATCACGTGTTTAGAAATAGAACATAGATAACAACAGCAAGTTCGACACAATATCACCAAAAAGCTTTAAATAACTTTTTTAACAGCTGCAATTGTCTTTATGGTGCCAGAAACTCTAGTTTAAGATGCTGTTGATTTTATTTGCGTAATCCCACGCGCATTAACAAGGGATCCACTTTGTGTGTTGATTCACTGCTGTAGCAACTGCTAGCCTAGCAACAGTTTTTCGAAAAATGGCAGGTTGCGCTAACAGTAGAAAGTTTAACAGAGCTACCTGGCTTGAAATAATCAGGCAAGAGATTTGATATTTGGTGGTATTTGGAAGTTACTGTACCAAGTGCAAATAAGAGGGGAGCTTTGAACATAACAGTGACATGAGGGATAAGAAAAAACATTGTGTACTCACAGATGAATCAATTATGATAGAAAACAAACTGAGCCAATACTCACGGCGTAGTTTTCAGCAAAATGAACAGCTATCGTAATTAGATATTTTATGAATGGGTTTCTGCATCACACACAGAACATCAATATCTTTAACACGATGATATAAACGGTTTGGACACTTTATAAACATTTCAAGGCATTTCGCTCATACAACATTTATGACATTGTCACCAAACTTCAAAATCATCTTACGCTGCTGCAATTTCGGCAGCTGTACACAGGTTGGTCGTATTAAGGAGACGGCTAGACATCCAATCAGTAAAATGTAGTTTCTGACGTATATACAAAAAATCTGCAAATTCGTTATGACTTGCAATACGCCATCGCACCACTGTTTATTATACGTCAAGAATTGTACCTGCGAATTGCGATGAGGATGACAGGTGAAACATGCACATGCCTGGTCACTGCGATGATTTAATTACAAGCAAAAGATCTTCTGTAAAAAACCGATTTTCAAAAAAAAAATGAAATTAAAAAAAGGAGAGAATAACAGGCTCTATTTTCAATCATTCTTCACTTCATCAAAACAGAAAATCTTCATCAGATTTAAAGAAGTAACCTCAATTGACAGAAGTAACTTTCGATTGACAGAAACTATTTCAGACAGACAAAAAGTTACATTTGATTGGAAGAAAGTACTGTGGGTTGTACTATAGATTGACAGAAAGTACTATAGATTGGCAAAAACCTCTTTGCATTGACAGAACCTACTTTGCATTGACAAAACCTAATTTTGAAGGAAGGCAACTACTTTCGATTGTGGGAAACAACTCTGCCTGAATTCTGGAACTAGATACGGCGATTCAAAGCCAATTTCAATACATGACTACATCAGAAAACAAATTTTATCAATAGAAACTTTAGAATGACAAACAGCGAGAATATCTACTGGTTGTTGAAGCAATGGCAACAAACATTTGACAGAAACAAGTTGATTATCGAGCCACTGTCTGTTGCCAGCAAACAGCAAATCCCAAATCGCAACAAACTTATTCTGATAATGCAAAATAAGCTACAACGATGCTGAGAGTAGTGTCATTGAATCATTTCAAATGCATGTATCATAAATTCTACTGTATATTTTTCCAAGTTCTGATTTCATGATAACTCGTCGACACTATAATTTCATGGGGTTAAACACATTAGGCCTATAAAGGTAGAACATAAATCAAAATGCATAAAAACCGAGTGGCGCAGGCTACGGTAGAGATTAAAGAGGTTTATATAAAAAAACTGTGATCAAAGGATTTTGACTGGGTATGGAAAGCGTTGTCATAGAGCTAAAAGCATTAAAAAAAGTTGTTGTTAGTTTCTATGTAGAATATCCGCACGTTCAGATAATTTTAATCTTCTTACAATGGATGCAGAACTCCATTTCTTCGCAACAATATATACTATGCAAATTTTTGCTACATCCAAAGAAGTATTTTTAGCTGATGGATAGAAAGAGTTAGTAACATAACTAAAAAATAGAAATTGGGCTAAGGAATATTAATATCATTAACTCTTCTCCTGCAAGGTGAAGGAAAAAGTTCATAATCAGAAAATCTGAACCTGCAATCATATCGATAGTTGAAGTGATACGCATGAAGCACAATAAAACGAACATCTTCACGGTTACTGGGATAGAAAGGTTTCGTCCATTAAATACATCACTTCTCATATTAAACCAAGATAAAACTCAAAACTGGTTGATAGCATTAAAACATCAACCATCTGGACTGGATTACTGCGGAAGCTGAAAGTATTCAAACAAGCAAGCACATAGAAAAGACCAAAAAACAGACCTTTGAACGAGATGATTGTCGTTAAATCTGCGTATATTGATATGTATCCGTGTAACGAAGAATGGAAAGAAAAGCACTGCGCAAAATGTTGAGTAGGGTGATGAAAAAGTTTGAATTATATCACTTGTGCGTGGACGTGGTAATGGGTTTTAGTCTAGAAAATACCATCAAATATGAAATATTCTGGGAATTATTAGCAATAACTGTTTAGACATGGCTAGTTCCATGATATTGAAGAGAGAGTTTATCGAAAGTACAAAGAAAACTGTAGAAAAACAATTAAACAGTAGTAGATAAAAAAACAGCAGAATACCGTACATCATTTGAAGTTTTTTCTGTTTCTTGCATTGAGACGCACTTGCACAACTAAATTGACTGGTTATCATAACCAACTTTGGCCAGCTTGCAGCAATATCTCCCGATAACGAACTTACGTTTGTGACTTTGTTCTTCAGACAACTTTTAATTACAGTTTCTGTTCAAAATTATCAATGCGGCTAAACTGAAAGCAGTCGACCTGCTACTGATTAACAAAAGTTCAAATGCAGTCACAACCGTTTGCCTACGAAACTCAGTTGACAGTTTTGTTTGACAATGAAATTGCTGCAACAATCGGGCACCTGTTTTATGAAATTCAAATGACATTGAAATGTTTATTCCTTTAAATATAGAGAAAATGAGAAACATTGATTGAGAGCAAATGCTCTTTCTTCTTCTTTTTAAGCACTGTCAGTCCACGATAACAACATTGTCATTGACTTGATTTGGCCATACAGCAATATCTTGTTCAAAAATTACTCAACAAAGTACTGCTTGAATTTTGGATTGTTTTGATTCTGACAGAGCATGACAGCAGTCTTCATGACAGTGATATTACATGCATTAATAATAAAGCTTGCTGGTAAAATGGTTTTTTCACAGCCAATGCAGGTCTAAAGCACGGCGAAACATTCTGTTGCTAAAGCAAATAGAAGTTTGCTTTTTAAAAATAAAAAAATTCATTAGGCGGTTCTAAAACAAAGTTCGAGATTTTATTGCAAAGAGCAATTTAGTTATAAATGTTTTTTAAAGAGCATTTGTAGACTACATAGATTGGAATCTCTTGTCCTGATGCAGGTTCTTCTACTGAATAAAGTGTTTTATTAAGAAATCCAAAAAAGACTTCATTTCTTTGAGAGCAATTTTTGAAAAACTTCATACTTTAGTAAGCATTGAGCCTCGTTTCTAAGTTAAAAAAAGTCAAGACGAGGACTGCAGATACTTGAGGTATTTTCACGAAACAAATCGAACGTTCATGATACAAATCTACCCCGGTGACGTTTCTGCTTCAGGGAGGTGATGTTAAATTATTTCACAAATTTCAAACAATCAGGCAAAAAGAAAGCTGTATAACAAACCAAGCAAATTGCGGTCATCTCACAGATTTGACAGGTCTGAAGCAATAAAAGGCTTGATATCGTGTAAAAAAGCTTAGCTTCGCATTACTCTTAGCAGTTTATTGGCAGCCAATAAATGCCAAAGTTTAACAGTTTATGAGCCAGTGAAACAATAACGTTTGGTCTATGGCTAAGTTTCAACGATGATATGAAAACACAGGCCCTTACCGATTTCAATTCTCTTTCTTCTTCTCCATTCTGTTGTTCTCCCGCCTCTTCATCAACAAGCTTTTGCAACTCATCAGACCCCATTGAGATATTGCTCTTTGGTCTACTTACAGGTCTGGTTGCTGAGCCCATTCTGCTTTTATTTTGTTGTCCAGACTGGCGACCATCCCCATCCATGTTAGACTGTCTCGAGTTGCTTGTGCGTGGCCTTGGAAAAAATAAGCAAGTAAGAGAAGGACACAAGAAGAAAATTTAAACCTAAAGCTTTCCTGTTGATGACTTGGTTTTTTCAAGCAGCCGACCTTCTCAACTATAGATTGAACGACAGGCAGTGTAGACATTACAGGGCCAGACAGAACCTTATGCAGACATTGTATAGTATCCATAAAAAAACTTCGGATACAGTAAGCTGTGTTTCATATGTCAATGAGAATTGGATAATATCAGTCAACGTAAATAGAATAAAAAACTAATCCCTAAACTAATGTCACTGTAAAATGGACATATTCCTACTGAAAGTGTATATCAGTGTTATGTTTGAATAGATAAGTTAACTATTGAAGATAAGAGCCTTTCGTTGCAGGCACTTGCTTTCAGTCAAAGGCAATACAACATTTCGCATTGTTTTTTGGGTATAAGCTACATTGAGTTTTAACTTTTAGATCAATGGGTTTATATTAATAACAGGAAACAAGTAACACAATGAGAAATGTAAGACGATGGCCAAGAAAGCGCGAAGATCTGGTTTTTCCACTTGAAACTGTACTTTGCATAAAGTATTTTAGATTCCATAGCAACCAGAAAATTTCGGAATTGAAAGGAGCATCGGAATAACTTGATATGCATCTTTTTGCGTGTGTGCTTAGCAGTGGAAAATGGGTCGAAGAGGGCATTCGTACTCATAACACAAAATAATCAATTGAAATTTTCAAGAAAAGTGTTCGCTGCAAAAGGCTTGACTTCCAAGCAGGGGTACTCATTTGTTGGAATTGACCACAGCATCCCAGGTCTTATCCTAATATCGAGCTACGCGGCTACAAACGTTCCTTCAAATCCAGTTAAGTATTAAATATTTTTTCAAAGATAAATAGAAGAGATTCTAGATGGTGATATAATATAGAATTACCTCAAATTTTAAATACATGTCAAAGTATAATCTGACGATGTATTGTTGAGACCTTAGTGACATCTACCGTAAATCCTCGAATTGGCTCATCCTCCCCCCCCCCTCGAATAAGCCCTCACCCTAGAACTACAAATTGTCAATAGGCCTCCTCCCCTTGAATAAGCCCCCATTGCTACCGTAAATGCTCAAATTGGACCCCTCAATTTGATGATTTTTGCCATCTGAGGTTGCCTATGGCGTTTTATTGAATAACTACAACAAATTCATACTTTTGGCAGTAATTAATTAAATGCTCATAAAGAAATTCCTACTAAAATAAACGAGGTCTTTTAATAATGTATTCTTAATATCTACAATAATTTTATAAGCCCCCCCTCGTATAAGCCCCCCCTCGAATAAGCCCCCATCCAAAAATATCAAAGATAAAAAAGCCCCCAGGGGGCTAATTCGAGGATTTACGGTATTCCTATATCATGTTTGTTGTCCTGTTTCTGGCTTGTTTGATTGCACCATTAAAATTTATAATTACCTATCTTGAATTGACTCGACTTCGTTGTTTTCTTTGCTTTCGTTGTTTGCATTTTCTTCCTCTTCGATATTGTTTGTTTCACTGTTTGTTTCATCTTTATTCTCTTCTTCACTGTTCCCATTTCCAATTTCCTCTAAATCGTCATCTTCGACATTTTCGTTTTCATCCTGTCCACCATTCGTTTCTCCTTCTTCAATCTTCTTTGGTTCTTCTTCACCGATCAATTCTGCTTCAAGTTCTTCAATGGTTGACATTTCTAGACCTGAAGCAAGGTTTGTACTCGACACAGGTCTTTTTCAATTTCTTCGATAAAATTTTCAGCTAACGATGAGAAAAAGCTTTGCCTGCTCTCAGCGTAGCGGTTGAGAAAAATGTTTATTTTCGTAGCAACGAGCTGGTTTATCTAAACGGGAAATATCCCAATAGAAACGTGAAGCTAAGGAAGGGATGGTAATTAATAAGAACTGAATATGCACCATGAATAGATTCAATGATATCGTTGGATACCAGAGTTGTCGGCTGTAAATAACACCAATCGTGGGTCCAGCAGGTTGCTCGATTCTGCTGAACGTATAAGCAGTTGTGAGGCATGTCTTGTTTTTCTACCGTTGCTACGCTATAAGCCTGCTGAACTCTCTAATACAACTGAGATCGGTGATATGGTTATAGTTTTGCCTGCTCGAGAAACCCAAAAAAGGCATTGAAATAGAATGCTGTTCTTCTCCTACAACTGGCGCTGTAAAATCTCATATAGTCTCTAATGAGAGGTGAAGATATGACATAAATTCTCGCTTCTGACTGAATTTCTGATACCTTTTATCCATCATTCATCTTTTTTCTAAAGACTGCATTTACCAAAAAAACTAAAATAATATGCTGGTACCATGTTTTTAGGGATGAATTAATAACCAATGTATTGTTTCCACAATGTAACAGCAAGAATACTTAACGAAGGACAAAGTTTTCCTAGAGTGCAAATTATTACAGCGATAATTTAAGCGTTATAAAAGGTTTAGATTTATAAAACCTAATAAACAGCAGATGTTTTGATGTAGATATTACTTCCTCTTGACCTTTTACAAGACACAGATCCTGAAAAAAGCAGCAAAACAATCTTCAAGCTCTTAACCGGTCGTTTTCTGTCTTTGTAAGATTTAGCAGAAAATGAATAGGCCATGAAAAGGCGTACGAGATCTTTTCGGATTTAAAAATCCGTCAATTTCGGGTCCAGATTTGCGGATTTTTTCAGATTTTTAGCAAATTTTCCGGATTTTTTCTCCGAAAATCTTAAAGAAAAGTCATTTAGCTTCGTTATGCCTCCTTGCTTGACAACTCCGATTATCGCCAAATGTTAGTTGGCATATTTCATTTATTCATGCAGTTCTGTGAAAAGAACTTATCAAAACATAAGTTATTTAGCCATGTCCTTTAGACTTAAAAACATAACTCTACAAAACAACTATATCAAAAGTATAACAATAATGCAGGGTGGGTTAAAAACACTCAGCCCACTTTTTCGGGATTCTTCAGAAAATGATGACATTTGAATTAATTTGACGCATACCATTTGAATGTTTCTTCTATCTTCATTACAACGATATCAAGTTTTGGCTCTTTCATTAAATCATATATTACTCAATGGACCATTCAGCTATTCAACAAAAGAGTCTGGATCGAATCATCTTTTTATACAATGGCTCGATTAAGTCATCTCATCATGCTTGAAAATTTTCTCATCATGCTTGAAAAAATGGTTTGGCTACATTTTCCTAGGTAGCTCTTGCCCTCTTTTTGCCCTTTAAGCACAAAAATGATAGTATTCTCCCTAACAATGACTTGGAAGGATCATCTTCTTTCCTAAAGAAGCACTGGTTTCCAGGCTTTTCAATGTTGCGTTCTCGTTACGTTGCGCACCTGCGCTGCCGAGATAGGTTTTTGCGAAATCAAGGGTTGGTGGCTTTTCACGTTTCTTTTTGTCAAGGAAGGGACTGTTGGTGCACAAAAATAAAGGGACGACTGGAACAAGAACTCATGTTACCAAAGATGACTGTCAGCCAGCGAGGAACTATGATGAGGAACGGCAACAACAACGGAAAGTCTTCGTATTCACTGTTCGAAATCATCCATTTCATCGTCCAAATCATCCATCTCATCGTCCAGATCATCCATCGTATCTTTCGATGATGTTTTTGATTGATCCAATAGATTTTCATTCAAAATGTAAGTCCGTGATTCAACGCTGATGTTGCCAGAGTTTGGCCTTATTTCTTTGACTTGGTACCGGACATTTCTTGCACATTTCTAAGTCTGATTGGATTTTCGGACTTTTATTTTCTTTGTGGATCTCTGGATTTTTTAAAAGGATTTCGTGGCTTTTTGCGGATTTTTGAAAGGATTTTCGTGGATTTTTGCGGATTTTTGGCAGGGTGTACGAGGGTTTTTGAAGTGATACACCCCTCGGGAAACTCAATGTAGAGTATACGCTATTTGTCATTCAATAAAAAAAATTGAAAAGCCACAAACATAAAAGTATTCAAGATCGATGCTTAAAATAATCAAGTTCGCCTTGCCAAAGAAAATAGCTACGTAACGATTGACTGACTTATATTCTATGGCAACATCTAATAAGTAGCATGGCCCATAAATATGTTGATAGGTAGTTGAAGCCCATAAAAAGCAATTAACTTATTCAAAACTCTTTTCAGCATTTGAACAAATCATATCAGCAGGCTTTTAAACAGTTCTATAAAAGTCGGTAGACAAAAGAAGCAAAGTTTGCATAATCATAGATAACGGACGCCATGCTAATTTGATATCATTTTTAGATACGACTTGTAATGCATTAACAGATGAAGAAGAATCTTAGTTCGCCAGAAGGGAAAAGGAGAAATTTCAGACGTGACATTAAAATTTCTAGTTCTTTTCAAAATAACAACAATAACATCTTATACAACGTTTCACGGGTGTTACAAATTTCGCCAGCGTGAAGTTGTGTTTACAGATACGTGATGGCGACGCGTTAAACAAATGTCTGATACTCTTTTCGCGTCCAAAGTACATAACAAATGGGAGGAAACCGCTTATCGAGCAGCTGCACCCAACTTCGCCATGTTTACTGACAAGGTTAACAATGCAGGTAATTATGTCTGTATTTCGTTAAGGCTTTCCATATTTCAAATCCCTTGGAAAATACTGCACAGATAATCTCGCTAAACAAGCATCCGTGATATCTCTTAGAGTGGAAGCAATGCAAAGTAATACACGTGACCAAGCTTGCTGCATGAGCAAACCTATGATGAATTGTATGGGTGATTCCTCCAGCCATTTAAACACACATACACAAGCCTAGGCATCACCTCCCTCCAATAACAAAATGTTTTTCCTCTGTTTCACCTTCATCCTCCTCTTCTGATTCATCCTTACATTCGCTTTGTTTTTCATCTAAGCAAAAAAAATATATGTAGCTACCTTTTCACAAGGAAAGAACCTATAAACATGATTGGGTCCCCTAAAGAGTTACTCTCTCATTTGAGAATAATTCTGCAGAATCTAGGATCAGTGTAAAAAGACTTCCCGGAAATGAATAACTTCGCTTGAAGTCACTATAAAAGCACTTGGTAATGCCCTGATTTGACCAGTGCTGGTTGCTACTAATATACAGCATGCATACAGAGCTTCCGAGATATTTCTACATTGGCAAACAATACCGATACATAAAACATAACTATTATGTAACAATTTACTTGAACAAAAACTGAAAGACAGGGCACAAGAAACGTGCGAAAGGTAGCAATGAAAAATAAGACCAAAGAGGAAAACCTTTGTCTGTATTGGTCTCTTTCTTCTTCACAGCTCTTCTTTGTTTTTTCTTTTGCCTGAAAATGAAGGCAACATAACTATATTTAGAGAATGAAACTCTACATTGAGGAAATAACTCTTTTGATAAACAAGGGGCTTTATCCAAAGATAGCAGGTTAATATTCAATACTTATGTATTACTAAGATTTTCTTCGCTGAAAACATTAACATGCGTAGTCATAGGTAGATTAGGATCTTAGCAACAAAGTACATTACAGCAAAGATCGTTACAACAGTTTATCTTAGTAGCTGACGAGATTTTAAGATATAATGGTTCAGTCCAGCTTCTTTAGCTTCCAAAATATATAAAAACCGTATGGATGTTTGAGACAAAGCAGCTACTATTTATAAATTGACAATAAACTGATCTCTTCATATCGAGATTCTCAAAATGAGATCCATTAAATGTCTTTAACTCAATTACAATTTTAGCAAAAATTAACAATTCTATAAACAAGCCAGTAATATGAACCTTGCAGTGTCAGAACTATACTGAGATATCAAACGACAACATACAATCTGAAATGGCAGCAATTAATTTCTTTCCAGGACTAGAATGCCACGCTTGCATTTTTTGTCACAAATATCAGTAGCTCAAACAAGGTTTACATGACGTCTTTTTCTTTTGATCTGTTTTTCTTCGACATACTTCAACAAAACACTATCCGTGACCATTTAACAAAAACGATATAAAAAGAATGGGCAGTCTCTCGCAAACACAACATGCTATTTGCAATTCTTAAGTTTGGAAACAGTTGGTCCATGTCTGTGGAAACGTTGATATATATTGTAATATTGTAGAAAACAGTTGGAAGCAGGGGAAAATATTAACATGATGGATACATGTTACCCTCAAGAAATCAGGGTGACATGTTTTTACCCCTCACACAGTGAAAACTGAATTAATGCACACATATCAGTATGGCAAGAAAAACCACACAAACCTTTTTGCTCTTAATTTGGCTGTTTTTTGTTCAGCTTCTTGCTTGTTCTTATCAATTTTCTGATGGTATTGCTCTTCAGCTTTTCTCTAAAAGATGTTACCAATAGGGGAATGACAGCAAAAGACGGACTTGAATTCAAGACTACAGTATATCAGCTAGTCTTTGCAGTATTCAAGAAAGCCATTTCGTGTTACAACACATTCACCAAAGTAAATTATGTAACTTTATCTCATAATGATAAATGATTTATTTATGACTTGTGAGCAAATCATAGCATGCTTGCTGTTACGGGATATCTGTCATTTCTCCAGTTTCATTCTCAAAATCTTGTTCTCAAAATTAGTTTGCAGGTCCCTTTGAGTCATTGGTCACTACAAAGAATTCTATAATGATCTGCCAAATCAAAAATTTGACAACAAGTTCTATGTTCTGGTCCATTTGCAACATTTTAGCTTTCAGGTCTTCTATGATGTCTGTATCAAACAAATTATGCCTACTTCTGGCCTCTACATTTTTGGCATTTTGGGAAACAAGTTGTTGCTACTGTGATTGAAATGCTGCAGGAAAAATGGAACAATGTTTTGTTGTCGTCATTTTGAGTTGCGTGAACAGCAGAAATGATAAAAATGTTGCTTTTTTGGAAATTTGTAATGTTTGAGCATTAACATTTTTTTCATTTTTCCCTTTCTACAATTTTTAAAATTGTCTTAGATTGGCAACTTCAAAAATGTTTTCTTGGTAATGATTTTCCAACAGGCTGAAGAAATTTCCCTATGATTACAAGGCACTAAATAAAACTAAATAAACATTTCTAGCAGGCTTTATAACTGAATGTAAGAACAAGGCACTGATCATTAGTTTGAGAACATTTTTACAATGCAAATTTCACTGCATGCATTTTTTTTGCCCACTGTTCTGTAAAAGGTTGAAATCTTTTGGGAAGCCTGCAGTTTTATAGGAAATTTACATTGATAGGAAATTTGAAGATGTCTGCATGATTGATTGAAATCAAATAATGAGAAATTAAAACAAAGAAAACATTGAATTTACTATCATTTATTTCACAGAAACACTGTAATGTTACTGCCATTTTAATTTTACAGAAATGCTGCAGTAATGAAAAAAGTCTTTTGGCCAAATTTCGAGGCTTTTAACTTTAGGAAAATTATCTTGTTTTTGGAAGGCAATAACAATTCTGTGCATTGTCAAAGACTTTGTAAATTTGCTGTTAAACAACATGGAAAAGCAGATAAAATGCCACTTGTTGAACTTTATTACAATGGATAGCATTAAAAATATTTGATGTGATGCCTAGAGGCACTAGACGACAAGCCATGTGGTTGCATATATCCAGTTTAACCTTAAGTATAATATTAAGGAATTTTAAGGCATATATCCAGTTTAATATTAAGGAAGACCCTCAGCTTCTCAACTGAACCTTATGAAAAATATCAATGACAAAATGTGAGTCTGAATGTCAAAACCAATCAGATTTTGAAAAGCCAAGTGAACTCATGACATACTTTGGCTGCTTGAGCATCTAGCCATTCATTTCTCTTGGTTTCTCTTTCGCGTAGTCCACGGTATACATGAAACTCACCACTACCAGCACCAGCACTTGACCCTTGAAAATATAAACTGGCAATAAACAAAGTTTTATCACTGTTTTAACCAATGCAGCACAATCTAAACTACATGACATAATTCATGGAAACTGATAGGCACTAGCTACTTGCCAATCATCAAAATATAAATTTATGAGAAAGCAGCCTTTTGTCATAATTCCCTTTCCATACAATGGTTGTTTCTCAAAAAATTGTTCTGTGCAAGAAAAAGGATTTTGAGCAGTTTTGAAAGGTATTTTTGCAAAATAGCCTTGTTAAAATCTGTATTGATGAGAATCATTGTCTAACAACATGTTCGTATTCAACATGAACCATACATGAAGAGCTTATTCCAATTTGCAAAATTTCAGGGACATTTCTTTTCATAAAATCCACCTTTTATAGCTCAAAAAAGCATAAAAACCAACTGATAGTGATATAGCTAAACCTTGCGTTCTTTCTTTGTCTACCATCATAAGGTTAAGCTATCACTATCATTGATAGTATCAGAGGGTTTATGCTTTTTTGAGTTATAGAAGGCGGACTTAATGCACCGAAATTTGTAGGAAATTTCGGGGAAATTTCGAAATTACAATAATATCTCTTACCCATAACATGACGAACAAATTCTGGTGCGTCTCTGGGCTTCCATTCTTTCCTTGACTTTGGAAGCTCGATTAGTTTGTCCTTTAAGATATTGATGAAAAGGGGGAATCAGACAACAATTTCCTTCTTTGGAAATTAAACTAGAAAATACAAAAACAGTAGGCTATTGAATCGAAAATTAAATGAGTGAATGAATATGTAACACTAAAATAGCATAAAATTTAAGCATACTGGGTCTTTCATAAGCTTTTCAAGTTGGCGCTTCTGAACATCAATAGCAGATCTAGCAACGAATGGTTTCTTTGCGTCGCTGTCGTCTCCTTCTTTAGGCTTCTTTCTTTTAGCGGTATTTACGACGACCTCCATTTTGAAATTTAGAGTAGAAGCTCTTTTAGCAAAGCCTCCTTTTCAATAACTTGCCGCTTCTAAATTTAAAGATGGACGACGAACGTGAGCAAGCTGGAGGTCTGACGACCCTGCGGCTAAGCCAGGTAATACCGACACTTGAAGAGTTTAGGAATAGCAAAGTAAATTTTACGCCGACGCCTGCTATCCCAAGCATGCTCAAAAGGAAAGAAGAGGTTGTTGTGGAGAGAGTCATGGAAAATTGTGCATTCAAAACCGCGATGGCATGTGTGCTAGGCAAGAAATTTTACTTGCATCAGGCTTGATTTATCAAGGTTCCTCTAAAAATATCTTGATTTTCTTGTCTTTTAACCAGGCACCGCGCAGACACTGGGCTAGCAGGGGCCATAGCCCAATGCAATAGTAGGCTAGAAAATTTTTATGAAGGTTTACTCTAACGCAACTTTGGATAGTTTACTCCTATGTAGTAGCAGTTCTCATTGACTGGGAACCATTTTTGTTCTTTTTCTAGGTGTCTCATCTTGTTTAATGATATGATGTATTTTCTAACTTGGTTAGCTTGGCTTTTTATTACCCTCAAGCTAATTATATCTATTTTTATGGTTATTGATAACTTCTCTGAACCAGACTTTTTATAAAAATTCAATAGAAATAAGCAAGCATTTTCTAAAAGGTGCGTTTTCCGTCGTTCAAGAGGGCGTGGCCTCAAAAAATTTCGGTCACACCCATTTCAGCCCCTCCACCTTTAGAGTAGTGCGCGGTCCCTGCTTTTAACTGCAATTCCCTACTCTCATTCTAAATTTCAATATTGTGATTGTGATTTCATTTCTCACTAAATGATAACCATTTCAACAGGATATGGCCTTGGTGCTGGTTTTGGATTATTTACTGCAGGACTCGACTCATCAATGCCATCATACATGGTACAAGATACTCAAAACCAAACTGCAAGATCAGTATTTCGAGAAATGAAATCACGAGCCTCATCATACGGAAAGAATTTTGCAGTTGTTGGAGCAATGTTTTCAGCCACAGAGTGTCTCTTAGAATCAGTATGTTAACCTAACAAGTTTATATTCTTAATTTGGAAACTTAAAGTTTGCATACAGTTTTACTCTATTTTCATATTTAATATAGCAAATTAAGGATTATGAAATGTCCTCCAAAACCAGGGCTTGAACTAAAAGGTGAATAATTTGGACAAAGGTTTAAAAGTAATTAAGTGTACGGCAGTATGAAAAAAAATATGATGAAAGTGCTCTTTAATGAAAGTGTTCTTAAAAAAAGAAATTACTGAAATCCATTGGTAGCATATACTTACAAATTCAAACTCCAAAAATTTGTGAATAAATTGTCATTATAAGTTTCAACACACAAAATAGTAAAATATTGTTTGTGTCTTGACTAAATGTTACCTACCATTCAGAAAAAAATATTTAGTTTTCTTATTTTGCTAACAGTACAGAGGGAAAACTGATTTACAAAATGGAACCATGGCTGGATGCATTACTGGAGGTCTTCTTGGTTTGAGAGGTTGGTCACATTTTGATAAATATCATATGAAACATATCATAACATATTTTATCTAATAAATAATCTGATTTAGTCAACTAAACTTTGGATGCAAAGTTCTATGTTTAGGATTTAAGCATATCAATTTCTTGATATTTTTGCAATTTTCTTTTAGCTGGAGGTCAAGCAGCCATACTTGGTTGTGCAGGCTTTGCTGCATTCTCAACTGCAATTGACTACTATTTCAGGCACTAAGTGATACAAGTATGGTATGAGAGATTGCAGCTCTTTGTTACAATTGTGTAGCAACTTATAAACTGTGATTAGAATGATATTGTGGGAAGTATTTGCCACCAAAACCAGACTGATACATTACCAGACTTGATGAAACATACAAGTCAAGCCATGTGGAAGAGTGGATATAATGATAGAAAAACAATGGTAAAAAATGAGCTATTGGAATGTCTGTATTCAGTATTTCAATAGCTGACTGTTATCTGTAAATAACTGAAATTTTTCAATAACTCAAAAAATACACCTGCTCTGCTAGTGAAATTAAGCTACATCTATTATTTAAGATTTTTAGAAAATTTAGAATCCTTTCCTTACATGGTGAATGATTCAAGTTTTTAGAATATAAAATTCTCTAGTCAAGATTTTTAAGGTAGTCAATGGCCTGATAACATGCCTGAAGTAGAGATCTTCATGATATCAAAAACTTTTTCTAGTAATATGTTGATATTATAGGTCTCATTGGCTTTATATTTTAATAAAGTTCCACCCTCACTAGTTATATATTTTCTACAATGACCAATTTTATGGCTAAAACAAAATCAAATAGCCTGTCATTACAATATTGCTGTGAAACTTGAATTTATTGTTGATAAATGTTCACAAATGCTTGTTTATTTGGTAGGTTGTTTGGATGTAGCTACTACAAGATATATATTTGAATTGAGAAAAAAGTTTACAAAGATACTCTTTTTCGTATTCTTCAACAACTATGTGTCACTCAGAAAAAACCTTTGAAATAGAATCATTTCAAAAAAAGATGGAACAAATATTTATCAAATAATGTGTATTTTTTCAAACTTTTTGTTGAAGCTAAAAACTTAGGCGATATACATTGGTGTTATTACATAGCATAAAAACAGTCATAAATTGTCTCTAGGCTCTGCTAATTAGGCTAGCATTCTTGTACCATAAAATGTAATGATGTGGATTGGCAAACCTTCTAAATTTATTTGTATTTATTAGAAGTTGAGAGTGTGATTGAGCGATCCACTGCCTGTTGATAGTTTATAGCGGGAAAAACTTCTCTATCCAATGCCCAATTTCAAATAATACCTATAAACAAAAACACAATTATAGCAAGCAGTGGTGATGTGCACTAAAAAGAGTTGATGCTAGTCTACAGAATATGGATGTGGCCTGCTTCAGGTCATGCCCTTTTCAACATATGTAATGAAGAAAAAAGATTGTTGATTCAAAAGTTCTGAAAATAATATAACACATCTCGTGTACACAGTGTCTGCATCTATGACATTTTTGTTGATACAATCTGTTGCAGTGTGAAAATTGCTCATTGTGATGCTGATTATATGCCCATGAAACTTAATTACAATATTTCACAAGGGAGTTGGTGACAATCTCCAGTAAATGCAAGAGGCAAATGATTTTGAAAGAACTTAATCAAATGAGCAATAAATCCTTGAAAGTTTGGAGTTCTCAATCAAACATGTTGGATGATGTTTTCTGCTGATTTTTTATTCGTTTGGTTGGGGCTTTAATGTTTTGAAATTAAATCTGGTAATTCTTGAAAACAAAATGATTTAACAAAAATCAAACAATTTTTTCTAGAGTGATAATGCCCCACCAAACTGCCATCAAGATAACACACACAAAATAACAAGAAATTAACTTAGAGAAAACTAATGAGAAAGAAAAGAGATAAAAAGGAAGTCAGTCAAAATGTTGTGCTGCCAGTACAGTTTGGAGATTTAAGCCTGTGTAGAGGTGTGCATGTGCGATTGTCCACCTAATATTACCAGAAATGTAGTAATGAATGCAAAAGACACATGCTTACCTCTATGGCAATAAGAGCAACGATAGCCCATTCAACTCTCAAAGAGTGTCTGTCATCTAAGTGACTTCTAAGAATTTCAACCATTTCTGAACAAAGATTTAATTTCTCATTTGTTACCTGTGAAGATAGATGAATCAAAGGATAAAATGGAAAATTCTTATTCCATAAATTAAATTTGGAAGACTTTTTAATAATCAAGCCATGTTAGAAGCAAAAAAGCAGACACTTGAGAAACTGATCAAACTTCTAGGCGGTCAATTGATCACCTGGGAAAAATATTGCTTTATTGTTTAAAAATTAGTCAGCCATGGTTTGAAAATAGAGATTTATTTGCTCAAAATGCATGAAGTAAACTCTGTTTAGAAATTATGATTTGTGCTAATTTATTTGTCAAGATTATGATATAATGAAAGAAACTCAAATAAATTTGAAACTTTCCCATTTAAAGTACATATGCTTGGATTCAGTGTAAAGAATGTAAAAACCGAAATATTACCAAATATTATCAAATATCATCAAAACGAATTTTGGTTTTTGGCATTTAGTTTTAGAGAGCAAAAACACATTAAGTGCCAGTCAATAAAAATCCCTAGAACTTTCTAGGCATGTGCAGCGGTTTTTGATTGAGCTGGAGCCCCTGTCCTGTAAGGCCTGTTAATAATTTTCTGATATTATCGACATAAAATAAAGAGCTGTTTAGTTCTTTATTTTATCTTGCTAATATAGGCTCATATCAGGTCTAAAACGCTGAAACTCTATGGTCATATAGAAAGATAAAGTAAAGGCCTCTCAAAAGTCTGTGTTGAAGGGTTGGTATCTTTAAACCTACTAAAATCTTTACGGAACGGCTTGCAATAGAAGTTAGGAGTTATCAAATCACAGCTTAAAATACCTCTTTAGACTAGCTTGTCATTTATACTTTGCAAATATTCCTATTATGTACAGTCCCTAATAGAAATACTAGGCCAAATTGGCAAATTGGTATTTTGCTAAAAAATATGCAGGTCTGATCACTTTTTTACCAATGATTTGACCAATGTTTGCCTACCTTTGTTCTCCTTCCAACATCTAAATAATTGCATGTTTTATTATACAGAATCTCCAAAGACTCTCTGTCCCAGTAAAAGTCTGGCGTCATAAGTAGATCTGAATACAAATTTATCTGATGCCTATAGATAAAACCAAACAAAGATTCATTCATCGTTTATAAAAACACATTATATCAAGAAAATTTTGATATCATGAGATGATTGAAAATTTCTTTGAGATATTACACAACTCAATGCAAATTAAAACTTTATCATAAATGTATATACAATATAAAAACTATTAAAAAGAATCAAGACCCATTTTTCAAGTAAAGATGTCAAGAAAAACTATTAATGTGCTTACAGCCTCAACCCTTGATAGAGTTTTCCTGCAAGCCTTTCTTATGTTCAATTCAAGCGGATTCCGCAACCTGGCACCACAAAAGGAAATAGCTTACTGCCCATTACCAGTTCTGATCTTAGGTACCAGTTTTCATGCTTAAAAGAGGTCTTTCCTCGTGGTTCTCATACCCGTTGTGTCAAATGATGATTTTTGATGAAAAAGTGTGACATATAACATGGTGCCAGAGTATTCATTAATTCTTACATTAAGGTAGTTCAGTGTCTGTGTCAAGCCTCTAGGCTTCAAGAAATTTAGGCATAGAGCAAGAAAATCAAGAATTTCATCAGGGTACACATGATATGGCTAAAAATAAACAATCAGAATAAAAAAAACATACCGTAAGCTTAAAAGCTCTCCTAACTTCTGTAAAACTTGTTTTCTTGATATGTTGGGCTTAAGCCCTTTCTGTAAATCCTGTCAATTCCCAAATCATTACAATTAGCATTAGCAGCAAGATCAAAGGTGACTGAGCTTAAAATGATTATTTCTTTCAAGATTAATCTGAATCAACTACACCAGACAAGATATACAGAGGGTGCTAGCTGCATTTCTGATAAACTCAACAGACAGGCATAGGCAACAGTCTTTGTCGTTTAATGCGTGCGATCGCACGCGCACGCATCGGCACACGCATGGCACCAATAATGCGAGCGATTGATCGCACGCATGAGTTGTATATTTGACCGTCGTTTTTGACCTGAATAAAATTGTTTTCTTCAACGAAACATTGGAAGTTTTGTCTTCCATAAGCTGAGTAACATCGGCTTATTCTTTAAATAGTGACTATTTCGCTCTGTATCGTGGCTTATCGCTTTGCTTTGTTCTAATTCTCCCGGAAACATGGCGGTCGTCAGGTAGTGTCCAAAACTTTTACCTTCCCGTTTTCGCCATTATCGGAGTAAATATCGATGAAATTGCTTGAAAGAAAATTGGCTTTTCTATCATAGATGCGAGAGGCAGGCGACGAATAGACCCGCTAAAAGAAGATCTTCCGACAATCAAGGTTAATACCAATCTAGTGATGTGGATAGGAGAATTCATAAAAGGGGCGAGAAATTTAGATTTTCCGACCAAAATGTTATAAGAGCTTTTATTTTTTCAAAATTTTGTACATAACTTCACGTAAGTCGCCCTGCCCCTTGACCCCCCTTTATCTACGTCACTGTATCAATCAATATTTCCCTATAGTTGTCCTGTAATGTCGAATGTTTTTTGAAAGAACACAGCAGAAACACTCAGGCTCTCTGCAAATTGCCCCAGGGCCTCGAGGTGAAGGGGGCCTTACAAAGTAATGAATTCTGTTTTGAAATAAAATTGATAAAAAGTAACAAAATTATGCCCATAAACAGTAAAACATTTGAAGCGAATAAACAAATTTAAGCTAGCTTAAAGGGCGTGGTCGCAAAAAATTTCTGCTCGCTTCGCTCGCAGGGCACTAATTCTACACTTTAGCCCCAGGACCTCCAATTCTTTAGGCGGCCCTGCGTACAAGTTTGGCACCGTGACAAAACGGTCGCGGCTCGCCCTTTCGTTTACGCTAGCACTCTGGAACCGAGCTAATTGTGCTCTGCCATCCGGAATGGTTTTGACCCTGTTACGAAAGAAAACGAATTTTGTACCGTCTCGGTTCCGTTTTTGAACAGGACTGTGTAAACTGGGACCGAAATAGCCTGATTTTTAAGAGTGTGAATCGCACGCATGAAAGAAATGATGCGTGTGGTTTGCCACACGCATGGTGATTTCCTTATGACGAAGACTGAGGCAATAAAGCACCTAAGACTTTTCCTGACTTTCAGAATAAATGAGAGATTTTTGTGCAAAAACTTCTAAGTTTGTCACAATTAAATAAAATATTTCTCGACTTTCAACAAATAAAATATTGTATGCCAAATAAAGCACAACATTCAATGTGTTGTGTCAAACTCAATCATACGAAACTCCAGGGTAAAGCAACAATAACTAGGCTGTTGCAATCTTATTGATAAAGACAACATCTCAAGCTGAATTATAATGGGTTTACCTCTGGAATATTTCTCAAAGAATCTACAAACTGATCCAATGCAGCCTCCCATATAGCAAGCTTCACTAAATTGAAAAAAGAGAAAATGGTCTAAATCAACTCAACTAACATGTCAGGTTTGATGAGAAAATATTACTGGTTTTTCGTTCCTTTCTATCTTGGTCTTTTCTCAATTATCTCACATTTATCATTTTACTATAACAGGCCCATTGAAATGAGGATTATGCTACAATTCAAAAAATCATACTGGCAAGCAAAATCTTCTTGAAAGATCATCATAGCTCAGCAAGTTGAACCACAATATTATTGTTACTAAAGCCTATCTTGCTTTATTGTATGATGACAATCATGCTCCTCACTCTCCTGAAATATCTACTTGTGTTGAAGCAAGGCTGTACCTGAAGTCAGCAGGAGGTATCTAGTCTCCAGTTAACAGCTACATGAGAACTGATTCATTTGGCTTTAGATATTTGCAAAAAATATTTGGCTTTAAATATTTGCAAAACTTTTAATAAATACCAGAAAAAAGGCTGCTTGTTGATAGCAGATGATCAAAGTGCGCTCCATTAATTATTCGGTAGATTTTGAATACTTGTTCATTCATACTGAAAATTTTTAAAGAATAAACAGATTGTAAAGATAACCAGATTTCTCTCCCCAGGTTCCAACTACAAATAAATTTCAGCTTTGAGTTTATGACTCCAATCTCTTTAATGTGCTTTGTAGTAAAGTCAAGGGCTTTGAACCAGGCACAGGTTGGGATTAAGTCATATGGCCAAAACCACTATATCTGTAACATACTGAATATCAAGGTAGCATGCCTAAGAAAAGGGTTATGAGATAGCTCGATGGCATTTTCCCAATATTTCCAAAATTAGAACATTGTACTGAAAGTCAAAAAAGAAGATATTATAGAGATACTCCTTCAAATGAACAATTCATAGCAAAGATTATATAAAAACAGTATAGCATACCTGATAAAGCCATTGCATTTGCAAATGCATATTTTTCTAATGCTTTATTTTCATCCCCTAATTTGCTGTTCAGGTGAATATCCCCACCAGCCAAATTTGAGTCCCGTTCTTTATAAAGATATGTTAGCTGTTCATTTTCTCGCTCAACAAGTTCGTCAGGATAAGGCTTTGTTTGAAAATCATTGAGCATCAACTTTAATTCCACTCTTTCTGCTTCATTTACATTCCAGCAAACAAAAGCTCCTAGGCGCCTAAAGAAGAAAATTTCATGACTTTCAGCTCCGAGTTGCTCTTGACGTGAAATCCTTAAGACATCTGATGTATCTTTAGGTAATTCTGCCACTTTGTAAGTGCTACTTTTCCTCTCAAAATACTTTCTCAAAGCTTCAATGTTGTATGATTCACCTGTTGAATATGCTGTGCAAAGCCAGGAGTCCTAGAAAAAACAAAAAACCATTTTGGTCTTTGATGCATTGACAGCTGAGTTGGCAGGGCTCCAGATGGAACATGATCCACATATGGCTAAAACTCGCCATAGTTAAAACTGTGATTTGGAAGGGGTGGTTAAGCCTCCTCTTATAAAAAAATAGGAATATTCTTTGTTTCCAATAAAGGATCTATTTGTTTCTATTGTGTTGCTATAAATGGTCTCACCAATAATTCTATTCCTCCTATTGGAACTGGTTCAGATCATGGAAAAAATACTTTGACAACACCAACTTTAAGCTATGAAAGCCATGATGCAGCATGCCAAATAACTTTATTATAAAATGAATAATAAGTACCATGTCAAGGAAAAAGACACATGGAGACATTAGACAACTTCTTGTTACATCATGACAATCCGATAATGTCTTTTTGTGACATTATGCGACATGTGATGTAACAAGAAGTTGTAAAATGTTTCAAGCATTATGTCTTTTTTCTTTGTTGTGGTACTTATTATTAATTTTATTGTCAAGCTGCGGTTTCCAAAGTCTCAATCTACTTTATTACAGTGTGGCATGATTTAACAGAATTCAGAAAAGTAAATCAGTTTTATCACAATTGTTATATAACATGACACGATATGCAATCTGCCAGATTTACAAACAAACAATTCAAAGAGATCTCTATAAATTATTTGGCTTAAGGTCAAAAAAATTTTAAATGTCAGATAACTAACAGAGTGACAGTTAATTAATGAGAAATTTCAAAGAAAATTACAGTTGCCCTTAGCCCTCATGAGAGTTTTGAATTTTAGAATTTGCTTTCATTTGGCAAATAACATGTTCAATTCAAGAGCCTGTATGGTAGTTCACAGCTTCCTGAAATAGTTATCCCAAAATTACAATTAATTTGCCCTGATGATCTATTATGACATTCAATTCATACAGACCAATGGAACCGTTTTTAAAAGGGACAGCTACAAATGTAATTTCCAATTTAAGATCTTTGAAGTAGCATGTCTCCATTCAGAGAGAGCATTAATTGTACAATATAAGCTTGGCGTAGATGTACCGAATAAACAAACTAAAGTACCTTTGTAAACCTATCAACTTTGCCTTTTCTGATGATAATGGCCAGTTCTCTAAACTGAAAATATAATTGGATAAAATATTTACAAAATAACCCCCTTCAAGACATGATAGAAGTTTCCGTTAAGATTAATAACAATCACTTCATATCCATACTTTATGAAACTGGAAGATATTGCATCAAACAGAGTAGGAATTCTACGTACTAGTCTATCTCGTTTTGAAATTGTAGAAGATGGTGACTTGGTTCTAGGTCTTGTTCCATCTCTCTTCTCTACAACTGATGAAGTGGTTGAGCAGAAACATTTGAAGATAGCAGGAGTACCTGAATTTCTTGCAAAGCTTATTTCATTTCTCATCTGAAATAGAACAAAATAAAATCAAGGAATATATTTAAATTCAATTTGCTTTCCTAAATCGTAATTAATCTTCCTACTTGATAAGTAGTCATATCCAAATTGTGAATCTTTTTTAAGTGCAGTTTATACAGCCAACTTGTGGTGAGACCAAAAAGTTGCATGTGTAAACCGGCATGCATATTGTTGCAAAATGCAACCTATCATCATCTACTGTAGCCTACAGCTAATTTAGAATCAAAATCCTATTTTCAGGTCAAGTTGCCTTAGGTTCCAGGTCTGTGGCGATAAGAAAACTGAACAAATATAATGTGATATTTACTTCATGGTGAGAAGTTCGAGTTGACAAAGTCAATTAAGTTTGAATGCTCATGCAAGGCAGAAAATCCACTGGTTGAAAATCTCGAGAGATACCTATGCCTCTATAGCATAAAACTAGATGAATATAAAGACAGGAACCATCTGTATCACATACATGCAAATACTCCTGCAAATTGCAGGAAAGGCTCCCTATATTTTCGCTCAATAATGACCCCCAACACGCAAACCATCATATCAGAGAAAAACTCGCTGGTAAATCCGAATGGTCCACTGTTGGAAACAACATTATTTTGTTTAAACATTTTTTGATTGACAAAAAGCACTCACCCTTAACTAAGCACCCACTATCTCTACCTTAACATGTAATAACTCAAAAGATTCACCAAAACAAGTTTCTGAGACTCTGCAAGTCTTAGCCTTACAGTAGCAGTGAAGGCAAAATGTTGCATAAGGTAAAACAGAGAAAAAGTCCATTAATACCATCATTTTCCGCCAGTGGATATTCATTTTAAGAATAAAACTTTAATATCACAATTTTCTTCAAAGAATGCAATTTCCGGCGAGCTTGAAGCATTAAGATTATGAAAAATTTTGCCTTTTTGTGGCAACCATGGTGCCGCCCTATTAATATGGCATTGCTTACACTCTAAAAATTAAGAACAATTCAGCCTCAGATTTTTCAAAAAAAACTAAGAACAGTCAGTCTGAACTTAAATTTACTGGTTCAGCACACCTTTTCATCACCAGAGTGCACTGACTCTACTTTATTTGACAAAAAACTTATCTCGAGCTACATCTTTTGAGAAACTCTCAACTGAGTGATTATGAAAAACTTGAAGTTTGCTTTATTGACATTTTGTAATTAAATTGTTCTTCTGTTTTGGACTCAAAGTTGCTTTGCAACTTTTGTAAGCTTGATTTAGTCCAAATATATATGTTTGTTATTTATTCATTTTTTTGTTAAAAGCCTGCCCCCCTCAGGTATAATTCTTGCTTGAGTTTGCCCGCCCTAGCCAAAATCAACAGCTATGTGGTTGTTGCCTACAGGGGCGGCTGGAAGTGACAGGCGTTTCCCGGAGACGATGGCTATAGCCCGCACTGCGCAAACTCCATGCAAAATAAATTTGGGAGAGCTTTTTTCTGCCCACGCAGTTTTTCAAACCAACATTCTCATAACCGCGCAGTTTGGCTTCCCAATATTTTTACTACTTACCGCTAAATATCAGGGTGTCAGTAAATAAAGAGAAAGAGGTCTTACACGTCTATGTGTTTATCACATGTTAACAGACTTTTGTATTCTCTGCTAAAACTTGCAATAGAATAGGAAATGTGTATGCATGAAATATACCTCCGATGGTGGCCATAGCCCCCCCCCCTCCTCCATAGCCCCCCTGATTTTTTGCTATTCTCTTTATGACTATGAAAAAGAGAGTGTTAACATAGA